ACGGCGCTTCCGCCATGCAAAGAGTAAGCAATGATGATCGAGGAAAACATTGATCGCGTCGATGCCCAAAACCCCTACATTTCTGAATCCCGATGTTGTCATCCGATGCAGTTCGTGCGGGACACGTTGCGACACCTGCGGGGGCTTAAGTTGACGGTGCCCCGCCAGGTCACGTGCGCGCCGATCCACCACGAGAGCATCCGCGAGGCGGCGCTCATCGGGAAATACGAGGAGAATAGTCAGGGCGTGACGGTGTATCCCCGGGGTCCGTGGGCCAGGGCACCGGAGTGCCTAACCGAAGCAGGTTAGCGAAACGGTTTTGTTGTCAATCTGGACAATTTCTGGATGCCTGAAGTTATAGGGTTTAGGGTTATCCCCGGGGGACGTGGGTCAGTTAATGAAGTGCCGAAGCGAAGCAGGTTAGTGAAAGGGCTTAACCAATCTCACCGTATGACGGTTTTTGGGTGTCTACGAGTGCTGGGTTTAGGGGGATCCCCGGGGGGCTGTGGGCCAAAGCAGCGGAGTGCCTAACCGAAGCAGGTTAGCGAAACGGGTTCGTCAAATTTACACTTTGATAGCGAGTGTGTGTCTAGGATTGTTGAATCTAGGGTTATCCATTGACGCGCGGCCAGGCAGCGGAGTGCCTAACCGAAGCAGGGTACTCCTTTTCACACTGACGGTCTTTGCAAAGTTAGAATTTTTTTAATCAGGGGCACCGATGAGGTTCTCAGGCCACGGCAGCTGAGTGTCGAAACAAAGCAAGTAGGGGTTGCGGGATTGCGGAGTGTTATGATTAACCATATCCTATAGGTTGCATGTAGCGTTCGGACGCTTTCCTTCTTTGTTTGCTGGCACAGATCACAAGCCGCTTTATTTTGGTGTGTGGCAAAAGATATGGAGCGCCTACTACAGCAGGTCCCGGGGGTGCTGGCAATTACAGGCTCGCCCCACTTGCGGTGCCTAGAAAATCTTTAGAAGCTGAATACTGAATCAAGGGTTTACCTGCAAGGGTTGTCGGTCAAGGAAACCAGAGTGTGCCTGATTGAAGCAGGTGGAGACTAAGAGCGCATTCTGGCATCACGATGGTTGCAAAGTTTGGGGATACCTAGGATAGGTACAGGAAACGGGGCAACAACGAAGGGCAGGGTGTTTCGAGAAGTCTTTGCAGTTGAACTCATATCTCAAAAGGTCGGTTATTTCCGGTCTGGACGTAGGAGCTGGGGACTAAGGATCTGGAGTACGGAATCGAGGCACATTGGTGTGCTTTCGCTCTTTCTCGCAAACCGGGTTTGCACCCCCTTCTCAGGGTCAGTTCTTCTGCAAGACACTCTCGATCAAAGGGCTCCTCATGAGCCGAGACTTTGGCGGAACAGACTTGGACCCGCATGAGCAGGCGTTGCAACCATATCAGCTTGCTTCATATATCGATCGTGCTGTGTTTCGCAGATGCGTACCCGTCTCGAAATACGGATCCTGGGCAGAGCATGTATTACTTCAACAGCGCAGGTGGGCTGTTTTCCGTCAGGACTGGCAGAATTCCTTTCGAGACCCGCTTTCAGCCCTCCTAAAGTCTTCATTCGCCATACCTTTGAGAGCCAGTGTTTCCAAGGAGCGTAGGATTATGATTGAATGTACAAACAGAAGCACGCTTTCGATAGTCCCATCAGTGCCGTACTTCTGAGAAGTTGATACCTAGGTTTAAATTGATTAAAACTGAGACTGTCTAACGAGCTTTTGCTTGCGGAAGCGGATAATTGCTCGTTTACTATCTTGCTGAGGCTGAACGAATTGTTTCGTCAGTTGGATGTCTTTTTGTGTGCCCATTGCGTGACAACGCAAGTGTGTAATGATTGCTTGACGCGTTTACAACATTCACAAGATGAGATTGTGTGAAGAGCAGTCGGGTTAGGAGGTCGAAGATCGGGTGTGAAGTAGAGAGCTGTCGCAAATGCTTCTCTTTCTGCTCTTGCGCTTCGGGCTTTGTCGGGTTTGCCGGTCGTCAAAATTCGTCTTGTGAGCAGAACTGAAGTTTCCGCTCTTTTTTTTTGGCGATCACACGCCGCTCCTCGACCAGTTGCGCGAGTTAACGTCTCCCCAATCTGGAGAGGGTCGGAACCTTAATATGGTACCCAGCTCTGTCGACGACTCAGGAACTTTGAGACCTTGATCCACCTCCTTGCAGGTCGCCAAGTGTGCAGCCAGAATATGCCTGACCCCATTGGTGGCACCTCTCGACCAGTCCGGAAGTTGCAGAGTACTTTTGAGGGCACGAATCTTCGGAAGCACCGGGGAAGACCTGTCCTCTTCAAACCCCCGTGAAAACCCTGTCACCTCTTTTTCCCCGTAAAAAGCCTGCTGATCTTTATTCCTCATACCGCGAAAACTTTGTCATCTACGAACCCCGGCAAAAACTTGGTTATTCTGCCTTGCAGGTCGGCAGGTGTTCGACCAAGAGCGGCTGATGTTTGGTGGGAGCAACCCGCTGAAGTCGCTACTTCTCATAAATATCTTGTTATCTCCAAACCTCGTGATATACCTGTTATCGCTAAACCCCCTGAGAACCCGGTTGATTCCTGCCCTGCAGGCCGCCAGGTGTTCGACCACAAGCGGCTGATGATCGGCGGGGTTCAGCGACCCGAACCGCCCAAACTTCTTGAAAACCTTGTTATCATTGAATTCGAGATAGACCTCTTACTTCTAACCCTCCCGCGACAACCCGCTTATCTTGCTCTGCAAGCCGCCAGATTTTTGACCAGAGAGCGGCTGACAATCGGCGGAGGCGACTGGCTGGTGTCGGCCAACTCTTCGTGAAAACCCTATGAACAATGACCAACCTTTAAGTCAAACCCCTCCGTGAAAACCGGGTTGTCCTGTCTCACAGGCCGCCAGGTGTTCGACCGGAAGCGGCTGACGATTGGCGGGGGCGATGGGCTGGTGTGGTTTAAACCCCCGCGAAAAGTCCCTGTTTTTTTTATTGCTTGTAAAAGCGCCTGTCGTCTCCGCCTCCTGTGAAAACCCGGTTATCTTGCTTTTGCAGGCCGCCAGGTGTTCGACCAGAAGCGGCTGACGATCGGCGGGGGCGACCGGCTGGTGTCGCCCAACTTCCAGTACATGTTCATCATGCAGAAGAACCGGGAGTGCGTGATGCACACCATGACGACACCCTTCAAGCCCATCTGGAGGTGGCCCATGTGCGACGATCCCTCCATCAACTACATCGAGTTCCAGGCAAGTGGACACCCTAAAACTTCAAATCTCGCAAGGGTGGAATGCTCGGTCCCCGCCCTTCAAATCCTCCTGGTTGTGGCCCATTTACTATGACTCGTCCATTATTTTGACTTCCGGACAAGCTAAACCCTTCAATCCTAATCTTATAACCCCAAAACCCGCCCTCTGAGCCCATCTGGCGGTGGCCAATGTGCAACGACATGTCCATCAACTACATCGAGTTCCAGGCAGGTCAAAAGCCCGAAATTTCAAACTCTGAACTTTGAAATATGTGAAATTCGCCAAATCTCACCTACGAAGCCCCTCTGGTGATGACCCATACACGACGACCCGTCCACCAAAGACAACAAACCCAGGCGCGTGAATGACTCGATTCTTCTTCGCATTGTTTCCTGATGGACGTCAAGAATCAACTTGAGAATCGACTTGAGATGTAAGACGTGGAACGCCCACATTGCAAGCGACATGGTCGTCCAGAGGGTGTGTCAAGTGAACCTTTAGAAGCAACTAAGGATACCACGCTCTCGGTTCTACGGTTCCGAATCCCGCCATTTGTTCGGTCCTCTGACTCCTTGTCGACTGGGCGGTCGCCTGCAGACGACGTGACTTTTTAGAACGAGTGAACTCGGAAGTAAGTTGATGTTTAACCCGCGGATTCACCTGCCTCACACCTTAACCCACCTTGAATTCCCAATGTAGCCCTACCCGTTCCGGCTGGCAATCTTATTATCCCCACGGCTTTCCATTTGTAAGTTGTCAACACTTCACCTCAAGTGATGAACCGGAAAGCTAAAACCTCTTGACCCAGAAGCCCCGAAACCTGAGAACACCCAACCCCCGAATGCTAAGAATCCTTAAATCTCGAAAACTTTGCAACAGGGCGACGGCAATCTGGTCGCGTACGCGTTCGACGGGTCGGTGAAGCACGCGACGGGCACGGTGCAAGAGCCGAAAAAGGCGGCGCACATGGCGCTGGGGAACGACGGGCATCTGGTGCTGAGGACCAAGACGGGGAAGGTGTTGTGGGAGGCGGAACGGGAGTTTCTGGTGGAGGATACGGGTAAGGATTTTGAATGCGTTCAGAGTCTGGGTGTGATTGCATGGGTCGTTCTCTCTGGGATGTTTGTCATTGGTGCTGAGGGAAAGTGAGTGGGAAACTTTCTGGTGGAGGACACGGGTAAGGAAATCCGACGCATTGGTAGCAGAATGTTCTTTCTACAGGATGTTTGTTGTTGGTGCTGAGGGGACTGAGGGGGAGTTTCTGGTGGAGGGCACCGGTAAGCAGTTTGACTGCGTTCACAGTTTGGGTGTGATTGCGTAGGTCTTTTTCTCTGGGATGTTTGTCATTGGTGCTGAGGGAAAGTGAGTGGGAAACTTTCTGGTGGAGGACACGGGTAAGGAAATCCGACGCATTGGTAGCAGAATGTTCTTTCTACAGGATGTTTGTTGTTGGTGCTGAGGGGACTGAGGGGGAGTTTCTGGTGGAGGGCACCGGTAAGCAGTTTGACTGCGTTCAAAGTTTGGGTGTGATTGCGTGGGTCTTTTTCTCTGGGATGTTTGTCATTGGTGCTGAGGGGAAGTGAGTGGGAAATTTTCTGGTGGAGGACACGGGTAAGAAAATCCAACGCATTGGTGTTTGGTAGCAGAATGGAACAAACTTCTTGTAGGAAGAAGTTTGTTGTTGGTGCTGAGGGCACTGAGCGGGAGTTTCTGGTGGAGGGGCCGGGGAAGAAGTTTCGACGTATTCAGGGGTTTCGGTGTACGGTATCGGATTTGTCCATTTACAGCATGTTTGTTGTTGGTGCTGTGGGAGATAGAGTTGGGAGTTTTTCCTGGAGAACACGGGTAAGACGTTCAACGCAGTCAGGGGTTCGAGTGTGAAATACAAGGGTCTTCTTTCTATTGGATGTTTCGTTCCTGGTGCTGTGAGGATTGAATGGGAGTTTGTGGTGGGTATGCCGGTGGGCGTTTTCGGCTTCTCAACGGTATAGATCTCCAGGATTTGCCGCTTGATGAGATCCAGAATCATCTTTCTATACCTGCCGACATTTAGTCCAACGGTATTCACTGTATGACGAACGAAGATGCCATGTTGATCTTTTAACGGATTGTGGAAGGTCTTTTTCCTGCGTACTCCCATCCAGATGTTCTGCTGAGACATCTGACATATTGTTCTCAACCTAGACTCTCCATGTTTGCCTCTTCCGCAGAATGGGAAAGACGACGACCCGGCAAGCAAATCTTCATTCCCGTCACTTTGCGAGGGGACGATATAGAGCTTGAAGCTGCGTCTGCTTTTGGAGACCTCTGCCGAGCCTTGACGGGGCGGGTATTCTTTTCACTGGTTACGCTAAGTGACGCCCCCCCGGTTGCTTCAGAATCTGTGATTACTGCGGTACTGCTAGAGTTCGTTTGCTCGTTCAAAAGCAGTGGGGTTGCGTCGACCCTAGAGGAAGCGAACGCACTCCATTTCGAAAGCTTCAACGAATGGAGTACCGGGTATGCGTATAGTTGCGCAAAAGCGTTCCCTGCGGTACCGACCTCCTTCTGCCCAAAGAGCTTCGTACAAGAAGTGAGGGATAGTATTCGAAATCCGAACGGGTTGGAGCCTTGCACCAAAGCGCTAATGGATGGCACTTCCATTTCAGAAATCTGCTGCGATAGACCTTCGCTCGAATAGGTGCTGCAAAAAAATTCTGCTCAAGTAATACCATGGTGTTTGCTCGGAAATAGGAGGAGTTGCCTCTCTACGAACCGAGTGAACCCCTAATGTCGTCAACCGTTCTGGTTCCTGTGGATTAGCTAGCCTCCGAGAGAGTCGACGCCTGTCAAGTAAGTATATTCTTAGCGCGCCCATTTGTCTAAGCTAGGACGGACTGCTAATGCGTAGACTAGACATTGAAATTGCCAAAACTGATTTATGGCGTACATGTAGGATATAGGTCCTGGCGAGGCCAGGCGTAGGACGGTGTATCTTAAAAAAGAGGTCCAATATTGATGATTGACCTATAGACAGCTTTTATATGATTGGTGCGTGTGGAGTCTAATGGTGCAGCTTACAGCGGTCCATTCCCGAATCCGAGTCACCAAGCGGGCATGAGCTTTGCCAAAGCACTAGCTGCATGACTGCTTATTAATATCAAGCAATCAGTACGGGAACAAATGCCAGTGACTATGTATAGAGCTAGGCGGTGCTTGAAATGATCATCATTGCATGATGGCCTTGGATGTATTGTTATATGAGGGCCTGACTTCCCATGATGGATTTTTACTTCCTGATCATTGAACATGATATAAGAACTAGCTTTAGCTATACGGGCCGGCAGCCCGCCGGCGCATATGCTACAGTATCAATTGAACCGTCCAATGGGCCGGGCATGCAGCAATCGCGACTGCGCAGACCGATCAGGCGGGCGGCCAGGATCATGTGACAGTGAACATGATTCAACCACAGTCCCGTCGATCACTGTATTAAAGTATAGGCGCGGCCGCGCCCATGTTCGGAACTTAAGCTATGCATAAATCATGGACATATGTCATGCATGTCGCGCCGGCCTAGCTAATACTATAATAGTCAAGCCCAGCGGCCGCGCCTGTAGGAGGATTGAACGCGCGCATGAAGTTTTTTATGGGCGGCTATACATTTGTGCCCAACGAGGATCATTGGAGTTAAAATTGCAGATGGCATGTTATAAACCTTTTTATAACATAGATAGGGATATAGAATGGAAGTTGGTTAAGCATGATGCATGGCTCGCGTCCGTCGGACACTGATGCGCGGCCAGACATGGAAACCTAGCTATATGGCCATGCAAGCCATATAGCTTGCTTGCGTGAAACTTATATAATGCCAGGCATGAATTACAACGCCATGCCAGGGCGGCTGCGTCCGTAGGCCAGTGACTCATGCTATGGTACATATGGTCACATGTTCTTATAAACCCTGGGCCACGCTGAGCCATCGGGCAATGCTCTGGTGAGACCGGGGTACAATGAATCGACTCTGCAGCTTGCTACGGCTGCAAGTCATGTCCGATGTTTATTACTACGGAATTGAACACAAGCAGCACACTAACACACTGCAATTCTTAGCAAATCATGCACACGGATATATATGGGACTGCGTTTCAAACATTGTAAAAACCATCTCATCATCGATCGATGAAACTGGGACCTTTTCAATGACTCGCGAGCACTCTGATTCTCTGAGTCCCAATCTGCATGTGATGCATTACTCGATGTGTTTGAGAGCGGCGCCTGCATGACTGAATCTTCATAACGCACGGAAAGCACGCGGTCTGGAGCTGCCTCCAGCTTCAATTGTTCACTCTGGCGCATGCCCTTGGATCGAGTTGGATGGTGATATCGCAAGTATCAAGGATCAAACAATGTCCGCTTCACCAAGTAGACATAAGTCGAATGCATGACGTCCACGCAGTGGTTGGAATATATGAGCGAACACAGCTACTCTTGAGGCAAACGGCACAAATTCAATCGAGACAAACGAGTGCACCGCCGTCTTTTGCAATTCCGGACCGAGAACAATCCAAGAAGTGGGGCATCGCTGTGTCTACTCCTCGTCCTCCTCCTCGCCCTCTTCGTCGTCGCCGCCCGCCTTCTTGGAGGCAGCCTTGGCGTTCTTCCTCTTGCACCGCCCGGGGCGGCCGCCGCCGAAGGGACTCGAGAGCGCAAAGTCGATGTGCTTCTGGCTGTCGACGCGAACCAGGAACGAGGGCACATTGACAATCTGCTTTCCTACCCTGCAAAAGAAAAGGGGGGTAACGTCTTGAGAAAACTGGGCCCTCTAGTAGGAGCACCGGGACACCTACATGCAATTCGCAGCAACATCGTTACAAAGTCGACGGGGCTAAACCCGCACATCGTTACAAAGTCGACGGGGCTAAACCCGCATATCGACCAGCTGTGAATGTCACTGACAACCAAAGCTGCCGCTCAAACCATTTCTTACCTCCGCTTTCCTGCCCCGCAAATGAGCCGCAACCACTGTCAAATCTCTACTTCGAGGAAGTGTCCGCTTTAATGCCTCATTGCAGGACTTGGTGCCAGACGAAGTTACACCAACCAACAAGCAAATTGACAACCCCAGAACAGACGGCGTAACAGTTGGTCTTCCAAGGTCCCGAATGCACCCTTGTCTTGATTTCTCGAACATTGCATACCATTCTGGATTTGTACAATCATAAGCAGGGAATCAAAGCAAAAGCACGTGAAACCTGAACCAAAACCTCGTGCAACCTGAAACCAAAAGCACATAAGACCAAAAAGTAGAACCCCAAGGACCGTACCTGATGTGGCGCTGCCTGATGAGGACGCGCGCGTGGTGGATGGACTTGGCGAGGCCGGCCTTGAAGACCTGTGTCTGCAGGCGCCGCTCCAAAAAGTTCTCCACCGTCAGGGCCAGCACGTAATCGAGCTTGTTCTGGGTCTCGTCCAGCAGACCGTACCGGAACATGCGCCGCAGCAGGGCCTGCAGTGCGGAGAAGTCAACTTTAGAGTCACAATCTCACGGTTCGATACCACGTGCTCTTGACTGGGGTCACAAAGGGACAAAAAACAAATCAATCAGTCACAGCTCGGAAGGGAAGTGGCCACAGGTAACCCTGTGACCTCCTTCAGAGAAAATTGCAGAACTTAGCAGGGCCAAACTGCCCGTCTTCGGCACGCCCCCAGGTAACCTGTTGATCTCAGACGGCTATCCGAATAGGTGGGAAGCAAAGGAGGTTGAAACTTCTTGATGGTGTTGTGTCACGCGAGGTCGAATATGACGAGGCCCCTTCAAAAGACCTCTTCACAATCCTGTTTGCATCCACAGCAGGTTCTCGCCTGCGTCCCAGTTAGCTTCAGCAGTTCAACTTTGAGCTCCCATATCCAGACATCTCAAGGACTGGGGGCCTCACTTTGGCCAGCCACGTGAGCACTGTTTAACAGCCTGAACACCGACAAACCCACCATCCTAGACTAATGTCAGCTCCAAATCTCTCTGGAACAAAGATGCAACTGCCCGCTGACCGTCAATAGATCGACAACTGTTCGGCACTTCTCCGTCTTCAGAGGAAAACCAGCCAGAACAACCTCCATGGTTTCCCCAATCCTCATTGTCACGCTTTTCTCTTTAGGGCAGTACTAGAGAGGACACAGATTGCAGTTCCAGAAATTCTCACTCCACTTTCAGAGCTTTCTTTCTCTCCTTATATCCTCGCTTTATAATCTCACTCTCAAACTTCGTCAAAGTCTGCCTAAGCAGCGGAGCGCCCCCTCACCTCTCCCTCAAAGATGCGCCGCGTGTTCTTCTCATCAAGAGTGAGCAGCGTACGCGCGTTGTTGCGGATCTTGCTCAGGGCGTGCTGCACGCGCCACAGCTCGCGCTTGTTGCGCAGCCCATACTCCCCCACCAACTTCAACTCCGCGTCGAGGCGCTCCTTCTCGAACGGACGCCGAGGCTTCTTGAAGGTCTTGCCATCTGCAGGGAGGGGGGCACAAGGCAATTAGATTGACGCAAGCCCTTCTAGCATCGAAAGTTTTGCATGAGCGCTTTGGATGCCAGAGTCTATAACTGAAACTTCTCGCCGATCCTGCCCCAGGAGGCAAGGGTGTGACAAAGGAACTTCAATTCTGAAAGAACAAGCCTTGAGACTTCCTCGCGTCTATGGCAGGAATGCATGACCAGCTGACTTACTGCAAAGGATCTCTGACTTCACTATTTCCAATTACTGGTGAATTTCGGCTTCAGAGCCTGCTGCCTCTAAAATGAGGAGACATCCCGGAGACAAAAGCCTAACGTCTGAGGTGCGCTACTTTGCTAAGCGTCCTTATTGACGCCAAGGCTTCTTAATGTGTTGCCATCTACAAAGTGGCTGCAACCATTTGTTGCAATCTGCAGCAGGTTTGAATTCAAACACCACAAGCCAACGCAACAAAATGGATCGAAGTAAGAGGAGCCGCCAGGCAAGCAACAAGAAGGTGCTATTTCCAAGAGCAAAAATAAACCCAAGAACAATATACTCCAGACACCCCTGCAAAACCTCCTGGGCAATCCGGATCTCCAGGTTGCACAAGAAAATGAGAGACAAAATGCGCCTTTAGGAACCTTGTGTTTCCGCCCAAGATTGACGGCAGGTTTCCACTTCCGCCCATCTCATGCCAGCTACTACCTTCTTTCCTCCTGATTCACTTCCCTTGCGCTGTGCCAACCCCGGCAGACATCGTGACTTGACTATGCACAACCAAATGCCAATAACTCACTCATCTTGCCCTCCCTTCTAATGACAATTCCAACGGTGAGGTTCCGTTAGAGAAGGGTCCAAACCGTTCCAAAATGGGCATGCTTGCGCAGGTTTCTAACCAACAATGTTACCTCTAAACCCTGTCTATACTGTGGAAACCTGGCAAACAGACCATAGCAGCTTGGTACCTGCTCCTTTCCCTCCACTACATATGCCTTGGTAATGGTGACCGTCGACAAAAGAAAACTAAACAGCCACTCATGCCTCAAGCCTTCCCCCGCATTTCTTCAAACCCATCTACTGCAAGTGCTTCTGTGCACCGAGCCTGCCAACCCCAGGGCAACCTCGCCATATGACCATCACAGCTGTCTCTTAATCTACAGCAGACCAGTGCCAACAGACAGGCTGGCCTCATGATAGATTGCTAGTTAGAAAGTTGGAAAGGCAGGTTCGATGCAATAGACCAATGTGTGAGCGTTCACAGCGGTAATCATACCACTGAGGTAAGAGCCCAGATTTTTATCCAGCGCCTATCTGCCTCAGTCTTGTAGCTCGATGTAGGACGACACAACCATTACCGACCGTGTTCAGAGCTTCCAAATCGGTCAGTTGTATCTGCATACTTGTCCATTATTACTAATGTTACTGCCCCTTGGAACCTATTGTGTCCAACCTCTGCGCAGTGCTCCAGAGCAGACGCTGCATGCTCCAGCTGTTGTGTTGTCTTACTGAAACCAACCATCGGCGTTTGCCCTTCAAATCATCCAATTCGCTAGGAGGCTGCTCGACACACTCTGACAAGAAGTTCCCACCGCTATTATTGCTGATAGAATGATACCTCAGTCACCACAACGGATTGTCTCCATTCCCATCGGATCGAGAAGCAACCGTTCCATTGAAAAGGAAAAAAAGAACAAGGACAACGGTAGACTCACAGTTGCGGTAGTAGCTGATCTTCACCATCTTTGCGGCCCCCTTGAACCTCCTGGCCTATGCGCCCCTGCGGCTGTGGCTGCCCGCCAACGTCAGCCTGGAAAGAGGACGAGAATGCCTGTCAACGTAGTGATGACCCCAGGAAACAGACAAGGAACATCTAAACGTTTTGCATTCAATTCCTGGCATTGTTCCTTGGCGGGAAACCCTATAAGCGTACCTTGCAACGTGACTCATAGCGGGCCGTCAAGTGCTCCGGCGCTCGGGTATTCCGTTGGAAGATAATGACGGAAGGAAGGGCTGTGACCGGAAACGGTTGCTCGAAAGTACCTTGTAAAGCCCTGCAAACCCTGTTGAGCTGGAGCCGCGCCGGCTGTGGCGCGGCTTCCACGGGCCACACGAACCAGTTCACACTTCCGCAAACTATTATTTTAAATGTTGTAAGGTATAGGGATCGGTCCTTAATGTGAATACTTCGCAGTCTGGATGCGGCGACCAGCCAAGGCTTGAGACCTTGCGTAACGTTGCGTTTCATTCTGCTGAGGCCATGCATGAACTTGGCGGTCCAGCATTGCTGGCCGCCGCCGCATGGCGTTGGCATTGGCACATGCCAGTAGGGGGATAAAATCTGGACACCTGCTCAAGCTGGTGCTTTGCAATCTGCATGATACGGAACACTGGTGCTTCTGGTGTGCAACTTTGGAAAGCTGTTTCTTCTGAAAAGCAGCACCTAAATTGTTGCCTCAGGTGCTTCTGTGGCATGTGCATCTGTAATAAGACATTCCCTCCTATCGGTCCAAGCTTCTGAGCAACCAACGGGCCTGCTTGTGTTGGGCCGACCAGCTATGCTCAATGTGGCGGCATTGCATGATCTTTTTAGGTGGTTGCCCCTCCGTTCGTGCTTGAAGCCAGTGACTTCTGTAAGAAGCTAGCTGAGGAAGCTTCAGGAGATACACCAGCCTACGCTCTCAGAATCCTGATCAAGCTGGGAGTGGCGAAAGTCAGCATGGACACTTTTACTGAGGGCTTGAAAACCAATCCAGTCAATGCATTTCTGATCTCCTTGGTGGTTGTCTTTCTGACCCCAATCTTGTGGACTATCGTGCACCAATATGTTAAGGTGCTGAGAGCCCGGGGCATTCCCCCCGGCCCTGCTCCACTGCCAGTCTTGGGCAACCTGGGGGAAATTCTTTCGAGCCCCAAGCGCTTTGATGAGTGGTGCCTTCAAAAGGTGAGCTAGAGATGTTGGCGTGTCTCTTTCCTCCTCTGCCACCTGTGGCATCCAACTGCTCTTTGTCTGTGATACAGCCCCCGTCACCTTAGCCTTGGCTCCTTTCTATCCACCTTTTGCCATCCACCTTTTCACAACAGTCCCTTGTTGGGGAAAGTATCAAACAGCGCTAAGCTCCTTCTTTTTTTTCATTCTCACTTCCCCCCAGTTCCTTGGCCCCAGCCCCGCCCGTTATGGCAGGAGTGGTGGGGCCTTCTAACAGAGATTCGCAGACTGGGATATACTCTCTAGAACCGATACAACAGGCACATGTTGTAATTAGAATGAAGCAAACTTAAAAGAGTTTGAAACTCAACATTGCACTCTGCTCTGCACCCGTGCTCACCACAAACCCCCTTACTACCCAAGCTGTCCCCGGCAGGCTTTCCACATATGGTCTGAGCTTATCCTCACCAATGTAAAGATTAATGCTCTGAGGCTCTCTCTGGATTTATCTTCCCCCACGGATGCAGACTATACTTTGCGCGCAATTTGAATAGAGGCACTGGCCCTCCTGCAAACCATGGATATAGGATTCAGTTGGAGCTATTTAGGCACTCTCAAAAACAACCGGTATGCGCAATGACGTAAAAGGGTGGGTAGCGTCTCTTTCATTAGAGCACAAAGACAATTGTAGCGATGACTAAAGAAAGTTCCACCCTCCGTGATGGAGTGCCAATGTTGGATCAGAAAAGTTTGTTGAAGGAATCTCAATGCCCGTGGTTGAAGGACTCGTGAAGCTGGATTTAAAACCCGAAAGTATTCCACAAACGGTCGCCCTCCTTTTCAAAGGAACTGTGTCCTAAGGTCATGCATTTTCCCCTCTGAGCTGGTGACGGCACCCTTATGTTCCTACCTGACTTGGCGCAATTCTCCATGCAAACAGGCCAAGGCATATGGCGGCATGTTCAGCTTCTGGATGGGAGATCAGCTGTTTGTGTACGTCAGCTCGTATGAAGCGGTCAAGGAGGTCCTGGTTACGAAGGTACGCCTCAGAACCACAACAGTTTTCTCTCTCAAGGTGGTTTTCAACACATACAAGAAGCCTGAAACCTTCGCAACCCATTCTTTAAGGGACAGGAGGGGGTTGTCCAAGACTTCCTCAGCATCAGCGTATGTCATTCAAAGCATATCATCTCCTCAGATTCTCCTCTCTAGAATGAGCAAGTTTCAGAGTCAAGCACTGGCCAACGCAGAGAAGGGTTTCTAAAGTTGGAAACGATAAATTGATCTGGCCTGATTCGCAATGCATAACCGGGACACCAGAGGAAATGTTACGCGCTATTTTCTTATGCTATTCCTGCGCGCGAAGGTTGGTAGGGCCAGCGCTAGGTGCTTTGCACTCCCTGTGCCATGGGTACAACTAGGCGGTTGATACGTTTGGAAGAAAAGTTTATTTGGCAGTGCCCATGTTTGAAACTCAACCAAGTCCGGAGGATAACTTGAGTTCACTTTAATGTCCTCCATGGGAATCTAGCAAACGATGCATGTCACACGGAAAAGGCCAATTACTCCTGATTACTGCGACCTCCTTCCAAGCCTTTGACCCCTTGATCGTCAAGCTACTTTGAACTTTTCAGGTCCTCATTTCTCCTCCCGCTGTTTCCCTTTCCTAGGATAAAGAGTTTGCATCGAGGCCCCTGATGCCTGAGCGTGTCGCCCTCACTTTGGGGCCGAAGAGCATCTTCATGTCAAGCTACGGGGAATACTGGCGCCAGTGAGTGATCCCCACACGTCCCTTTCATTGAAAGCTACTCCTTCCATCACTTGTCCCGGTGCCCCCCATCTTCTGCGTGGATGCTTGCTCTTCCAATTGCCACTGAGCTTATCTCGCAACAGTTTTACACGTTCGTCATGTGTTGTTGGGGGTTTGTAACTTAAAATGCGAGGATTGTGTTTCAAGTCGGTACCATCAGTGTTTGACTAGTTAAAGAAGAGAAAATCTGGACGTTCGGCATGGAGGCGTCGTTTGGGCATGGGAAACAGTTGCGTCCGAACTTTGAAATCATATTGTCCGTTTTCAAGGCTGAGCTGGTGCTTCCACTGCTTCCAACTTCAGAAAACTCCCACCTCTCATATCGAGACCCCTTCTGATGGCTTGTGCTCCGCTTAAGCTCCCAATGAACCTACGAAATCAGAACATCAGCTTCTAGAAGTCGACTTCGATTTTCAAGCAGCGTTTTGTTTGCTCGTAGGTCCAACCTGTCAAACTACTGGCAGCAATTTTGCCTTTTTGCCCAATACATTTTCACGTTTGAGAAGCAGCCACCAGATTGGTACACGGAAAACGAGTCTGCTTGAGTCACAGAACGAGAGTTTGCGGGAGAACTCTGGAAACTGCCCTGGTTCCATTTTGTTAGCGGCACTGAGTTGGTCGCAAGAGGTTCAAAGATAACTTTATTTCAAGTGTTTGCTAAATCTTCGAACACCCTCAGAGCACGTTCATCAAACGATTGAGGGAGAAAGTGTTCTTCCAACCGAATGCAGGGCTCGTAAGCTGTCGGTCCTCCATCTACTCTCCAACAAGGCTGTCAAGACCAACGCCTCAGTTCGTGATGAAGAACTTAACACCCTCATCGGCCATCTGAAGGAAGAGTGCAAGCGGGAGGGGGGCATTGTGGAGCCGCGCGAACACATCATCAGGTAAGGCTGCTACCAACGACAATCACGAAGCAGAGCATTGTCAAATATTCTCTTGCTTGAAATGCTCTGAGATGTCTCATGCGGACCGAAGTTTGGACTTCAAAAAATGCGACTTGCAATATGATGGTCGGCTCAGGACTGCTGGTGCCTTCCCAGATGCAATTCTGTGGCGTAGATAAGTTGCGGAAGTTCCGCTGGGCTGTCCCGTTAATTGCAGCGTATCCGCATGAGTCTTCATGAAGGACGAAGATGGACGTGTATGCCCGGTACTTCCCAAGGAGTTTGCTTCCTGACATCACCCACCTTTTTGCGCAACACATATTCAAAGACCCTGGCACGTACGCTATCTGGCATCCGCTTCCCAGGCCCTATCGAGGTGGCCTGCAAAGCGCGGCAATAACTGCCTCGAACGTCACGTCTGACGCCAGCGTTCCTTCTGCACATTCAAGCCTGAACATGAATGATGCAGCCACTGTGCGGCACCTGCTTTCCCGCCCCCAACGAGACGGACTCTCTAATGCGGCGGCAGGCTTTTTTTGAAATTCACTGCGCAGGATCAATGTAAACATCATGATGCTCCACTCTGGGGAAGCTTTATTTCCGCCCCCAACGAGCCGGACTTCACAAAGAGGCGGGCGGCTCCTGCTAATATCATTGCTAACAATTGTCAGCTTCGGTTTGTGCGAAACACGTTGATTGCGGCCTCTGTTCCAGCTCTCAAGCTTCCCAGCTTTGACCGTCATAGCGCCACTCTCGTGGCCTTTTTGATGTCTGGGGCGCAGGACCCACTCTGAACTCCAGGAAGCTCCCACTTTTTCGGCATCCGGTTTCCTGCCCCCTAACGAGCCGCGTTTTAAAGACGGGCAGAAGGCTCTTTTTGAATCTATGCTGAAGAAATCTCAATCTTGCGCAGGACCAATCTCAATACGACGCTGCTTCGTTGCTTGGGTTTCGCTGTCCCTGCCCCCACCGAGCCGACGTCAATCTATTCCCACAGTCCTTGTTTGGTCACCAAATCCGCACTCGATCATGTCATTCTCTTGAGATCACCTTGTGACGTCACCTACAGGACCAATCTCAACACCATGATGCTCCCACTGTTCGGCATCCGTTTTCCCGCCCCCACGGAGCCGGGCTTTAACGAGAGGCGCGAGGCGCTCTACGCGAGCATTCAGGAGAGCTTCCGCCAGATGGGCGACTTTGATTGGGGAACCGTGCTGCCCGCGCTTGCGCCGGTCGTGAACCGTGACGTCAGGAAGACGACAGCGTTTAGGGACAGGTGAGAAGAGGGCTTGCCAAGCTTGGGACGGTCGTTAAAAAGGATCTTCCCCGGAATTCTAAAAACGTAATCAAGGGCGTAACGGAGCTGGGCTCATAAGAATGCCGTCCCCGTGGAGATTTTAAATATCGAATGAAGATAGGTAGGGATCTGTCGACTGGCGTTCTTTGTTCTGGCTCAGGCTGCTCTTCCATCCACCTGGATCAACATGCAGGATTCAACAGAGTTGAATTCTTCAAGGCAGAAGGCCTGACTCACTGAAACCTGCTGAATTCGAAATCTGCAACGGAAGCGGGCTATGTCGATCAACTTGCACACGGTATTCTCGCCTTCTTCTTTTCAACCACCAAGGCGATGGTATGGTTCGGAATCTGCACGCTTTGAAGTGCTGCAAGACCGGCGGAACGCTGTGTGTCAACCAACGGAATGGTTCTGGCCAGGTCGAAGGGAGCTGGAGTCGCGGTGCAAAAAGAAAGGCGTCTATTTTGCATGCTCCGATGCAAGTCTGACGTCGAGGTGTTTTTCCAAGCAATTCTCTTCGAAAACTTGGGTAGATTCTACAGCGCGCTGGTTTGCGCTCAGAGCGCCACGCTTGTGTCGTCGTGTTGAGATGTCTTCACAGCCCACTTCGACTGAAGCTTCACTTCTTATTTACCATTGAATGAACGCGAAGTGACATATCGACCGACGCATCTTTGGCGAGCTTTTGTAACAAACCCTGTTCCGAACAGTCTTATTTTGACACGTGGCAGGGAGCTGGAGCTTCTGATTGAGGAGCACCGCGCCGCCAAGGAGAAGGCGGGGGCCAGCTTCGTGGCGCGGGATATGGTTGACGTACTGCTGACGATACCCGAAACGGAGGACCTGACGCTCAAGAACCTGATCTACATGCTTCTCGATCTGCTGAACGCGGGTGGGTTCCGGGCTATCTCGTCATGACCCAATTCATGAAAGCGCACTTGTGAAGAACGCCCAAAATGGAATGTGGGGCTGTCATGCGGGGAAGATAGTGATTTTCGGGTTGGAAATTGCTGCAGCTTTGATCAGATTCCTCCAAGATTTTGGACGCTTGGAGAATCCAGCGGTGCCGAAGGACTGAATCAAAGTCGGATCCGGACGTGGGCTTCACTACATCGTGCAATATGCGCCTTGACCTATCGCAATTTACAACATCCCCCGTATGCTTCTTATGCTTGTTGCCAGTGTCGTTGACTGGAATTCGGACTGGTGAAACTGAACGGGTATAAGTTGAACTCAAAGCCAGCCAAGGTTGGATAAGTTTTTTCTGAGTTTGAAATAGCTGAGAGCTGAATCCCGCCATTTGAGTGCATAGATTTGCTGTTCTCGTGTGCCGCCGTAGATATGAGCGCAGATGCGTTTGGGGAAAAACTCAAAACGCACTTCTGCATCAAAGGAAAAGTCAGGGAACGTCATCCTTGAGATTAAGCATCTGACACTTGGCGGCAAACTGCAGCACTGCAAACGAATCAAAGAAAGAAGTCGAATACCATCATCCGTAAATCAAGCATCTGACACGTGGCGCGATCTGCAGCGGTGGACACGAGCGGCGTCTCCATCGAGTGGACGCTAGCCGAGCTGACCCGACGGCCGGAAATCCGGAAACGGTTGCAAGCGGAGCTGGACAGTGTAATTGGTCGGGAGAGACCGGTGCAAGAAGGGGACATCGAGAATTTGCCATATCTCCGAGCAGGTGAGTTTGACGCCAGGTGTTTGGAACTAGCCTAATCTAGGCCTTGGTGAACTGTGCGGTGTGGATCATTGATTGGGAGAGGCCAATGCAAGAGGAGGACTTTTAGGATCTGCCGTATCTCCGAGCAGGTGGGCTTGACACAGGTTGTTTGACGTAGCTTGGATGGAGTTTCACCGAATCGCTTGGTGTTAACAGAGTCCTATGTTGCGGCAGGGAGAAGTGGAAAGCGGGGCCGTCCCCCAGGAAGGTTTGACACCAGGTTCATTGTGCAACCGGACAGGGGCTGAGCAAAAGTTCTGGTGTCAGTCGCATATGTCGCGCTTCTTTCTTCGAGCATTTGAACTTGACACCACACGTTGACTTCACTAACACGGTACAGTGGTACATAACATTCTGGTGTTGGAGGGGGAAGGCCCGTAAGATTCAAGCTATTGCATAGTTGGGGCACAACTTTCGTGAAGGTCCATGTCCGATATTTGTAATGCCACTCTCAGCACGATCTAAACATTTCGAAATGAGGAGCCAGGCATCGAGTGTTGGAAAGCCGGTGCCAAGGCGGTTGTTGCAAATACTTGTGCTTGGGCCACGTCGTCCCTGGCGGTCGACAACACTCCCCAACTTTGGACACAGTGTCCCTTCTCAACTTGTCAACCTCGCGCTGACGTCATCTTTGGTCTCCCTGGCTCCGATTGACGTCATCCCTCTGTTCCGTGCAGTCATCAAGGAGCATTTTCGATACCGGGGCGTCGGTCCCTTCCCCGGACCGCATCTGAATGAAGTCGAGACGACGGTCCAGGGGTATCGGATTCCCGCCAAAACGCAGGTGAGGCACAGCGTCGGTGTTGGTTAGTTTTCCCGCTACGAGGACTTGCCATGCGGATGTTACCTAATCATTATTATGCGGTCTGTCTTCAATGCGTGGACTCCTTCAGTGTTCAGTATTGACAGGATCTTATTCTTTCAAGTCAGGTCGATGTCAAGATGCGCTCCAAAAAGGAGCTCATGCCTTCGATTCTAAATCTCAATGTCACTTCGCATTCCGCAGCGCTCCTACTTTGCAATTGCACCGTCGAACAGCCGACCGCATGCGTTGCGCCGCTAGTCTGGTTTCGCCGCTCTTTTTAGATGTTGAAAGCAAGGTGATATTGATAGTTTTGCATGTTTGGATCTCCATCTAGGAGGTGCTTTCCTCAACAGTGATGTCAATGGCACGCGGGGTGCTGACTTCGTCGCCCAATGTTCGAAAGCTTTTTTTTTTTGGTCGGACCAGGCAATTGGTTGCACATTCCCGCTGTCCAGCAGGGGTCGCGAAACCATCCCCCTGCCACTCAAAATGATATCAAACCTTCAATTCATGGCAAAAAGGTCGAGGGTAGACCCTAGATGGCACTTTTAAACCGCTTCTGTCTCCTCAATCTTGCAGGTGCTGGCGTACACGCGGGGCGAGGCCACTCCGTCTTCTTGCGATTCGGCGCAGCCCCTCTCATTCACTTTGTCAAAAACACACTTCCTCAAAGCCCTTAAACCCTGAAAATCTACCGACCTCAAATACGCAGGTGCTCAGTGGTGTACACGCGGGGCAAGGCCACTCCCTCTTCTCGCTGATGTGCGCAACCCTCCTCATTTACTTTTGGTCAGGGAAAACCCTCCCTAAACCCTCCCTAAACCCTCCAACCTCATATCCGCAGGTGATGGTGCACACGCGGGGCTTGTCGCGGGATCCCTCTGTCTTCTCCCGGGCGGATGAGTTTCTCCCCGACCGCTTTCTCGCAGAGGACGTCGACATCACTGGAAAGGACCTCCGGGTGCTACCTTTTGGCGCAGGTGAGCGCATTCACACGCTTTGTTTAATCCAATTTCTTATCTAGGTTAGAGTTGATTGTGAAAGAAAAGTGGAATAATCTTCGGGTGCTGTGCTTTGGCGCGGTGAGCATATTCACACGGTTAGTTGGCGGTATAAGGTTCTGCATATCGATTCTGAAGGTCGTGGAAAGGTTCGACGGTCCTGAAGATCGATCTCTGGTGGTGGTTCCGACACGGATGAGAGCGTTCACACCGTCTATTCCAGTCACCCTAGCTGCTCGATGTGGCGTCTGGCCTGTTTATACTAATTCACTGTCATGCAAAAATGCCAAACGAGAAGCGTTGTCAAACTTCCCCATAGGAGCGTCGCTGCCGGGTGCAATTTAGCCTGCGCATTTGCGGTGAACACTCTCATCGTCACCTAGCGACTTCGAAGGTCGCTCCATAAGCGGGCCCTGGCATTTTTGAATGATTTATGAGCTAGACGACTGACGACAATCCGGCCTCAGATGCTTCAAAACCCCAAAGTAATAGAAAGTCTGTGCACCACACCCGCTCGCAACCTCGTCACTGGTCGCTGCTCTCCCGTCGAACCCGAGGCTTTCCGAAATGCGGCAGCACAGAAGCACTTGAAACCAAGCCCCCGGGTGAACCTCCAGGCTAACCGAACCCCTCAGCCCCTGCTCCAAGGATTTTCACCAGATATAGCAAAAAACGTAGCCTTATCATGCGCGGGCCCGCTGATTGATCAGACCCCAATCCGCAGGTCGGAGGGGGTGTCCTGGCATCGTTCAAGGCCTAGCCGTCGTACATCTGGCGGTGGCCCGGATCGTTCAAGGTGAGCCACCGGGCATCCGCTTTCGCTTTCTTCGAAGTTGATTTCGAAATCTTAAATCATGTTTCATGCACGAGTCGGAGGGTTTGAACAGCAGAACTTGACGATGTTCCTGATCTGCCTGCTTTTGAATCTTGGGCTCGTTGTTTTCCTGGACAGGTTTCGGACACGAGGTGTGGGCTCACGGTGCGACTCGTCAGTTACAATTGTTTCGTTTAGATTCAATGCAGACGGTTGCAAACAAATGCATTTTTGGTTTGAATAGAACCGCAGATATCCCGAAGCCATCCCACCTCGAAGGTGGCGCTTGTAGACTAACGAAGATTGACCGTTCCCCAAACACCTTTCTCAGGGAAATTCAAAGCGAAACGCCCAACCACTCTCAGCCGCTCTTCAAACATTTATTCCGTTGAATCAGCAAAACTTGAAGATAACCAGGACAAAGTTTCCTGAAGGGTATTGGCAGCCTCGCAGAAATTCTTTGCTAATACGGGTCCATTTGTCCTTGTCAGCCTTCGACTTTGAGCTGATCGACGGAAAAGACATCGACATGGAGGAGCGAAACTGGGGCCTGCAAGTCTCATTGCGCACGCCGCTGAAAGCCCGGTTTACGCCCCGTTAAAATTATAGTTGGCAATACAAGTAAGAGTTGGTTTAGAAAGCGTTTTGAAGCCCGGGGAATCGCATCCACGGATTTGTCGATCGGTCAAGTTGGAAGTCCACAGGATAAACAGGACCCGCTGAGTCGATTAACACGGATTGGTTATCAGTGCAATTTGCAGCGCAATTTGTCCAACAATGAGTACCGCTTCGAAAGTTTTGGGTAGCTCGAAGGCGCCGATCAGCCTACATCAGCAGTACTTCTTTGATTGCCCAAAATCAGTCCATTCCCGAAATCGACGATACAACAGCGCATGCAGGATGAAGGGCTCGCTTTACTTTTGATTGACAATATGGGTTCCAGTTGTTCCATATTTGAGTGAATTTCAGTGTGCGCATTTCGTTCCTCATAGCCGAACAAAGTTCTGCAAGCTAGAGAATGATAAGTCGGACGCCTCAGCCTGCCGCCATCCGGGGCTTGACGTTGAGATGTCGGGGGGAAGTTGACTTGAGTTGTCAGGGGCGTCACCCAATTGTCAGGGGTAATGATTGAATAGCAAAAGACTCTAGTTGGAGGCTGCACCAGGGGACGGTCATGCCATGAACCGCATGCAATGCATAGCTGTAGGTATGATCGCTCTTACGTACTCGTGGGTAGGTATGCGCGCCAATCTTTGTATCACTGTGCCCCAGTGAATGGAGGTGGAGTAGTTATAGGCAGAGACCGTTCGGCCCACTGGCAGCCTTAGGTATAGTGAATGCTAATGTAGCCACTTCCGGTCGTTGGCCAAGCCCGGGCCAACTCAGAACCGTATGTGTGAGTTGCCATCACTTGCACAGGGACCTCAAATGTCACTCCCGAGTCCTCACTGCAATAGGACCTACTGCCCGGATGCCCCGCTCGGGCCAGCAAGACTCAGAGTCAGAGTCGTGCTAGGGAACTTACCGGGAATTCAGGCTTCAGGCGGCCAATCATAGGATGGACGCGCGCCACGTGCCTTGAAGTTGTTCAAAGGCCAACTGGCAACAAGGAGGGGGCTCGGGAGAACGGCCGTCCCCGGGCTCTTTACAAGGTTCACAGCTGGTAGAAGGAGAGGGCGGTGAACTCCACCCGGTTTATGTCGTTTAATGGCGACATCACAGTTCCTTGTGTTGCCAGGGGATATTCCCTGAAGATTCTGCCATCGATGACCAATGCAATGATTCCATCTGCCTCTTTATGACGACTCGTGACGTAGCGCCGGCCGAGATTCCTTTCGGCCGCGTCGGAAGTTGGAACACTGAACTCAACTCTTTCAAGAGTGAACTCCTCTCTCACTGTCAGCGGCGGCCTGCTGCATTCAGGGCTGTCCTTGGACTGGCCAGACTGCATTCCGGTTGATTCCCGTGTGTCAGGGCATCCCAGCGCTGCAAAATTCTCACGCCCGGCTGATTGCAACTTGCAATGCTGTGCCAGCTTTGCTAGACATGCTGGCAGCTGACAGCTGCAGCTCGCCGTTCCAGCTCGGTCCTTCTCATCTCCGAAGTGGACCTTTTTGTCAGCTCTGTAAGTCACATCAGAAGATAGCACTCCTGAGTTCATCAATTTGAGCTGTTGTTACGCCCTAATCACCACTCACAAGCAATTGCGGGCTGATCTTCAGACTCTGGAAGAATGGCGTTTGCTCGGTCTGCTCTGCTGGTGCTGGTCGCGGTGGCTGCTTTCACCGCCGTCAGCGCACAGGTATGTTCTTCACCTGGCATTGCTGCACTTGGTCGCTGTTGACTCTCTGAAAAGGGATTTGCTGACACACCATTTGCTGACCCTCCATCACACTTATCTATGTTCAAGTACTTAGCTTTACGCTCTTGCTTTTGAAAGGCTCGTTTGGTGGCAAGTTATGGAGCTCAAGGTCGAGTCAAGCCTGCAAACATTATCAGTTACCACTTGTTCATGGCAAACTGTTTTAGAGTGGGGGGCAGGCTGACTGGTTGAATCAAACCCAGCCCCCAATCAAACCCGGAGCGCTTTGTCTCCGAAAGTTGCTTCGTTTCTCAGAGATAGTGTTTTTCCCATTGCCTCTATATCTATCACCATGAATGTTCCTGGCAGAACTAAGGTGCTGGCCACACTTGAATAAAGAGGTTGATAAAGTTCTGATGTCAGATCAGGTAGAGAGCAGGTAAGCGAGAAAGACACGTAGAAAAGACAGGGAAAGCAAGAGGAGAGAAGGAACTCTTTGCAGAGCAGACAGCCATCCATTTGGTGCATGCATCATTTCCACTTTGCCTAATGACGTCCTGACATTGCAAAACTGTATGCTTTCCCTCCTTCTCTAGTCTGGAGACCGGAGTCACTGGGGTCTCACGTTGCCCCTTAACAGCACAATTCAGACTCCTCATTTCAACGTTCTGGAAAGCATACCAGAGTACCTAGACACAGCTTCTACTCCCTACAAAAGGAATGGTTCTTCCCATTTTAGTAATGTTGGACGCCTAGTGTACCAAACTCGCAAAGCTCAAGTTTGGCAGCAAACCATTGATAGCGACTCAAAGTAAGGCGCATTCCTCAACCTGACCAAGTTGGTAGACTCCCAATATTCCATCTGGTTCTTCAGCTCAAGTAATCTGGTTTCTTAGTGTCTCTCTGCTGACCAAGTATATTCGTCAGTCTTTCCTGACCAGCAGGTCCAACAGGGAGCTTATCAAGGTCCACCAAGTTGGTTAGTCCGGTCCATCAAGGTGGTTAGCACGATCCAGCAGATTGCTCAACTGAAAACTGACTTTCTTTCTCCAGAACGCAACGGCCCCTGCCCCTGCAGCAGCAGCACCCGCTACCGCCGCTACCAAGTACAATGCCACTCTGGTCGGCCATGCTCTCATCCCGGCCAACACATTCCAGGCGCCCCCTGCTGACGCGCCTGCGCAGCTCAATGTCTCATGCAAGTATTGCAGCGGGACCAACGGTAACCGTAGGTGAGCTAGTGGAGATCCTTCAGGAGTTCAATCTGCTTTGGTATCAATGTAAGACTGATTGTTTATCTTCTCTCCTCGCTCATGTTGACAATGCACAAAAGTTGTCTTTGAGGGCCTTGGATGTGGCTTGCTTTGCATCACCCCAAATAATGCAAGGCAGCAATTGGGAAGGTACCAACCAATCTTTTCAGAAGAAGACAGGAAAGGTTGTCCTCCCAACACCAAGCTTGAATAGTTACTGGCTAAGCTCTTGTTTACCAGGCGTGCAACTTGGTTGAACGGCGTTGTATCGGCTGCAAAGCAGTCAGCTTTGAAATTGCTTTGAATATTGAATGTCAAAGCTCTTCTCTGATATAAGATGTACTTCTTCAAATGGCTTAGTTAGAACTGTGGCAAAGCCTTTAACTCCAGTGGCAGAAGTCTTCAATATTTGACTTCTTAAGACATCTTTATGTCATAAGTTTCCCGCAGCCTTCTCGAATTGGTGTCAATCCGCTTCCTTTCCACTCTTGCAGGATTGACACCCTCGGGGCCTTTGTCGGAACCGACGGCAATGGCACCGTTGTGAGACCGACCGGCCTGTCGTACCCGTTCGTTGGCCAGCCGCTACAAGGGCTCTCGGGGATCAAGACCCTGGGCAATGGGACCTACCTTCACTTGCAGGATAACGGGTCGGGACACTATCCCAAACACCTTTCTTTTCTCCTTGCATAGTTTCTCCTAAATCCTCCTTTCACCTGAAAACCTTTCTTATCTTTTTGCTAAACTTCTCTTTCTCCTCAAGTTTGTTTAGCCTGGATAAGAATCGGACGTTCTTGTGGCCTAACTTTTGGCGTACTAGAGGAGTGGCTCAAAGCAGCTTCAATCCTGCTGCGCAAGAGAGTGGGAGGCAACCAGGGTGAGAGGTTGTTTGGCTTTCCTGTAGCGACAGTGCTCCTCTTTCTGAGTTGTGGGGAACTGTTTGCCAAGCTTGAGACACCCTTCGTACCTTGCAATTCCCATTGAAAAACGGCCTAGACCCGATTTCCACCGAGGTGACCATCTTCTCCCGATGCATCACGAACCTCGATAGGTGGAGCATATAACAGCTATAGAAGAACCAATTGAAACACACTCCGCCGCTGTATCCTGCCCCGAGAAGCTCAGTTCTGATTCGACTGCAGCGAAGAGAAAAGAAGGCACCTTGGGAGGAGATGTCGTTACAAACGATGGCTAATGACGCAATGCTCCTTCACATGCAGGTTCGGCAACAAGCCAAACTCGCCTGATCTCATCCTCCAGGCTTACGTCACCCAGCCCAACTTTGGCGCCGGGAACGTCACCCTCCTCAAAACAATCTTTTTGAACGACCCAGACAAGAAGGTGCCCTTCCTCATCAAGGTAAGCGCCCCGTGTGGCGCACCGAAAAAGAAATCCCGGACTGAGATCGGTCTGAAGTAGGCTTTGAGATTGGTTCCGACGGAAACGTCCAATTAAACGATATCGCGCTTTGAATGTTTTCCCTCAATTGAAGACCCATTTTGATGGATATGGTCTCCTTTTTCAGACTTACTCTGGACTCGATCCACCGTGCCTCTACTGGGACGTGCTTTTGAAAACGCGGTTCTTGAGACTCTCGAAAGACTCTCGAACGACACGCCTTCCCCCCCCCCCGTCTTACCCACACAAAGGAAATACATCCAACAATAAGAGCACGTCCGAAAGACTCTCATAGCAGATATCGAGACGCTTCCACGACCCAAAAAGACACGTAATCTTACTCCCAACCCTCTCATTCGCAGAACGAATACACGTCCAAGCGCTACCTGACCGGCTCCGACTTCGACATTGAGTCCATCCAGCCGGTTGGTACCAGCTACTGGTTCGGTGACGAGTTTGGTCCGTACCTCCTGGAGGTCAACGCTGCGGACGGCAAGGTACGTACCGGGCGTCCGAACCGGGTACCCACCGGCGGGCTTGGGATTAGGTTTTGCATTGGTTGCCTGTAATCAGGGCACTACAGTAGCCTTTTAAAACCAAGTGGAATATTACATGGTAAAGCTAGTAAGTTCGATGCTTGTTGTTCTCTTTTCGTAATCGGGGCGTGACAACCAGTACGCCGTTTACGGCGCCACATCTCCCAAAGAGGACGGATTTGTGTCTTTGGTGCGCAGTAGAAAAAATGGTGAACGGAAGGGGATTCAAGTGCTCGCGACTTTCGTCTAGTTCGTTGGATTCAACGTCTAGACGCCTCCAAGCCGTTACGAGTTTTGAGAGATTCTTGTGTATTGATGCATCACTCTCGTTACGCGTGCAGTTCGTGCCACAGGAAGAATGGCCACGAGCCGTTCTTATGGTTTGCTTCTGCTAGAATCTGTGAACTTTTTCCCGTGTCGAGACACCATCACATGGCTGAGGCCTACCTGATATCGCTGAACGCACAAACTAAGTCTCCGGCAGAACCAGCGCCAGTCAGGGCTGGTCCAGTTAACCGGGACTAAACGCATCTCAACCCCCTTTTCCCAGGTCTTCGACTAACCCAGCGCTAGTCAGGGCTGATCCTTAACAAAGACTAATCGCATCTTAACCCCCTTTCTCCAGGTTTTCAAATAAACCAGCGCTAGTCAGGGCTGATCCTTCACCACGACTAACTGCATCATAACCCCCTTTTCCCAGGTCTTCGGCTAAACCAGAGCTAGTCAGGGATGATCCTTAAACGGACCAAACCGTAACATGACCTCCTTTTCCAGGTTCTTCCAGAGCTTTAACCATATCATAACCTCTCTTTTCCAGGTCCTTTCAAAGATTTACCGTAGCACAACCTCCTTTTCCCCAGTCCGTCCAGAAATTAACCATAGCATGACCTCCTTTTCCCCGGTCCTTCCAGAGATCAACCGTATCATAACCCTCCTTTTCCAGGTCCTTAACTTCTACGACACCGTGGTACCCGGACTCGGCGCCGTGCGCAGCCCCGACAACGACAAGCTCATTCTGCCCAACCCCGACGCGTCGCTCCCTGGTGAGTCGCGACCACTTTGGTGTCTCGGATAAGGAGCAATGTGTTGCTCGCTCAAGCATTTCTAGGTTGGAATCTGGAATGCCAGGCACTTCGTTGCCTTTTCGTATCTCCAAGTCTGATGGACAGCTGAAAATATTCCAAAAAAAACGTCTTCAGAACCGTTAAGGTAATTACATCTTCATGGAAAACTCGTCATTCTTTGGGGAAAGTGATCCTCTTCAAAAATTACAGAGTTTGCCACAGAAATATGAGGGCCAAGACAGTTTTTGTCAGCAGCGTCAAAGGAGTGACCAGTAACAAATCCTGAAAGGGCCTGCTTGTCACTGCCATCTCTCGATGGCTAGCTTTTCTTGAGAGTCGAGACGACTGAACCGGCAAACATTCAAACACATCTCTCGACGCTCATCGAGCATGACTGTCAAAGACTTGGTTGCAATATCTTGTCAACCCGTCACAAGCAGAGATTGCACCACTTTCCAACTTCGACGAGCAATATCCAAAAGAAAAGCATCTACGAGTACAAAATCCTGACGTCATCCCATGCGCTTTTGCAGTGTACGAGCTGAAGCACTCAAAGGGTTTCGAGGGCATGGCTCAGTCGCCCGATGGCCGGTACCTTTACCCCCTGCTGGAGGGACCGCTCTGGAACTATACCGCCAAGACCTACGAGAAGACGCCAGCTGGCAAGGAGTTCCTTCGCATCATGCAAGTAAGAATCGCCTGGCGACTAAGTGAAACTTTACCCTTGCTTTCAGCGTTCAGCTGTTTGCATCAAACTTGCCATCGGGTTCCAGACTCTCGGAGCGTGGTTCCTGATCTTGGGCCGTCCGATGCCTGCCTTGTCGTCGATCGAACAGTCCAAAATCAGGGACCATGATCGGAGCATCTGAAACCCGATGGCAGGTTTGACGCAAAGAGCTGTACAATGCGGCACTTTGACCCAGTCAGTTACACTTGGTCGAAGAGGATCCATGAGATGTTATCTCATTGACGAATAGAGTCGGCAGTCGTGATATCAGTTGGCTCACACAGCAGGTGGTGAAACTTCAGTCGCTACACAGACGTATCCGAAAATCGTCCCCTCGATTATAGCTGCAAGCTCTGCTGCCACAGCGCACATTGCAATTCATTTTGTGCTTCCCAACTCAGTCCCACATCTTCAGTTCACCATCCACTAACGGATGACGTGCCGTTCCGTTCCATTCCATTCAGTTCCATTTCTTAAAGTTCATTTGACCGTCTCCGTCTCCCCACCTGCCAAGGGCTGCGATTTTTTTTTTCGAGCCAGCGTTTTCGTATGCTTGTTCGCATTGACATTTTTAAATTGTCAGAGTTTATCTTAACGTGCTTGCATTCCAGTCCGGTAGGACGAACGGACGTTACTTTCCAGCTCGAAACAAAGTGTCTGCTCCTCGTCTCTACAGTTCATTTACTCGTAACGCAGTCTGCTTATGACGCGTCGATTGGGTTGCTTCTTCGCTCCATTCTACGCTTGTTAGGTTCAGACAGGTTTTGTCAATGTCCTCCCAAAACCAGGAACCCCTTTCTTGCTGGAAATCATTACCCGCATCTTCGGTTTCTATTCGGTGCTCCATAAAAGATGTAATTTTCGATTGTATGAGCACCATGAAGGATAAGAGCCAAACTTAACTAGAAACCTAGACTAATGGTTTACACGCTCCGCACCCGTACCCACCCTAACCCCCTAAACCAACCCCACCCGTCCCAATTACCCTTCATAGCGCATACCATTCATAAGATCGATCAAAAAAGAAAGATAGCTCACAGCCTGGAGGCAGTTCTTGGCTGTTCGCGCATCGTGCCACGTTTGACGAGACAGCTCCCCCTCTAAGCTCGTGCCACGTGTCGCCGCGCAGTTCGACCTCAGCATCCGCAACTTCACGTCCACGACCTACAAGTACCCCCTAGAAACCAACGGCAACGCCATTGGTGACTTCAACATGGTTGACGCCACCCGGGGGATGATCATCGAGCGCGACAACGGGGCGGGAGACAGGGCGAATGCGTGCACCCCGGGGACCACCACCACCAACTGCTTCGACACCCCCGGTGAGGACCGATTTGACTTGGGTGTAACGATTTTGCAAGTACCCTAAACCGCTTCCAGGTTCTTAGTAATTCTGGGTTTGCAATCGTTCGACTTGGACATGATGTTGTTTTAGTCGAAAGCGGACGCATAGCCTGATTTGTCCAATGGGTATTGAGTTCCAGTCGTGCTTGCTATTCGGGCAGAACCATCAACTGCTTCGGTACCCCAGGTGACGGCGGTTTTGTCCTTGAACCTGGAGAAACTTTGCAAGTTATTAGTAACACGGATTTGGAGTCATATCCACCTGGATTCATAGCCCACCTGGCTTCAAGTACTCCTCTGGCTTGGAGTAATTCAGAGGGACAGCACTAACTTTGTGTGCTTTTTGAGCCGAAGAGAGTGCTTGCTTGTTCAGCACGTCCGTTCCATCCAATCGGGTTTTCCAAAGGCCAGAATGAGAGTGCGAAGTGGTTGAAAGACTTCGTATCTGTCCATTTCAAGATCACACATAGACTTCGCAACAGGAAAGTCGGATTAAGACAGTCCGGTAAGACAGTCCGGAGGTACGGCACGGAAGATTCGATTCGAGCTGTCTTGAACCCAGATGTCACGATCTCACATTCTCGTTTGAATCCGCTTCATACCGTTTTCCTGTAATGCAGCTCTGCTGAAGCGCATCTATATGATCAACCTGAACAACACGGATGCGGACGGTTTCTTAGTCAAGAACTCGTACATCGATCTTCTGGACATTGCGGACCCCAACGCCGTTTCCAGGTGAGAGTCATAAAGGCGCCAGCCTAGGCCGGTGTGTGGCGCATAAAGCTGCCAATCTGGAGTTGAGATTACTATCTTAACAAGCTCGACGGCGAAGAACTCTACCTTGACTGCTCGAAGCACAAGCAACCTTCGACCTTCGCATGCCATACAAAGCTTTCCTTCCGTTGATCAGAGCAACTTACGATGCCTGTACTCTTTCAGAAGAGTGTGATTTTGCGCCCGGTCGTTTGCACCCTTATTCAGGCAACGGCCCTCTTCCTGTTGTGGGGGACTCAGAAGTCTCTGGATATGAGAACTGCCAAACGTTCTTTTGCACCGGCAACGTTGCCGGATCATTGAGGGGCGCTTCTTGTTCAGCGGAGCTTTCTGCTCGACTGTTTCGTAGCTTTTTGGACTGAACCGTTGATCAACGGGATCCATTTTTTCGATTGTTGAGTAGGGTTGTGCATCTAAGGAAGGCTTTTGAAGTTGACCTAGTCCTGGGAACGAAGGATGAAGAGATTGTTTGTGGTTTTTCGGCCACCCAGACGAGGTTCAAAGCTTGTAATTGGACATACGTCAACGAGACAATCCCCTAAAGTCCAGAATAATGCTTTTCGAGTTGACTCCGCCTCTGAAGATATACTCGCAAAGCGCTTGAGGACGACAGGGCAGAAAGAAAACATAGACGCCGTCTATCTAAAATCCAATCAGGCTAAGCAAGTCAGTAAGAGTTATAATCCGGTTGAGTAAAGCAACTCAGTAACGGACGAACACGTTTTCCGCTGCAGGGTTCCGTTGGTGGGCGGTCGCTTCACCTTCCCCTTCGTGACCATCGAGAGCGTGGACGTGTCCAACGCCACGGCAGGCCAGATCATCGTTTGCAACGACAACAACCTGCCCTTCTCCGCGGGTGAGCGCCGGTTATTTTGCGGTTAGAACTGTGGTTTGGAGAAGCAGTTTGTTTGTCCGTCGTCCGTGGAGTGAGCGTTGAATTCTACATGCTCGGTCGGTCCTGGTTGTCAACAAAGTGCTCTTCTCCGGCAAGTGCAGCGCGATGCGTGAATGATGGTGTGGGCTAGCCAAGCATCCGTGTGGAAATGAATTCACGATCCGTTTCGATCAGTGTCCAGGTCTACTCTTGAAGTTTAGTTATGGTTTGGCTCTTATCGGGTCAAAAGACCCCTTCGCACGCTTCGCCTCCGCTGTTTGATGAAGGTTCGAGTGGCGGCAATGAGTCCAAGAGTTCCATAAAGGTCAGGCTTGCGAAAACAGGATGCTTGATGTGTCCATTCTTCTCAGCCGCGAGCCCTTTCCGTTCGACGCAAACTGGGCATGGTTGAGCTAAACGCTGAACTGCGGTGCACAAACTCTAAGACTAAAAACCCCGAAAGCCCATGCAAAAAGCGAACGATCAAGTTTGAGCAAAGTCGAAGGATTGGTAACCCTGGTTTGGGTTTTCGCAGGCCGTGTCCCTAACCAGGTGGACAACAACGAGTTCATCATCCTGAGCGTCCCCGAGTTCCTGCGGTCCAACGCCGGCGGGAGTGTGATCTCCTCATAGAGCGCGCCCGCTTATGATCAGTGCGACGCTCCTTTGGAATCTTCATGGACGCGGTTTCGATCCGGAAAGGGTTCGATATTTATGTATGTCTAGCTGTCAGGAGTGAAATCGAGCTATGCTTCTCCGGCCTGGTTCATCGGTCGAGCTTGAGTGCAGAGAGTGCAGAGAGCCATGGTTTTCGGGTATACTTAGAAAGGTTTTTGACGGGTTACCAAGCTCACACCAGATATTTAGCCTTGCTTAAGGCAGCGAGTTGAAGTATAATTCAAATGTTGAGCTTCTGACGAATAATCCTATCCTGCAAAGGGTCACACAATACTGGTCGTACCTTCGGCTTAAGCCCCAGGCAACTTATATTCCGTTTTCCTGTGTCCGCTCAAGGAATTCAAAAGTTGTCTTTATGTTTTCTCTCGACTCCATTCTACGTCAAGACACCGAACACCGACACATGACCGATGCACCTTTGCAGCCCAGCCCACCTTGGCGAATCGTAATGCAGCATTCCACGTTTGTGTTTCAAGCACAGGTTTGCCATTCCTTCTTGATTTGCAATTGAACTATGAAAATGAGTCTGATGAAATCTTTGTGTACAATAAATCCCGTATCATGAGAAGAATTCATTCCGGCATAGTACGTGGACGGTGATCATGCACCCGAACAGTAGTCGCACGCAGAATGTGGAGACGGTTGGGCGGCGGTGCAGCCGTCAAAGAGTGACCCAAGTTGACGGCGCCGGGCTCGGAGCTCTTTTACGAACACTTCTAGCTAAAAGCCCACGTGCGTAGTGCGAAGGCATGGATCGAGCATAGTGCAGGTACAAATGTCAAAAGGAGTTCGCAGGAACTGAGTTTTTACAACATATTTTCGACAACTTCGCGAACGAGAAAATGTGCTTTTGTTTGAGTTTGACCATGTGCTCTTCAATGCTTTCACAACGGCCCTAGTAGTACGCTAAGAGAGAACGTGAACGAAGGAATTCGTTCGTTTCGTATTAATGATCCTGGAGCTAGCACCTTGCCGTTGCACTATCGTCTGTGCTGCATCCCTCAGGCGCACTCGAGCTTCTTAAATTGGAGGGCTGGCCAAGGAATCCGTTTCTGCTCGCTCCTGGTTTTACTTGCCCACTCTTGTAGTTTCGCCGTTGTTGATCGAGTGAGTCAATCAATTGAAGCTTCAAGTCCTTTATTCCAAAAGACTCGTTTTTGAAACTGTTTTTCTGATCGAATGGTGAGGGTCTTTTCAGAGTCCTGCTTGATTGGAGCACAGAAGTTCCTACTGGATCAGCTGGCGTACCTTGCGCCTATTGCTGTGGTATCTCTTACGACGTAGGTCCCCGACCACAGTCATCAACGTCACGCTCTCGTCACAGGTGGCACTATGAGTCTCCCGTTTCTCGAGATCGGATAGCACCCCGCGTTGATACTTAATCGACTCTTTGGATGTCCAAATCCACTCCGATAACTCTCGTGTGACCTAAGAGCCGTGTGACCTAAGATAGGCACCCGGGGGACGGGTGCGGTTGGTATGGTGGTTAGGGGTGGGTTGGGGTGCGGAGCGGGTAAATATTCGGGTTAGGATTTTAGTTTGAAGTGCCCGGGTAGCTCGTATCTTAGGTCACGCCCGTTATGTCACACGAGTATTACCGGTATTTCCGCGCTGGTGCTGGGGCTCCAGCCTACTGAGTTTTAATAGTGCGTGAAAGGATCTCTAGTTAAAGGTCTGATTCTTTGACACGCGTCGTACCGACGAGCACATGTCAACAACATCCGACGACAAAATCTGACAATGATTCAAGTAATCCGAACTGCTACTTTGGATATAAGATCTTATCAGCTTGAAATTCATCTGTAGCAGTAAAGTCGTAGTTCCCGAATTGTCAAATGGTCAGAAACCCAACCATCAACCTAGCTCCTAGCTGCGTCCTGGGATTGAGCTGTGGCAAATCATAATAACTCAGAGCTAATTGAGGCTTCTCGAGTGGCTATTAAACAACATAAATCTTTTGAGGGCTGATTATAATTTAGGCTGATTATGTACTGCTGTCGTCAGCGTCAGCGCGCTACGAGTTGGGAGCTCAGTTGTGCTATTCTGCATGCGCAACCGTTGGGAGCTCACTTCGAGCATGCATACGCCTGTTCCACCGAGAAGAAGATTAATGTGATTGAGAACGAGAGAATCTGTGTCAACGACCTGGAAGTGGAACGGTCAAGCTCCTGGTCAAGGAGAGACGGCAGATACGACGGATTTCTGCTGTCTGCAAACTGTCCTCCGTACTCTCCTACTGTCATTCAAAGGGTTCCAAGCTTCGCAAGTGCTGTCTGCTTTCCTGCAGCATCGGAGGAAGCGTGAAGAATTTTGAAATGAACGGTCATCTTGCCTGCATAAAAAGAATTGCGCGGGCTGCTGCAGCGCAATCAGCTATACATCTGATTTGAAAGCTTTCGAAGAGTCGACCAGTGTCAACAGACCCTTTTCAGCGCGGCTGACAAAAGGAACACGAGCTGGATAGAAAGAGCCACTCCAGTGTCTCGAGATGGTACCTTTCATGGAGACGGTGGGATGGATGATTCTCATAGTTTACATAGTCGTGCACTGTCTAGGAATCAAGGTTTGCCTGCTCTCTTTACTGGCAGCACAGGAAGAAGATGACAGTCGTTCCTTGAATGTGGGGGAGCATCCACAGGCGCAGGCGCAGGAGGAAGTAGAGGGAGGGGAAAGTCGCAGCGAGAGCCCCCTGGCCCTGTCCAAGCGCAATGCGCCAGTCGCAGAGAAGAAGGCGTTGATCTCGGCCGAATTAGAGCGGCGGCAGCTGAGCGAGTTGCAGGAGGTCCTCATCGTGCGCGCTGAGTGAAGAGATGAAAAAGCTGTCTCACAAGTTTTGCTGTTGATCAGTGGGGACGGGTTGAGGTGGGCAAGATAATTCGGTATCTTTGTGTAAGGTACCAGTTTTTCGCCAAGATATGCCGCTTAGATAGGAGTTAAGAAGAAGCTTTTGCGATCAGACTGATGCCGGTGAATCTGACTTATTACTAATGGTCGCTTTGTTCAAAATTGAGCTGCCAGACGCTGTGTGATGCTTCACGTCAGAAATTTCAGATGCGTCAGCAAAATTGACGCATGTTCACCCGCTCAGCGTCGAATATTTGTTGGACGCACTTGCATAATAAGCCCCTGGCCCGTGGGCCAATCAAGGGGATGCAGGCGCTTGCATCCCAACCAGTGGCAGGGGCTATAAACTATCAGGTTGCGAATCGAAGCGCCAGCACCGCGCTCGCTGCAGACGCGGCCGGGCCTCGATCCATCCTGAATGATCGACTCATTATGGGCGCTGGACATCATCGAATGGTTTGTAAAGGCTATGCACAAAGCTCGCATGCGCTAGTGCATGTGTAGAGTTGATGCGGCGCGGCGGCCATGATCGATTACGTACATTAATATCATATACGAGTACCAAGCCAGCTGCCCGTATTACAAAGCCAGCATGCATGCGATCCCGGACGATGAATGTTTTGTCGTAGGCCGCCCAGCCGCAAGTTTATCATGAGCAGGCGGCCGTCGCGCCGGGCACCAGCATTTGAACTTTGTGGCAGTGGTGACATGGGGGGTTAGCATTAGTGTATGAATACAGTATGGCATTTGCAAGTGCATGGGTCCCCGACATTCTTGAACATGTAATCTTACATACAGGCTGCAAGACATGCCGGCCTGCTCCTCAATTACGCTCGTGGAGGCCGCGCGTGAATCAATCACCTACCGTCGGGAGCACCCAACCATTGACAGATGAAACCAACCTCTGTCGAGCTGATGGACAAAGACCCTCACGAGCAGACTGAAGGTGGTTACAAAGGACACGCAATCTGCTCAGAAACGATTCTGCAGCATCTTTCTACCGACTCAATGCCGGGCCCTAATCTATCTCTGCTTCATCCTCCCCTACGGCCAAACTGCCAAACTGCTTGTTCCAATCCTGGTAAGCAAGCAACTCGTCTGGCGACACAGACGCTCGGACTTGATGGAGGGCGTTTTCAAAGTCCTGAAAGTACAATAGCAGTCGTTAGAGGAGTAATGATACTGCAAAGACGCCAAGAATCCTAGTCTGCGGGCCCGTCGTCGTTTTACTGCTGCCAAGATACCGTCGGCTAATGCGGAACAGATATTCTAGAGCGAGGAAGGAACTGTTCTGCCGGCAGTTCTCAACAACCAAAATTGACGTTCAATTGCCGATGAGAGTGGCTTGTTCTCGACATCCGCTGATCGACTTGCGAAATGGTAGCGGAAGCTGTTGTGGCAGCGCACCCCGTCAGCATCGGCGAGCGCGCAAGGCCCACCTCGTGCAGAGCTAAAATTCGGTTCAGCAACCTTCTTCGAGCTTTCTGACAGAATTTCAAATTCTCTGGAGCCACCTATTCCTTCCAAGTCTTCATCGTAACCTGCTAATATCCCTGCCGTCGTTAACAGAAAGTGCTTGTAAACGGCAAAGAAAAAAAAAGAAGGAGCTCACGCTGAGGGTGATGGGCCGCATCTGGTCCCTCGTCACGGTGTCGATGTTCCCATGCATCATCGCAGCCTCTCGCAAAGGGCCTAAGGACGCCTCCTTGACCAGGTTCTTGACGTCGGATCCCGAGTAACCTGCATGAGAAGATGGACTTGAACTCAGCCCTTTGGATAGCGCCCGCCTAGACGAATTTTGCCGGCCTGATGAGGATACCTCAGCAACTGAAGTATGATTCGACAGTGCCCTGTCTTTCAGAGTTTGCAAGTGCTCAGATGCACGAACGTAAGTCAAGAAGACGAGGCGCCACGCCGCGAAAACAAGCGACTGACCCGGCAAAGACACCGCCCGGGACGTAGCTTTAAACAGGAAAGAGTTTCTTGGTGAGGAGCGTCTTCCTTCCCACGTTATGGATGACCATGTTCCGACCGGAGCCAGCTGGCGGAAGAGATCTACTGAGAAGCATCTGATTAGTCGCTCACCTTTCGTCTTTGCTCGGATGCTGTCCATGTCGCTGTCCGAAAGGTTCATGAGGCCGTCCTTCTGGAGCAGGTTCTGGACGATAGCGGCTCGAGCACCTGCAAGCATTTTACGTTCACTTACAGTGCTACTGATTGGATTTGACCAATCCAGCGAGTTACATTGCCGGTTTTCAATCGCCCTGGAAAGCTGGGGTGACTGAAAAGTTGGCAATGTTTCGGCGGCGGTGCGAGTGCGCGCTAGGCTGTTGACAAGGGAAAGAGAGCAGGCGTACCGGCCCTGGGCGCTGTTATTGATTTAACGATGAAAATCTGCTAACGGCGTGCAGAATTAGTCAGCTTCCAGACAGCAAGGCAGCCAAGGGCAGACGCACCTGCCGAAGACACTCTGTAACACTCTGTAAGTCGCTAAGAAAGCGAAGCCTTCGCTGCGCTTCGCGACAGAAAGGGTCCCCTTACAGGTCCTGTTCGAGATGGGACACCAAAGTCACAGACTCTAGAATTCCAGAATTTCTATTACTTCTTGACATTTTCGAGAGCCATGATCGGGGGGGCTCCTAGTCGCTCTTACCAGCAGTCGGCAGAGGAATGTACAGCCGCTTCGAGAGCCGCCGCCGTGCAGCTTCGTCCAGCTCCTGAGGCCTATTCGTAGCCCCTGGAATTTCACCAGAAAAGACCGTTTTTATCAGGGATGCACTCTTGAACTGTTCCATTAGCGAGATGTGCCAGACTCTACCTCTCCAGAGCGATTTGATCCCTACACCTGAGAAAGAAGCACAGAAGGCCAGCTTCGCAATTTGAAAGGGCACTAAAATGGAGCAGGAACCAACCTATAAGCAGCACGCGCTCGTCGCCGCCGCAGCAGCCCTCCATCTGGACCAGGAACTCCGTCTTCAGCCGCCGGCTGGACTCGTGCTCGCCGTCCGATTTACGCTGAAAGACGACGGCCGGACCTTTGTTAGCCGTCCGTTTGGTCCGAGAGTCGATGGGACGGGAGTGAGCCCGAGAGGAATTGAGGGCAGGACTAAGGCCACTGGCACTGAAAACCTATGGCGACGTGGCTGCGGCTTAAGCGTGTAGGATGAAAGGTGGCGCGCACGCAAGGTGAGGCCAAGCTAGAAGTGGACAATGTGGAAGGAGTGGAAGGAGAAGAAGGTCCAAAGTCGGGGAAAGTGGAGGCCCAGGAAAATTGGACTGTTACTTGCCCTTAAAGCAGGCGACGTTGTGAGTGAAAAACCTGAGGAACGAGAAGTGCGCGTTGTCTGGAACGGCTGAAACAAGCTACAAGTTTGGTGTGGTGATCGGTTGTGAAATGTTGGCAAGCTGCTCGTCTTGTAAGCTCAAGGAGCTGTGCCTGACCTGAGAAAGCAACGAATCGACTTCGTCGATGAAGATCACGGCTGGCTGCCGACACCCCGCGACCCCAAACAGAGCGCGCACGAGCTTTTCGCCTTCTCCAATCTGCAGATATCAGCAACTTGTCTGAGGTCCTATCAACATGCCAACGAACGGAACGAACTGGGAGGACACAGTCAAACGGCCAGATCCACTCAGAATGAGCGTAGCCCCATCGGCCCCGCGAAGGTGCTGGTTCCGCCCAAAATAGCATGAGATGTGATCAGCGACACAGGTCCGGAGAAGGGACGCTCCCTTAAGGTCCGATGGCCAGTCCGCATGCACTTACCCACTTGCTCGTGAGGGAGCTAGCCGAAATTGAGAAGAAAGTCGCGTTGGCCTCGGCCGCAATGGCTTTGCCGAGCAGCGTCTTCCCCGTACCCTGCAGTGAAGCAGACTTGGCCCTCATACAGCGACGAGAACCCCCTGATCTATCGCAATCCGAGGTTCTTGCACCGTAAAAGAAGCAGGGAAGTTTGCAGGCGACTTCACCAGTTGTCCACGATAAGCAACATGCAGATTGCTTGATTGATTAACCAGCATTGACACAAGATTCACAATCGCGCGCGATGGTCGTTTGCAAGCTGACAATCCTCACCGGTGGTCCGAAGAGAAGGAGGCCCTTGCCAGGGGAGCGCACTGCATATCCAAGGATGACCGTTTACGTCGTAGAGCAGACTTTGATGCAAAGTTGTTCTCTATGAGTACGCAGACAATTTACTTGGAGCGCACCAGGCGCAGTGCATCATTGACAAGATTTGCAGCATATGCGATGAAAACCGAAACCAGTGAACGAGAGCTGCTGAAAGGTGGTGAGCCCGCTCACCTCCAGCAAACAGATCGGGTCGCTTCAACGGCCACACGACGAGCTCTTGTATGCTTTTCTTGGCGTGGCCCAATCCAGCTGCAGATACGGGTAAGGGATGAGACGTGGTTGGGGGGGCACGGAAGGCCTGTTTCATGAGCTAGCTGAAGTTCCACCACGACTCGTTAAGCATTTATGGCGATGACTGAGTTGACAAGGCGACAAACGAATGGCTTTGTACACAGACGAAAATGTTTCATTGAAAGGACAGGATGGCAATCAGCAGAACTGCCTTGCCTGCAGGCTACATTGCAGCTCCTTGAGATTCGACTGTAATGAAGAGAAGACCAAACTATCTTCCGCGACGTGAGGTTCCGAGATTCGTGATCACCTGCCAACGCCTGTTCATGTTTCCTCCCACTGAGCAGGGACAGCAATTACTGCCGGTCAGGGGCTCACCAATGTCGCCCCAGGTCACATTCGGCGCCTTGTCAATGATCTCGTTGCTGATGTGCTCAAGCAGTCTCGGCTCAATGTTCTTGATCCTGTCTGGAAGCTCCCCGTCAGGCCCCGCCAGGCTCTCCAGACTGCAAACCAAGAGTAGAGTGTTCGCTTCATTGGCGTTGACAAATGCATACAGTCTCCATTTCCGGAAGCAATGGCACTTCTAACGGACAAGGAGGAGTTCAGGGCAGTCAACAAAGAGGATTTTAATTGTCGAGCCAGAAGGTGCTGATGAAGAAAGCTTTCTTGGCACCCGAAGACCGAACCCTACTAAGCTCTCTAAAATGCTATTCCTGTAAGCATCGTCCACACCCGCTGCAGAAATGATGCTTCGGGCCATGCGGATTGATAATGACAATGTCCGCTTACAGCTTCCGGGTAGCCTCGCTCTCTTCATCCCCTCCTTGCTCTGCTCCTTTGTCCGGCTTGCGCGGGGCTGTACCTCCAGACTTGATTGGAGGAATGAAGGCGCCCCTGACACCCCTCTTCATGGCAGGCGGCTTGAAGCCTTGCTGAGGCGGGTTGACATTCCGGCTGTGGAGACCTTTCTTCGCATTCTCGATGACCTGCAGACGGTATGAAGGACCAGCAGATCTCAATGTTGTTTGACACACCTGAATGCATCTCATCAACCTTGGAAGACAGACGCAAGGATCTCAATTTGAAGCAACTGTTGCAGCTCGGCGTTTGTCTTTATTCAAAGACAGTGGCGGGTGACTCACGAGCTTCTGTTTTGCTGACATGAAGTCCGTCGGGCCAACTTCTTCTATCTCGTCGTCTTCATCTGACAGCCGCCGTTTGCTCTGCTTTGAGCGATGCGCCTCAACTGGACTCAAATCTTCCTGGAGCTCGGACTGCAAGATGCCGAATCGAGGAGATGAGCAAAGAGCTGACACTTGATTATGGTAAGCTCCTGATTGCATCAAAGAACTCACATCAAGAGTGCTTTCTTTCCTCCTATCGTCAACGGAGAGGCAAAGGAGAGTTTAAGGCCGGAAGTGGACGTTCAGGGTGGCTTGGTTGGCAGGCAGGTCAACGTATGTCACAATCTTGTCAGAGTATTGCCGTGAGAGTCCAAACATGCTTTCCATGCAGATCCGACTAAGAGAAGCAGTTGCTTCTTGCTGATGTACTCCTCACAAAACAATCAAGCGCTCATATCAGATGACCGAGAGATCTGCTAACACGGTTGATGCAGAGTGCTCACTCGTTTTCGCCTGGCAGCGTTGTCAAACTCCATCTCGTCATCATCATCATTGTCGCCAACCTTGTTTGCACCTCTGCTCCACAGTGGCTGAGTTTTCTGCTTGGAGAACCCCGCATATGACGAAAGAATTTGTACCCTTGGCTGACTGGCATCGCTCTCTGCTTTCACAGAAGCAGCCTTTTGTGCAGAGTAAGATGTCTGCCGGTTTGCAGATGGGGTGTAGAGAGAAGGTAGTTTGGACTGACGGTAGGTGGTTCTGTCAGGCACTGTTGGGGCTTGAAAGATTTGAGGGACTGATTGCGGAGGTGGTACCTTTTGGATCAATGCGGAGCTTGATGTTGCTTTCGACTGTCGATTCTGCAAACGCAAAGAACAAAGTAAATGGGTCCGTTACAAGCGGGTGAGCAGATGGCTGCTCTTTCAAGCATAAGATGTAGTAACAGGATCTAACAGCAGTGCTGATTCACCCATACAATGCTCACTGAGAAGAATGTGAGAGTTTAGATCAGCTCGGACATCAGATTTGCCGAAAGATTTCATTTGGGACTCGTTGACTGCCATGGGAACTTAGCAAAGGCGCAGCTTTAGTCGCAAGTTGATGCACCAGAGGTACAAGCATGCCAGCAACAAAATGGACAATAGTGCATGCGGTGCTTCCAATTATAGAATTATGAAGGTTCAGCTAGTATACTTGAGCGTGAGCCTCACTCTCTTGTTCTGCAGAATTTCTGCATTGCTTAGTATCGTCCCAAACGGTTCACACTCCCTCAAGCTGCTCAGGTCCAGTGCTCCATTGACTCCAAAACCGAAGGTATCAGGGACGCCAGCACTTTCCAGGATTGACCTGCTAATCATTCGAATTTACATTAGTGTTGAAGGTGGCGCTTAAAGCAGCAACCTGCAGAATGCCTAAGCGCAGATCAAGGGCAGATTGCAACTTAGTGAAATCAACAGAGCGTAATTGTCACCGAAAAGAACATTAGCCTCATGCTTCCCGGAACGCCAGAGCAGAAAGGGTGGCTATCAAAGTGGTGGTATTTCTCCACACCTTGCGTCCAGGGAAATGTGCTTATCCCTGGCCTTTTGAAGCTGCGAACATGCCTGCTCCCTGAGGCTGTCAAGATACGCCTCATCTTCATAGGACGTTGTTTGAGCCTGCAGTTCAATGTATGTACCGGGTAGTCAGATGCAGGCTTGATGGTCTATTGATGAGCTCCATTAAAAGCTCGCTTCAGCTGCACGCCATGAGCAGGATCCCTAAGCCTCTGCATCCCTTGTATCCCTGCGAGTGGTGCTCATCATGTTGCTCACTAGTATGACTCGAGCAATGGAAAGAGTTTAAGAAACGAATAAGTTACAAAGGAGCGTACCTCAAGAAAGCCAAGCAGGCGAGTGGCGATTATCCGGGAGCGGCGCGCATTGTCTACCTCCTTCTCAGCAGAAAAGAGAAGAGTTTGGAGCCTCTCAAGCTTCGGCGTGTCACATGATTGCGTGTCGCCAAGCTCCATGTTTGGGAAGGCGCCAGAGCAGCTGCCAGCACACGACCTGATAGGTCAGCAGGGAAACATGGGCCTCGTTAAAGCAAATCTTCCCGCATCAAATGAATGTCATTTTTGTTCCACATTGTGACGGCAGCACCGCAGGGACGTGCGGAAGTGAGAACAGCATTAAAGCAAAACCCAAGTAAGAAACACTTTGCGCAGCGCTGTTGATCAAGATAATGTCACCTTGACTAGGCTCCCCGTCGTTGAATGATCGGAGACAAGACTGAATGATTCAGACTCGGTGATTGGCTCGAACATCAGCCGGTTTCGGCCCAGTGCCCAAATTGTCGCGCCAAACATCATACATTATGCTGCTCAGAGATTTTGAAATACGTCATCAATCTCATGATCCAATCAAAAATCGCCATTGCCTAGCTTCTGCCACGCGGCGTTCATTGATACGTTGAATTACAGGCAGAGTTGACGTAAGCAAGAAGGTTTTGGCGCCAAGATTAAAGGGGCGACGCCTCGCTTCAAGTTCAGGCTTCAGACTTCACTGTTGACACTGTGAGTGTCCCGGGCTGGGGCAAGCGACAATAGCACAGCTAGCTCACTTCAATTGCATCTTGTCTGGGAAGGATCAGTGACAGCAAACAGGCCGCTGAGATTGTCGGTGGTGCGCCGCAGCAATGCGCCGATAGAGTGTATTGATTGTTAGGAATGGGGTCTTTGGCCGTGGGAGCGCGGGCACCTCTGAGTCAGATCACATTATCCCGGCACAATTGTGCACGAAGTGCCGCTGAGAAGAGGCTCAAAAGTGTTCACCTCATCAGGACTGCTGGAGACAAAAGCTGTCGGATCAATAGCCAGGGATTGTGTGGCCCCTGGTCACCTTCTGCTCTGTTGCATGCAGCACAATGCCACCACTCCTTGCGCAGACCAGCAGGCGTCAGCGCACCTCAAGCCAGTGCCAATGCTGACGGAAACTCCTCTCAGCCTAGTCCTTCACATGGGCCCATTGGGGGAATTCCCAGCATTAGGTGCCTACATCTAGTTGCTTCTAACAGCGCCAGACAGACACCAGACAGATGTCGGTCAGAGCTGGAAGGTGCGCCTCAAGCTCCTCCGTATCCCCATATTATGGCCTTACTGTTCGGCCTTGCTGGCCTTCTCTTTGCAGTAACGCTGAGCCAAAAATTCCCTAAGAGGAGAGGATTGTCTCTGCATACCACCAGTGCGCAGACCGCTACGATAGTCAAAAAGTCTCAAAGAGACAAGCAGGAGGAAATAAGTGAAGCGGTTGATCGATTAGCCAGTGGGACAAACCGTGTTCTGGCAGATATGCCAAGCTTTTGCGGGACTGAGCCGGCGGCACAAACGCAGAGTAGTCTGCTTCGTCGCCGCCAATTTAGACCCGATTCCAAGCGACAACAGAATGAGCCTTTGGCATTAGTGTCAACAAGTGTAGCTGCCAGTACTTCAGAACCTGTCACGCTTCAGATCAACGAAAAGGACCTGGCAGATTGGATGCGGGGCTTGAAGGAGGAAGCCAGGCAGCGGGGCGTAAGCGATAAGGTCATCAAAAGGGCTCTGAAGGGGGTAAGGCCAGTGCCACAGGTGATTGAGAAGGACAGGAACCAGCCAGAGTTCAAGCTAACCTTTGAGGACTACATGAAGAGGTGAGGGATTATACGAGAACAGCTCTCAGGGATTTGATCACCGCGTTTTTTGATTGCCCGTCTGCAAGAGGCGGCTGGTACTGCGCAGCTGAGAAATATAGCTGGCTTCTCAGAAGGACATACTGCCTCCTTTTGTTCCCGGTATCATCTCAAGGGATGACTTTCTTGCACAGACTGAAAGTCTAGAACTTGGACTTCCTGTTGCTACTTCTTTTCAGCTTGTTACAGCATTGATATCATGTAACTTGAATTTGTACAACGCTCCTCAACTTTGTTCAGACTTGCTGCGACTCTTATAACGTTGACTCGTTAACTTGAGCTGTTTCTCAACGGCAATACTTCTGCCTACTTTCCTTGAAAGAAAGCGCTTCCTGCAGAATGGTCACAGACCACCGCATAAAACTAGGCGTGGACATGATGCAGAAGCACGAGGTGCTCCTGCGACAAGTCTCTGAAAAGTATGGCGTGCCTGAGGCAATCATCGTTGCGATCTGGGGCATGGAGAGCAGGTGGGCGGACTTTTGAATCTCTACCTGCGTGCAATGAGGTCTCACTGCTTGCCTTAAGAGTGGCTTCGCCGAACACTGCTTGCCTTCAGAGTGGCTTCGCCGAACAGAAGGTACGCAGATCTCGCCGTCTGTATCTGATGAGATTGGAAGTTTCGTTGAGCATCCCGGTGCTTCTGTCAATTGCTCAAGAATAAGTCTCCGAAGATTTCCCAGGGAAGTTTTCTTTTTCACAGTTGATTTAGCGTCCTACTGTGTGCTCACAAGAGAGCGTTACGAGCCTTTCATATCAGCACTCCTGGTTTGGAAATTTTTGGTCTGTCAAGGAAAAACTACATCATGAGCAAACTGAGGTGCCTTGAGTAGTCTCGAATCAGTCTTTTGACCTCCCTCCAGCTATGGCAACTTCATGGGCACATGGGATATTGTGGCGGCCCTCGTCACTCTGGCTTACGACAAACAGCAGGTGCGACAACTGTACTTTCCTTCCACTAGTCTTTCTTCTGCTTGGTTGTTCTTCTTCGTCATTCTTGAGCTACTTTTGGTTCCCTCACTTCTCATCCGTGTCGGGCTGCGAGTTGAAAGCTCTCTGAACAAATGTACGGGAGCCCTAATGGTGGCGATAGATTCCAGTGATTCTAGGGTACCGCGTGATGACAGGCTTCTGAAGCGGGACAAACTTGTGCAACTTGATCCGCCTTTCAAGTCTCGCCGATTGGCCCTGCCCAGATTACTTCAATCCTGTTCTCGTCTGAAGCCTTTTGTCTCAACTCTCCAACACTTCTTCGAAGCTCCCCCCTCCCGCTAGTCGGTAAGCGTAGGTTAGGCGCAAAGCGTAGGTTAGGCGCCAAAAGCAGAGCCACGACTTGGGTTGTCCAACTTGACGTCAACGAAAATTTCCTCTGACTTGCACTTCCATTTCCGTGCTAGTTGAAAAGAATAGTGTGGTTAGTCGCGTTTACCCTCGCAAGGATCCATGCAGATCAAGGCCAAGAAGCCGAAAGACATTATCCAACATAAAGATAGGGACAGGGCGTCTGGTACGTTGTTCAATCTATCAGAAAGCAGTGTCAAAAAGCCTACCTTGTAAATCAAAGAAAAGGAGAGTCCAAGATTCTCAACCGGTGACAGGTCGGATGCTCCGCCCCTTCTGCGCCCGAGAACGCTCCCTTTAGACACTGTTTTCCACCATCTTTGCAGCCATCTCGTGCCAAGTACTTCCGAGAGGAGTTGATCAACAGCCTTTTCATCCTCCAAGACGGTCATGCCTCGTATGACACTTTGCGCGGCTCGTGGGCTGGCGCGATGGGCCAGTGTCAATTCATGCCATCCAGCTTCCGGAACTTTGCGGTCGACTTCGACGGGGACGGAAAAGCTGGTGCGTAAACTTGCACCATCTTGCTTATGAATCAGCGGCCAAACGCTGCTTTGTATCAGAGTACGTTTGAGGCAAAAAAGAAATTTGACCCGATGTGTTCGTCAACATGGCTTAAAGCTGATCTGGCATTGCTGGAGGCCCGGGAAGGCTATGCTAGGCCCGATCAGGCAAGAGGCTCTGAAAAGATATTCTCGAGTATTCTCGGAGCCGCACGCTGGGTCTCTTTTGAGACGTCAATCAAGTAGAGGAGAGCTCATGCGCGCTTCTCTTGGTAATCCGCCAGCGCAGATCCAACCATGCAGACTACTTTCGGCGAAGACACGTAAGCAAGAAGGATTAATAACCCCGGCACAAGGATTGCGGCGTCTTTCCAGACGTTGCACGTAATCAGTTATTTGGATCTCAGAGCAAAGGGCGAAACTCGCTTCCGAGGTGTGCTGCAATCCCGTCCGCACCTGCAGATATTTGGACGTCGCCTGCGGACGTTGCGGCGTCAATCGCCAATTACCTAGCAAAGCACGGGTGGAAGACGGGGGAGCCGTACTTCGAGGAGGCGAGTGGATTTTCTTTTCTGAAATGGCCACCATTGTCCTGCTTGCGGGCCAGACGGAGAAGCCCGGGCTACCGGCGGACTTATAGTTTTCAGAGTTGCTGGAGAGACGGTTTGCGCTTGCGTGGCGCACACCCTGTCATGCGGTTCGTCGCTGGGCACAACGGCACAGTCCGTTCCAAAAAGACGGGTATCCAGAGAAACCAGCTAAAATCGGACCGGCCCCTTGTCTTCTTCTTTTTGCACAAGCTCTCAACAGGCTCTGTTCTGGCCAGTTGATTCACGATGACAACGCTCGACGCGCAGGAAAGGGCTTCCGATGTTTTCAAAGTCCAACAGAAGCAGTTGCAGCCGCCGTCACCCTTAATAGAAAGGAACATGTCACAGCTCACAATTGGCGCCTCGTTCGTGGACGTTCGTGCTTGCTGGCCGCCGACCCAGAAGCAGCTACTTCCCTTCTGGAAACGACGCAATATTTTCTCCGATGCCAAAGTCGACCATTGGACGTTGGCCCCTGCAGTGTGGGCGATTGATTGAAAATCACTTGCACTTGACTCGGGCACCTAGTTGCGTCAGACTCGCTGTCCGCTGTCCAAAACAGGTCGTCACCCCGAAGGCAGTGAAGCCGGACCTGTTGGGGTTGAAAGTACAAAAGCCTGCCGGCGAATGGAGAGACACGTACGGCGTGCTGTCCCAGTCTGAGCCGGCCACTTTGCCGCCAGATTGCCTTGCAAGTCTGGTGAGTTATTCCCATGTTACGTCAATAACGACCCTGAGCCTTTTTCTGAAACGGACTTACTTGTATTGGGTGTGAGCACAAATGTCGATACACATGCAATATCACTTGTCTCAGGCACAGGTCTGTTGGGCTTCCGCAAAAACGTTAAGTGACTTCGCTATGTGAGCATAGTGTGAGGGGCGTACTGCGGTTTTGTTTTCATCTCGGGAATTTTTGATTTCAACACTCGGTCAACGAGTCTTCTCGACGTAGCCTACTTCTGGAGCGAAGCTTTTCTTCGTATCGGTCACAGATCACGGACGTATCCGCGGCGATCAGTCAAGGACGCCCGCAAGCTGTTCGGGTCTTACAAGTCCTATTTGCGTGCAGGTAACAACGGATGGTTCCTTTGGGCCCTCTTATTTGGCGACTCAAAATGTCTCGGTGGTACTTCGATATAATAAGTCGTTGTTTTATGCTTTGGCTGTGGGGCACATTGCGAAGTCGATACAAACAGCGTCACGTACATGATTCGAAGAGTTGCTAGCAGCCCCCTTGTTTGCTTTCACGTGAGATACAATTGGCACGATACAATTGGCACGCTACTAGTAGCTAGGTTTGTATAGGTCAAAGTAATGTATCGTACATGATGCTTGAATCGTCCGGGCCAAAGATTTTAGGGCATGACATTCGACGTGACATGACATGCACAAAATAGACCCCAGTTTTTATTTTGAGATTTTCAGCAACTATATTGAACCTTTGACCAGCTGCACTAAAGCCATGCTTGCCCATGCTTTCAATTGAAGATGTAGATCTATTTTTGGGTATAGTAATAGACGGCCGGAGTATTCTCGGGCCTGAGTCTTCGGATGCGAGGAAACCTTAGATTTCAAGGTGGTACCTTATCCACAGAGCAAACTTGCAACTTGCAACTTAGCTACTAGTACCTATTATCAACTTGCCAATTGCCACACTGCACGGTGGCACACACTGCACGCGCAGCACAGTGCACAGCCTTGCCGGCCTGCGCTGCACAGGCCCACGTACCTACCCAGGACGTACAGGCTACAGCCCACATGTGGAATCGTGGTATTATGGAAAGTCTGACATGCCACATCAGCCGGCCTGAGCTCATTGTCAAGGCCGGGGCGGCGGTCGCCACCAACTTTCCAACATTGGCTAGTTACATGAGCAAACGCGGCACAACCGCGGCGACAGTTTGCATCGGGGCTTTTACTGGCAGTTTGGATCCAGTTACCAGTTACCAGTATATCCGTTCACTTTGTCAAGTACAACGAAGTCCGTGGGCATTAACTTTCCCTCGCTTTGCGAACACTTTCCAGCCACTTCGGGTTATCTTGGTCTGCAAATTGGAACCTTCCATGCTCTTTCTGGCTAACGTTTTGCCACGTGGCCAGCATCCATGTGCTCGGAACAGCGTTGTTTGGATCACGATTGCAATTCTGTTTTGATGGCGTGCAATTCTCAAGGACTTGCCCGTACGGAAAATCTTGCAGGGGCGTGCTCAGTGCATCACTGCTCACTGTTCAGTGCTCACTGCTGACATGCTCACTGCAGAAAGTACTCGGGCAGTACTTACGTAGGTTTTATAAAATTAGCAATATGGGCTTGGGCCCTGGCCGGGGGGTGGCTTCATGGGATGCCCCGGGTGGGGGCCGTCGTTTAGGGTTGGAAACGGTGCTAAGCACTAGTGCGGAGCATGTCATTATGAGATTTCTAAGCTTTGCCCGGTGGAAGTCGAGGAGACACACGGTACACGGTCGTACACCCCCCAGGAGTAGACCTGTACATTCGAGAATTGCGAGATGCAACTACCTACGGTACAAAATTAGGGTTCCAAGCTCTGCGGCGCGGATCATGGATGCCTCCCTCAGACCGAAATGATGTGCCAAAGTGATCCGATGTGATTGTACTATTTTATGTACGGTCGGCCTATTAGTATTTATTGAATGTGTGTTCCAGGACTGGTGGTGACGGTTTTGATGAGGGAGACCCGGAAGACCAGTTTCACCTTCATGGAGATGCACAAAGGACTGCACTGTGCAAGGAAGTGCCACTGTCCAGTGGAGAATCGGATATCCGATTGCGCCTCAACCGAAGCAAACTTGACGAACGCCGCTGGCCCTTGGCGCAACAGCCTGCGTGTCATTGGCGACTCCGCCGCAACTTGCGGCGTCGCTGTGGAACTCAGATGGCCCGAGTCGTACTGCCTGCTTCCCTGGAGGATTTTTCTGAACGCAATGATCACGGTGGCAGAGAGGAGATGAGAGGAAGGTTCTAAAATGTCTTTGAAAATGATGAGGCGAAGCGGAGTTAGGAGTCAGGAAGGGAGGAAGGGGAACAATGGAGCAGGAATGACGGCCTACTTGATCCTGAAGTAAAGTGCTAGGAGCCACCTCGAGGCTGTTCGCATCTTACCACATTGCGGTGCTGCAGTGTGTCACGTACACACAGAGTCCATGTCCTTGGTTACAGTACGGCGAACACGCATCTGCACCAGAATACCGAGGAAGGAATGAGCACACTAATCAAAGTGTTAGCGGCAGCCTTTCAGTGCTGAAATTATAGTGACACAATCTAGTAGCCTGAGTAGGGGCAAGCTCATATCGAAGTCTCAGCTGGAACATAATCACTGCGACCATCAGCTTCCTGGATATCAAAGTCGGTTGTAAATGTCGTGCTGTGCTCAATCCTGCAAGTGGCGACAGACTTCCAGCTGAGAGGTGGGAATGGCCTTGTTGACGAGCGCCAGTGTTCTGTGCCAGCGTTAGTAGTTGGCGCCAATGCTCAACAAACTTTTCCAGATCAGTGAGGCCTCTGGAATGTGAGAATCGTTGATAGTTGCTCGTTCACAGTGATTGTCTCTCCTGAATGAGAGGCTTGCTGCACATAGCACAAGCTGCTAGCTCCCAAAGCATTGCACTGCTTCTGAATGGAGAAGGACTCACTAAACCCTATTGAAAGACGGCCAGCCTGTCAGGCTTCTCCAGTGACGAGGCGCAAAGTTGCAGTAGCGTAGAGGCAGGCTTGACACAAGTTGGAGCTGCACAGCACTTAGTATTGTCAGCAGCATGGGGAGAGGATGCTGGCAATCGCAGCGATGCTCTCTTGGCAGCTTGGAAGAGGGAGGTGGCCACTCCACGCACGCAGCAGACTCTGGCGAGCAGCAGGGGCCAGAGGTGCTGCGCAGCAGGAAGGACCGCCCCTTTGGGAACTACACAATCTTGGTTACAAGGCTTGGGATCATGGTGAGCAATTGCTTCAAAGAGTGCTATTCTGAAATGAACGATTCTTTGAAGGTATAAGTCAGTTCACAAAGATAATTTGCTTTGAAGTGATGGTATTCGGCCAAATAATATATCCCCAGAAAATCAGCTGCAAGGTGATTGCAAATTGGGGGCCACGTCATTGATGTGCTAGTGCTGTTGCCAAGAAGTTATCTGAATTCAGCACGTCCCCTCACATAGCTCTCCAGTTTGACCAGCTTGCTCGTCTACGCTGTTTCATACTCACCTTCGTCCCGCCCCCAGCCCTGGAGGCGCTGCAGGGGCTCTCATTGTGATAGTTATGTCACTGGCTTTCTCCGAACCTCTCTGCTCTGCTCTCTGTTAACCTGCATCCTGAGGATTAGCGCAGTCCTGTATTTTACCAAGCACGTCCCCCTTTGCCTCTGCAGGTGCTGCTGTCTGTGATGGTCGCATCCATGGCCTTTGCCACGTGGTCCTACACCAACCAGTCCGCAGGCGACAGTATTGAAAATGTCACGCAAAACTACCAGGAAAGTTTGCTCAACTTCGTGACGAGCAAGTTCACGACTTACCTGGAACAGGCCGGCAACAGTGTCCAGGACACAGCGAGCCTTCTCGAACTTCCCGGGGTAGTTTCAGGGAACTTGACCTCGTTTGAAACCCTGCAAACAGAGGTGAGCTATTCGGGATTCCTAGGCCCAACCACCTTCGTTTTACCCCTGGATAAGCGCTATGACACCAGGTGACTCGTGATCAACTGATCCGGATGCATCCATCCTAGTGGGAAATGACCAGCTCAAAGAGGTGGCCGGCTTGTCTGGGGCTCCAAGTACAAAGTGCTGGACTGGTAGATTTTGTATTTAGGGATTTGGTTGTGCACTTTAATTTGTGGCAGTGAGCACCTGCTTGCAGGTTATTGCGCGTGTTTCTCTGCGGAATGAGGGATGCCACGTTGGTCACAGTGGACGTTGTCCAAGAGGCTCGGTCAGGTTCACCAATCTAGCCATTCTTCCGTCCCAGGCTACTTTGATAAGCTCCATCAGAGGGCGTCCATGAACCTTCTCGTCCTTTTTTCAGGTCGCCCCGCTGCTACTTGGCATCCTCCGCGCCTCCCGGAATGTCACAACCGTCCGATACATCGCCATGAACGGTCTGATGGTCGCATATCGGCGCGTGAGCCCAAACATAACAGCTTTCCTTTTCACCAACGAAACTTCCCCAATAGTCAGCGCCCTTTCACCGGCGACCACAAATTGGTACGCTCAAGGGGTGGACCCTGTAAGCGGGGCCATGCTATCGGAGCCGCGGAAGGTCCCTGCCGTAAGCTATGGGTTCACGACAGCAGTGCAAGCGGCACTGCGCATCAACGGAACCACGTGGGACATCGTGGTAAGTCCATTGCATGAACCTTCTCTTTACTTGCTGAGCTCAGCTCTGTTCCTCTGTTCTTGATCCCCGTCTACTGATATCTAGCCTTATATTGCGCAGTCTGACGGTGACGTCGTGTGTACAAACTTACCAGTCCCGCTTTTACAAGTTTTCTTCTGCGAACGATTACCCTTTTCCGGCTCCGTTTTTCGCAGTGGGGCCAGCAGCAGGCGTTCGTCATCCACTTTGCGCAGCGGGTGATCGACGCGGTTAGCAACCGGACGGTCGGGGTTGCCATGGGGACCTCGCTTTTGGAAAACCTGAGCGAGCTCCTCTCAACGATCAAGCCCAGGGTCGGCGTAGTGTATGTTGTGAACTCTCCCACCGGACAGCTAGTGTCGACTTCCGACCTGGACCCGCTATGGGTGAACTCCACGTCAGGTATAAGCCGGTCTATATTCTTACTGCTGATACTCTGCCGCCGCTTGCTTTTCCCCTTCAACAATCAGCTCCCTCTTCTATAAAGAGGATCTTGCGGCTCCTTGAGAACAGGACGGAGGATTGCTTAGAGCACAAGCGACCGAAAATGGACTGCAGTAGCAAAAGCGTGTCATTCGTGTCGCAACAGAAGCAAGCAGGTGGCTCAGCGGCACACCCCTGTATCGACCGGCTTACTAGACCGTGCACAGCTCACGTACACCATAAATCTTCGCCAGGAGCCTTCTAGACGCACGAAGATTTGTCTGCTGTCCGTCTCATCTTTGAGCAACTTTTGGCCAAGGTCTGAGCTCAGACCCGAACTGTTGGTCGCTCTTTTCGCAGGCAACGTCACGTTCATCGAGGCGACCAATTCCAGCAACCCCGTCGTAGCGGAGTCGGCGAAGTTTCTGCTGGCGCAGGCGAAGGGCGGCGGCTGGGCCGCGGTCAATAGCTCCCGGTACTGCGTGGCAGACTTGCTGGGGCAGGAGTATTACTTGTCCACGGTGGACTTGCCGGTGGCCTCAAGTCATATGGTGAGCACTTCTGCTGTGTTCGTATTTTTGTTGCATTTTCTGCGAGTAACTCCATGCTAAAGCCAACGGTCCGCAGAAAGATTCTGACAAAGAACACGCTTCCATTTCCGGAAAGAGGTTGGGAGAAGAGGGGACGACTGGCGTTCTTGATTTGAGAGAGCACCAGCTTGCGCTGAGCGGGCCAGCCATTTGGACTTCGATATGGCTTACCGTGAAATTCTTGTCAAACACAGAAGATGGAGAGGAGCAGCTCCTTGTCCAAGGCGGCTCAAGACTTTGATTGCTTCAACTTTCCTTGCGGAACCCTGTTTCGTAGTAGCTTGTGCGTAGGCAAGCCTTGGGGCTTCCGTTCGTTTATCCCGGGCTCTAATTTAGGGTGACATCTATCTATTCGATTCGCTAGATCGCGCTCATGGCTGATGCATTCGGCCTGACTGCACAGGCTGGTACATGAAAGGTTCCCCAGTGCCGTCTCAGGATCTCCTGAGCCAACCAGCCAAACCAGATTTTAACTGGGTCGCTTCTTCGGTTTCCAGATTGGCATCATGGCTATCCCCCGGTCTGCCATCTGGCACTCCATCGACAAGCGGTCGCACCAGGTGTTGGTCGCCATCTCGATCATCACGAGCGCCGTATTAGTCGTGGGGTGCCTGCTCAGTTTGCTGCTAACCGGGCGGGTTAGCCAGGAGATGCTGCTCCGGGCGGAACTGATCCGGCAGCTGGACGCGAAGCGGAGAGCGGAAAAAGCGTCCGACTACAAGAGCCAGTTTCTGGCAGCCATGAGCCATGACGTGCGCACGCCGCTATGCTGCATCATCGGTGAGCGCACGTTCATGTCTTCTGCAAACCCGTCGTGGTTTATCTTTGGTCAATCCGTCTTGTGTGTTTTGTGGTCGGCTCGCTGTAAATCTTGCTTTTTCAAAGCTTCTCACGCCATATTTTGAAAGCTGCCGGCTTTTCCCGGAGCGTGCTGTCCACCTCGAAGATCCTGATCTGATCAAGGAATGAATATAGGGAATCGTAGTAACGTGCTATGCAAGGCATTTATGGAAATCCGGTGGGCTAATACATAAATGGGAGAACGTGAGGCTGGAAACAATACCTAGACACCTGGAAGGAAACACGAAAAGGCCGAGAAAAAACTCCATAAACAATAGGTTTTCGTCAGAACGCCCGGTCTTCTGAACCGCCCGTTTCTTTCTTCTTCCAGGGCTGCTAGAGGTGCTGTTGTGCGACGGGCAGTTGCGAGGCGAGCAGCGGAGCAGCGTGAAGCAAATTCGCCACTGCGCGCTGCAGCTACTGGACCTCCTCAAGTCGATTTTGGATCTAGCCAAGGTACGGGTCACCACCTTTCCAGCGCTTATATATATTGAATATAGTGACTGTTTTCGTATGTTTTGAAATTCCGTGGAAAGGGCCATTCTTCCCGCAGTTCAAAAAGGTGCTATACTAACTGTCTTCACTTGCACTGATTCAGAACAAAAAGCCGGTGCATCGTTCTTTGGAGCAAGTGGCAAAGTGGAGCGTACCACGTCGGAGACATACCCCTCTGTTGCTTTCCTCTCCAACGATATTCCGTTCCGCTCAGGTGGAGGCCGGAAAGCTGGCGCTGGAGCCGGCTCCCTTCGACCTAGGCCAAGAGCTGGAGTCCCTGGTGGACATGTTCGCGGTGCAGTGCGCCAAAAAGAATGTCGCCCTAGTTCTCGACCTGGACGACCGGTTGCCCAGGAGACTAACCGGCGATAGGGCCCGAGTGCGCCAGATACTGGCCAACCTGGTCGGGAACTCGTGCAAGGTGAGATTGGGGGAAAGCCGCCGATCGTTTTTTGCCGCTTTTACTACGGCAAAGGCCTCTAAATCCATCTACCTAAAAGACGCTGCTATTAGTGAAAGGCTTGCGCTTACTGTCGTTGTCGTTCGTTTATTTTGGGAATACCTCCAACTTTCACAAGCCCATTCGAACGTTGAGGTCCTTTTTCCTTGTTTCGTGAGCGGGTTCTTCTCGAACTGAGCCTATCATGCTGCTGACGATTTCGTAGAGCGGTCAACCATGAGGGCGCCGTTTTCTTGCATCATACATTTGTTGAGGCTTGCGTTGCTCAACCCTCGACCCACTGCAAGCTGATTCACTTTCACCTCAGCTTACTATCTCGCTTCTTCCCCCACCCAGTTCACCAACAGCGGCCAGATCGTGGTTCGCGCCTGGCCGGTCTGCTCCCCCGCTATCCCCACCCAACCAGAGGACCCCACCCCTCCGCTACTAGAGAAGGGCTACCTCAGACACTTACAGTCCTTCATAAAACGTCTGTCTGCGGGATCCCCCTTGAGAAGCCGCCGCACTTCGGGGAGCAGCGTCCGTGGGGGAAGCATCAGAAGCAGACCGGGAAGCGCAGAGGAGACGTCTAGCGGATTCGTGGACCCGCGTCTGGACCGCAGGCACCCGAGAAGCTTTAGCGAGGCGGAGCGAAGGCTGAGGGAGAGGGGTGCGGGGGAAGCGGAAGGCTGCACGCAGGACCCGTCCAAGATTCGGGTCGCTTTTGAGGTCGAAGACTCAGGTGCGTGTTCTGCCTTTCCTTTCCCATTTTACCGGTTTTTGTCTGACAGCTGGCAATCGCCCTCCACAATTCGTTTTGTTCACCCTGGTTGTGAGCATCCACCATTAGTCATCGCGCGAAAATCCGACATAAGCCCTGGAGAAAGCAACTTGCCAATATGAAACGATCGTTGTTTGGAGGTATTCATGCTGCCCCACATGCATCCAAGGGTTTCTGCCTCTTAGTGATTGGGCTTAAGGTTTAACATCTTTTTTGGAAGCGATCAAAGTCCCAGACTGAAGCTTCCCCGACGTCCGAGCAAAGCAATGTCTTGTAGCCAACTCCAATTGACATCCCTCTCTCGAAGTGCAATCACGAAATAGCTCTTATATGATTTCCATCATCCTTTGAAAGTGACTCTGAATAATCTCCGGGGGTCGAGGAATCGGTTGGAGGTTCACTTCACTCTGTTGGCGCTTCACTTCACTTCACTTCTCGTCGCTTCTCGATTGATGTCCCACTTTCTACCAGGCGTCGGGATCCCCCCCGAAATGCGGCCAACTGTGTTCGGCAGCTTTATCCAAGGGTCGCGGGCGTCCGGCGGCTACGGACTGGGCCTCGCCATCGTCCGCAAACTGGTCGCCCTAATGAACGGAAGCATCCGGATCATTGACAGAAAAGGGCCGGGCACCCTCTTCCGCTTCGACCTCGTTCTCAAGCGGACCGATTCCGGAGTCATCAAGAGCGGATCGCTCGCACAGCTCATGACCGAGTCGCCTCATGCACGGGACGAAACTCCGGGGTCAGAGCTAGAGAACGCGGGAAACTTAGGAGAGCCCGAGAAGGGGGAACCGGCCCGGGGGACCAGTGCGCTGGGAGCTGCCTTCATGCTGAGTGACCGGTTCGTCGTCCCGGGTGGTCTTACATCGAAACCAGCAGACGAAACGATATGCGACGGAATACAGCTGCCGTTGCCGGCTGAAGCGGCGGGGGCGTCGGTTCTGCTGCTCAAGGCAGACCGGGCCGGCCGCGAGACCGCGGCCGGGTGGATGGCGCGCCGGGGTTTGAGGGTTTATCAAGCGGAGGCGTGGTCGGAGGTCGCGTGCGCGCTGAAAGCCGCCCTCGAGGGGCGTGAGTACGTTTCCACCGGCGAGAAAGCGGGCAAAGGGGCCGGTGAGAATAGGCACGTGGTCATGAACGTCAGCGACGAGATCTCCGTCATCCCCCTGCAAAGAATGGGGTCGGAGAACCCCCCTCTTCTCGATGCGCTTCCGGAGACTCCCACTACCAATTTTGAACCGGGACCCAATTGTTCCCCGGGACCCAATTGTTCCCCGGGCGTCAAACCAAGGCTGCTCCTGCTCATAATTGACACGTCAGCAGTGCCCGGGGCTCCCTCTCCGCTCGCTATCTCCGCCGCCTTCCAAACGCTCATTCAGGAGTGCGATCTGACGGCGCCCACTGCGCCACGTGTCGTCGCCGCGTGGCTCGTCTCGGTGGCGCTCCCGGGCCCCGCGCGCGAGCAGCTCCGCGCGGCGGGCTGCCACATCATGGCCTGCGATCTGCTGCACCCGTCCCGGTTACTCTCGCTCCTAACCACCATGGTTACAGATGACCCGGAAAGTCCTGACGCGCTCCTCTGCGGGCCGTTTGGCGCGTCACAGCGGGCCGACAACCGGCCGTACAGCGAGCAAGTGAAACACATCGATGAGGAATCGCAAGAGGCGATGCTGCAAGCCGGAGTCGGTTTCGTCATGGGGCGGGGAGTGGTGGATCACAAGGGCCCGGACATCGACGAGGGTTCCGATCATTCCGCTCATTTTCGTCAGTCCGGGGGGTTCGGCGGAACGAAGTCTTACCCCCCCAGCCCGACGTTGCGGCCGAAACCCGCTCCATCGCCACTTTCGGACACTGCGCGCTCCGCGTCTTGGACGAGGGAGCGGCTTCAGACGGAACCCGCCCCAAAGGACCGGAGTCCGGCCAAGGGAGCGGAACCGCTCCCGAAGATTGCTGGATCGCCCACGACGAGAAGGGCGTTGGAGGGTGTTCACATTCTGCTGGTGGAAGATACAGTGCTGCTGCGAAAACTGGCGGTCACGATGCTTGTGAAACTAGGGGCGAGTGTGTTTCCCGTAGAAAACGGACAGCAGGTGAGCATCGATCAAATTGCTGTCTCGCCAACCTCGGTTTTATTGCCCTCCAACTAAGCGCCTCGTTCTTTGCTCACGCTTTTGTGTCTCGAGTGATCCTTAGATCATCCAATATTCACTCGTATGTACAAGTCTACCGTCGGTGACGAAAGTCACATTCCGTGTACGGTTGAGAAGAGAGTCGTCATGACGACGGGAAACATGTTTTGATGTTACCATTTCGTGTTCTCTTGATATCAAAATATATTGATACGAAACGCACCAAAATGAAGCAAGGCGATCCCCCTGTCCATTTGTTCCTTCTTGCGTAAGCATCACCTTTCTCGATCTTCCGAGGCCTTCCGGTCTTCGACGAGCTTGTGCAAAGCTTTTGCTTCAGCAGAATCCTTTTCCGCTCTCCCAGGCCGTCGATTCCGTCCGCTTCTGCCTGGACTGGCGGAAAGAGCGCGAGCTCCGGCGACGCACCGCGCACCTGCGCGGCGGCGCCCTCCCCGAAGCGGACGCCTCCCGGCGGCGCTCCTTTTCGGACATGGTCCGCGGTACCCTCTGGCGGTCCCCATCTTTGGACCGGAGCGGCTTCAGCACGCCGCCAAACCCGCCGTTGAATCCGCCGTCACACCCAGGGACCCCGCCCCCCGAGCCCGCGCAAAACCCCGAAACCCTGCAGATGGGCAGCCCGCAGGAGGCCGCGCTGCGCGAGGCGCTGCGCGAGAGCGGGCCCTTCGATCTAGTTCTCATGGACTGCCAGATGCCGGTCCTGGACGGGTACGAGGCGACGCGGGAGATCCGGGAACTAGAGAAGGGACACAAGAAGCTGCATCTGCCGATCGTGGCGCTCACGGGTGAGGCGACATCCCCTGCCTTCGGGATCCTCAGACCTCAGCTCCTCGCATATGAAAATAGTCCAATCAATTCAGATCACTCTGACACGCGGATTCAATTCCTCCGCACCGGATCTGTCCGGACCCATCTTGACCATGGACGGAGAAAGAGTCGGACAAGGAAACCTCCGGCGCCGAATCCTCTTCCTTATTACTGATGATCCAAGCGGGCCACAAGCACTTCGCCGTGACCGCAGACTCTGATTCGCAGTCGAAAGACAGGTCAGGGTTCGTAATCATGAACAACTTGAGTTCATCCATTGCTGGAGTTCAAAAGCTGAAGAGTACACAATCTGATCAACGTGCTTTCTTGTGCAGCGCATGCGATGGCCACGGACAAGGAGAAGTGCCTCGGGATAGGGATGGATGGGTAAGGAATTTCTAAATGTTTTCCGATCCGTCCTCTTGCCCATTTGCACTGCAGAAACACCGAGTTGGATCAGCACTTCCAATGCGCAGGTGAACGGCCGCCAGATAAGGTGCAGCCGGCTCCTATTTTTTAATTTGTCCAATCGCTTTCAAGAAAGACACCGGATGACGTCTTGAGCGTTCAGTTGGATTGTGAAGCACAAATTCTTGAATGACGTGCGCAATCGAGGCATCCGGCGTAGAAGAATCATGGTCTGCCTTTGCTGGGATACCAAAGCGCCGTCCTGCTAAGCGACCTAGAGGGTTAAGGGTTAAGAGCAGGCGGTCACATGAACGATGCGGGCACGAACCCTTCCTTTACCTCCTCAGGTACCTCACGAAGCCCATCAACATCCCGCTGCTCGTCTCCACGATTGAGAAACTGCTCAAGCATGGGCTATGATTTCGGTTCATTGTACGACACGGGTTGCCATTTTAGGCCTGCATTTTTGTCCAGGGGTTCGTAGTACTTCCAACCTTAGCACCGATTAACTTGACACGGGTCGTCTCAGTGGACGCTTCAGCTGTGGGCGTCGGTGGTCCCGATCGGAAAGTTAACCCGAGGTAGGAGAGGCGTTAATTGATTTGTATCTGGAGAGTCAAAACTTTAGACACTGCATAAGAATGTGTGATTATGGTATTGGGCGCACCTTGTAAGCGGGCGCGGATCATCTCTGGCAGTATTGCTGACGGAGGGAGTCAAATTTAGTAGAGGTACATTGAGGGTTGCGGTAGAAGTGTGGCGGGCTTAAAGGACCACGTGGCGGCCGACGTTGGATAGATGCATTTGCAGAGGCCGAAACCAAGCTCCCAGCTTGAACACAACGGTCCACTAGCAGTGGCACCGAGACGGCATGAATAGCAGCCATATAAAGTGTACTTCTAGACGTTTACTCGTATAGGTTGTAAGTATGAGGGTGGTGAGTAATCATAAAGCGACAGGGAACTTGAGTTTGGGCAACCGGAGACGCTAGATAAGGGTTGGACGGGTGATTTGTAAGACCCGTCCTAGCCTTCTAGGAGTGGATGTATACAACGGCCAGATCCGAGCGCAAATGAAATAGTCGAGGTGGTTGCAACTATAAGAGCCACACGGCGCAGTCGAAGTCACTGTCGTTGGAAAAGGGAAGCGTGCAGAAGTTTAATACCAAACTCTCCTAGCAACAATTTGATCAGGGCAAAGGGTTTTAAATGCATAATAAGGTAAAGACAAGGTGTGTATGCACTGATCCTCGAGGAAGAGATGCTTAAGCAAGTTGGGACGGTTCTAAATTGCAGCTTCTGTCCTACTATAACGATTGTGGAAGGGATATCCATATTATACCATACTCCGAAACCGGCTGATCGATCTTAAACCTGAGCTATACTTGCGCTGTCGGACTTATACTCTTCCACTTTTGAAGTAGTCAATGGTCGGGATCAATTGAACGACGTCACGTAAGAAAGTTGCCATGTTTATGTTGAACTAAGACGACGTGCTTTGACGCGTGCATGAAGTATCAAACTAGCTACGAGTTCATTGCGCGCGCCACGCCAGCCAGGCTGATATAGAAACGCAGCATTAAGTGATTGCATGCTAAGTCCTTCGAACCGTCTGTCTTCGACCATGTGCATGTTCCCGCGGCCCACTGATCGACTTTGACGTATACTACACCGGGTATATGAACATGCATCAGAGACGGCAGCTAGGGAGGAATTTCGAACAAGCGCATCCAGTTTACGGTACATAGTATGTACGTACCAGTATGCACATATATGATGTTAGAGGACCTAAGTTCACGGCCATTTTTGAGGCCTCCGGACGCGGTATATACAGGCAATTGCCCGGCAGAATATGCAGCACTGGACTGAGACTCAGTCCACATAAGTTCCAAGTTGACACGTCCATGTTGCATGTGCGGACCGGCCATCCTCTACGCATCTCGCTGCCACACACTGCATGTGCTTTATGATATGCTGGGCCGGCCAGCTACATGCGGTAGTACGGTAGAATCTAGAATAGAGCCTGTATTTGAAACGACGGTAACGGCCGCCCGTCTATGCAATTTTCATTATATTCAGTTCGGTGAAGCAGCTTCAATCCGGGAGTCATCACTAAGTGGTGCGATTAGTATGCGTGTGTGGAGGCGTGCATGCCCGGCCACAAGCATTCCGAAGCGCGCGCGCTCATGTACTGCATTGAAAGCAATCACGCAGCACGCAACCTGGAATAACTTGGAGACGGTAGCATTCGAGCTAGCTGCAAACATTAATCTGCCTGTCAATGTTCTGAGTCTGTTTTCCGTTATCCAGGTACGACATTCGCATCACACCTTGAAGCGAGAGCACTCATGCTACGGTATTGTCGCATTTCTGTACACGTGAGCCTGAACTCGAGGAGTCTGACTGGCATGTAGCTTATTGATGCCTTTGTCTTTGTCGTGCAAATCTGCTGTAGATGCTGCAAGTATAAGGACGGTTTGACTTGACTGCCTCCTTCTGAACGTTGCACCAGTCCTCAAGGCGCACAAAAAGGTTCAGTCAAGATTGTAACCGTTTGCTAAAGGAGGACCTTCAGGCAGGTTGTACAGGCTTCAGACCCCAGAGAACTCTACCCTTGACACCGCATATTACGATGCTAAGTGCAGCCTTTCAAGTGCAAGCGCATCCTACATACCGTACGTTAACTAGGTTCGTAACCTTTCGCCCACTGCATGCAAGTGCTCAGGCCTAGTCCTAATTAGTCGGTCCACTGCAAATTCGGACCTATATGATCGACTCCTTGAGACATCCCTCTCTACGTAAGCTGTCGCGCAGGCTCTGCATTCACGTCGAAGAAGGCCAATGCTAAGAGCCCCTCGAAACGGCTCCAAAGGTGTTACTTATCAAACAGTGAGCGAAACTCTTGAGCTGGCAGTACGATATGAAGACTGGCAACTAGATGTACATAGAAAAGAGCGCGCTTCGGGCACCTCTCTTAGAAAAAGAGCGAAGAACCTCACCCTTCCAAGGTTTTCAAGGTGGTTGATCGGGCGCAAAGCGGAGCTGACCGCACAAGAAGCGTCGCGAGAAGTCGCAAGCTGCGGCAGCGATTGGGACAATTCGTCAGCAGCCTGTGCTACGAAAACGATTCCACCCGAAGACACTCATAGTTGCAGCCGGAAAGCCTGCGCAGAACTATTTGGACCGGACCTGTCAAGAGAGAGTGTATTTTGAGTCTCGGAGGACCTCGATCCGAACACTTCGACAGTTCTACGAAACGGAGTGTTGAATCGGAAAGTAAGCGTAACTCCGCACTTTCACCCGGTAGTTGGTGCAGATCGAACTCCTCGGAGCCTCGAGGGTGGGAACTTGACTCGATGTTTGATATGCGCTGCAATCGACTAAGTCCCACCATAGTCAACATCCGATTCTTGTCAACAACAGCTTGGGCGAAGCACCTCTAGCCCTCACCTGTGGTACCGTTTTCCCGGACGTCGCTTGAACGCCCTCACATCAGTCGCCTGCCTCAGACTTGCGTTCCCGCCGCCAGATGTCCCTCCCCGCCTTTCCGCCCCTAGACTCGTTCCGCTGGTTCCGTTCCGGTCCTCTCCGCTTGTTCCGTTTGGCAGTGGGCGGAAGCTCCTCGTCCGGGCCGCTCGGCAGCTTCTGACCCGTCTCCTTTTCAATACGCGCTTTCAGTTGTTGGAGGACTCGTACTTGGGCTAGCTTTTGAGGAGAAAGGCGGTCCCAGTAGATGCCTGCAAACAGCAAGGGCGGACGTCAGGACTTTCAAGCAAGCGCGAATTCTCAATTCTAATACCCTAAAAACCCTAAAACCGCAGGGGATTGGAGCGAAGATAAAGAAAACAGACTTACTCGGAATTTCTTCGCAAATACAATAGCGTCGCTTTGCCAGGGGGGATTTCACCCCTTTTTTAGCTTCACTCGTTTACGGCAGTGACTTCATTGACTCGAATCTATCCAGACTCTATGAACAACCGGAAGGGAATACAAACGTCAAGGTTGGATGAGCAACTTGCCAAACCTTATGAGAAGACTGAATATTGCGGAGCCGCCTCCGTTGCTGTGTGGTGTACAGACCCTTTTAACAAGGATTTCCTGGCAGAAAGGAATACCTCCAGAAGCTCCAGTAGGTGAGGGGATGTTAGACATTCCCCGCTCTGTCAGTGCGCCTGCGATTGGGTTGCTACAGGCTTGCTACCATCTTCCTTGGCGTCAGCGTATTTGCCATAGGTACTAGCGGGTTAGTATGATTTGTACAAAGTTGCCCTGGGTTTGGACTTACCTTGCGGCTTGGGTATGCTCGGCGGAACACGTATGATGCGGCTCGGGGTGCAGATGACGTCAACCGGGACGTCATGGATGAGCAGCTTCTCCACAGGGATGTTGTCCACCAGCTGACAGTCGTGGACTGCAGCAAAAAGATGACGTCATATGAGGTCACGTGCGCTAAAGAAGGCACGCCAGGTCCGGTCGCGCTTATCGTTTCATTTTCCATCAACCGAACCCAGGGATTTTGAACAGAGGTCGACCGTTGCGGCTCAAAGACGCAAAGATGAGCTCTCCGGAGAAAGACGTTATCTCGGTGAAGCTGATGGGAGGGACAACCCTACAGGAGGCAACGCAATCAAAAGGATATGCTGTCACAAAGGCTGGTGTAGTGGCAAAGTTATAAAATGTCAGAGCGCAACGATACACCAAGGGAATGGCAGAGAGTCGTGAAAAGATCCCACAATGTCCATCGAGGCGATTCAATCGATGCTGGCGGATTGCGATGTTATACTCTCAAAGGTCTTGTTCAATTTGACGATGAACTGGAATCAAACTCGTTACAGGACCGACCTGAAGGCTCCATTCACGATCCCTGAATTTCACCCCGGAATGTTTGACCGTTGGCCACCTCGATCCTCTGAAATCTGAAAATTACTTGGCACTCTACTGACCAAGGAACTCCCAAGAGTTCTGGATTTTCGGCATCGGGTCAGGACTTCCAAGGCGTCGGAGTCGAGACGTTTCTCAACGTCAAGTCGAACAAGGACAGTGCTCGAGGCCACAAACGATACTGAGACCTCGAACCAGGGGATTGACGTGCTTCACAGCCATGCCCACCCTAAACCCCCGAAGCAAGCCTACCCATTTCTCCCGTCAATCAACTGACTTGTATCAGTCAGGCTGGCCCTTTGTTGACCTCGCCCTTGGTCAACGTAAACGCGAGCGAGGAACTAGAGTCGCGGCTCACCCGAACTGACGACCAGGGTGTCGTCATCGATGGCTCCCATCCAGCGGAGCATTCCGTACTCCAACTCGGCGAAACCCTGCAAAGCGGAACCGGCGCGAACGACATTTTTAGACCATCGTGGCAAATCAATGACGTGGCTCTCGCTCTTCAACTGTTGAATTCGGGTTGCTAGAACGATGCTCTGATGCTGTTGCGCGTCATGACAAACGTCGTAGGCCGTAACGTTGCTGACCGACTTTTTCTTTTGCGCACATCTTGCTGAGTTCTCATCTGGAAGATCGAATGGGGGCTCGGATTGAGCTCGAGTCACACAAGTTACGAATTCACTTCTCAGTCTCCTGGTACTTCTGAGGCGTTTCTAAACGTAAGAACACCGAGTGGGGATAGGTGACCATTGCCTGCCTCCGTCTACAGTTAAGCTTCCAAGAAGAAAAGACGGGATGTCTTCGAGACGCACGTACTGCCAAAGGAAGTGCCAGACGAGAGAGCTGACTACACGAAAAAGCGATTTTTAAAAATCCGTAACGCACCTCTCCCTTCCCCAGCCGCGCACCGGTCTTGGGATCCACCGCGACTGAGCCGATGACCAACAAATCAACTTTAACCTTGTCGTCCAAATCGAGCGGCGTCCCGTACTTGGCGACCCCAGCACTGGTGCACGCCGTGTTGATGTCGCCCTCTGGGATGCTGGAAAGAACTAGGCTGGAGAAGAAGCCCGTGCGCAAACGGGGCTGCGGAGTGAGGAGCAGCTTGCCATCTGCAGGGGGTTGAAAAACAATGGTTCCCGAGGTAGATCTTCACGCCTTAAGTGCTTGATTGCAAGATGATCGCTGCCCGTTGTTGCACTTCGCTCGTTCTTAAATTGTTGACATAAACCCTGGAGTCTTGTGTACAGACACGGAGACGCGGGCTTGAGCTCGCAATCTTGTCATGAGCTGCGAGAACATTCATTCGTGGGTCATGTGGCTGCAGCGGGGTGGTGACACGACCTAAAAAAAGCGCTCCGTTCGCATGAAAGGCGTGGCCTAACCCGTACTCATCGCTTTGAAACCAAGAAGCTCGGAAAGCTTCTGCTTCGATATGTTCTTGATTAAAAGCTTTTAGTGTATGCTTGCGGATCAACATAATACGTACAATGGTTCCAAACCAGTGGCAATCATGTAAGCAAAGTTAAGGACGACAAAAAATATGCTCAAAAGCAATTTAGAATCAGCAGCTCTTTGAAGATAAAAAGAGAGCCGGGAACGCTGTTGTTGATTAACGAAGGAAAGGGCAATGCAGAACAGACAGGATCGCACGGGGCAACGAGAAGAGCAGCCAAGAGACACCCACCTGTCAAGGTAAGGTAGCGCACACGCTTCTGGGGCGTGTCCGGGTTCACTTTGACGCACTTTGCGGAGACATATTCGGGAAGGGTGGCCAGCTGCACATCAGCAACAAATTGGCTGGAGTAAGCGCGACACGTTGAAGGACTGACGCAATTGCGATGAGTGCATGGCATCAGGAGAGTAAAGTACAGGCATCGTTCACAGGAGGGCAGATTGCTGGCAGTGAGTCTAAAAGTGAGTTGGAGAAGCAGGACCGCTGGAGCGCCCCGCAGGCTTGAAACGTTGAACACCTCTGCACGGAGCCAAAGGTTCATTAGCCTTATGACGTTCGGCTGCCATTCACAGGAAAAGGAGAGTCTCAAAGTTTCACCTGATCTGCCGCCTTGTCCGCCCCGACGAAGTTTGGGATGCGGTGGTGCACTGGCCGAGGGTTGGCGGCAATGTTCTCGCTCTCCATTCTGTCCCATATGCTCTTCCGGATGGCCCACTTCCAGGCGCCCGGCTTTTCGTCTTCACTGCTGGACGCGAGAGCCGCTTGCGCCTGCATTTCATCTCGAGCCTGCACACGAGAGATTTGTATTCACAGATGGTGAAATCCTGGATGATCTGGTGATGCCGCCAGTGTGAACGGAACAGGGAGTCTTGCAGACAATGAGGTTGTAGCCTGGTGACGTGCAGATTATGGGTCATGACATGAAAACTAGGTCACAGGTCTTCAAAAACAGGCGGACAGATAGATTAGAGTTCTTCAGAGATGTCGACAAAGAGGTAAGATGGGAAGCTAAGCCTTTGAATATTCTGGGGCGTTTTCAGTGCTGCTGACAGACTAATGGAAGCACAAATGAGCTGTGAGTTGCTATCGGATCATTGGTGCAAAGAAGTTGTAAGTGAGAGGGTACGGAAGGTGTGGTGGACCGCTTGCTGAGGTCCGCGATGTAGCCAATCAAAAAGGTGTCCACCATGGTGATGACGCGTGTCAAGGTGACTGGCAGATCCTAGTTTTCTGGACAACATTCATCGATGTGAAACCCAAGTCGGTGTCCAGAGCTTTCAGTTGAGGCAATGGAAGCACATCATTTGTGATAAGCGAACGCGCAGCGGCTGATGGGCCAGTACCAAATCCTAGATGCAACAATCGACATGCAAATCTTTGGAGTCAAATCCTTGATCTGCTGCCTCAATGGTGGTACTAAGTTTTGTCTGCGAGCTCTGGCCCTGTCAAAGCAAGAAAAGTATGATTGTATGAGTCGCCGACCAACTGACCTGCTGGTCCAGTTCTAATCGCTCCTTGTCATACTGCGCCACATCAATGGACATTTGCAAGCTTGCTGCGCTACCTGCCAACCCCCTGAGAAAATGCTTTGAGCTTTTGTTTGAGCAGAGTCTTGCAATCTTGACAAAACTCGATGCCAGTGCGACTTTCCCAAGAAGAAAAAATGGTTTGCTGCAGTTATACGCTTTCCTGCTTGAGAATGTGTGACGAGCTTTTTCAGTAGTCCGAAAGTTTCGGGGCGTTATTGGGGATTGGTCAAATGGCGCAAAAGCGCTGACAACCAAGGGCACTCTGATCGAAGAGGACCGCGTCGCAGGATGGGAGCCAAAGACCTGGGGCAATGAGCAAGGCTGCAAGAAAGACGAAGTGGACGCCATGCCCTGTTGAAGTGCTTGCTGTCGGGAAGTCGTGAATTTGCTGCAGCCAGGCATTCAGAAGGGCTACATCATCATGTAGTATGTACAGCAGCTCTTTCTTAGTGCTGATCAAGGTTCACGGATTGTATTCTAGGGGGTGGGATAATTGGCTTGCTTCAATCACCGGTTCCGATAGACATGGTTTTCATATCGACGGCAGTAAGCTTTGCCACATCGTTCCCCTCACTGGCTGGGGGCGTTTGAAACAGAATAAACACCCGCGTACAGCCAGCTGGCATTGCCACTTGTTTGGTACCATGTGTGGGGCAACTTGAGGAGGTGGAGGAGTTGGGAGCTAAATGAGAAGCGTGCCTGCTGAGAGAAGTCTTTTGGCATCTTGAGAGCTGATCTCTCCTTCAAACATCCATGCACTAACCGTGCATAGGTTCCCTTGGCACTCCGCTAGACTTGCACGCCATTCCGATGGCGTTCATCTTGAGAAGGGCAGTGGTTCTGGTGGTTGGGGGAAGCGGTGCATTTATCCTTGTGCAAAAGTTGCTGCGGCGGACCAAGCCCGATTCGTCCGGGCAACCGTCGCCGTTGGAGTTGGTTGCCAAGGGGGCGAGTCAGCTGCAGAACAATGTGGGGGCTTTCTCATTGCACGACACATTGCTGGCGCTCACTGCAATGTCCAAGGTAAGCGAGTCTTATGCAGATTGTATCCTTGTTGTTTCTCCAGACCCCTTCGAGTTCTTCAGGTGAGGAAACTTTTTAACAGAGAAACAAGTAAGAACGGGTGGTCTGAACCCCCCTGCTCAAAACTGGGTGCATGCACGGATACGGCAAACTTTTTCATATGGGGTCTGAGCCCAAAGTTGGCCTCATTTGTCAGCATTGGGCAATGGCACTGACCTCTGGCACAGTGCCTCCTCTGGTCTCTTGCTGTCGTACATGTGGCAGTCTCAGGGAGTCGATAGGAACCAATTCAACGGGTAGAAAGCAGGGTAGCTGCAGATGGGGGCAAGTGTTGGGTTTTCTTTCAATTTGTTCTGTAAGACAGTGTATGTCTGGGCGACGAGGTGATTTTTTGCGACATTGTCGTCAACCGGAGTGCGAATGAGGTTCTTTTATTCAAGTTCGTGCTTTCTTCAGTAGTAAGGGTTGTGAATGAGGTTCGCCTCCGAATACGCTCAGAGGCCCAGAGCGGAAATTCTCTAAGATGAGAAAGATCATATTGTGGTCTGGACTCATTTATGGTCAGCTTATGCAACTCGACCGACTGCTTCTTTCATCCTTAGTGTGTCCAGTTCCAAGAAGCGGAGCGCTACTCCGCAAACATATGCTTCTGAATGGTTGAGACCCAGAAACACTTCCACTCGTCTCCAGGTCAGCGAGGAAGAGACTCCTGCAGTCCCTGGCAAACCGGCGCCAGAAGCCAAGGACGCGCTTTGGCTGCTACAAGCGCAGGTGAAAACTCCTCCTTTCACACAGAACCTCCTTGTGTTTGTGAAGTGAAGTTAAGGAAAGCTTGGTCACAGTAAAACTTGGAACGGAAAACCTTGAAAGGCTATTCGACCTACACATTTCTCTTTATTGAAAACGCCATCAAGTTGTTCATCGTTGCTGTGAATCACTTGATGACGGCGAACTGACTGCAACAAAGTTACATTTTTTCACACTTCCTCTATCCCACGGTTTAAGTCTGATCTCTTCCTCCGGTGAGGAACAGAAATATTGTAATGCGAGGCCGCAAACAGGCACTGATTCTGTGACATCTTCTTTCGGTTTCGTCTCTGACACAGTGCCACATGTCATTGCAGCATTGGCGGGTTATGGCTGAGGCCGTGTATGCCCCGTCCCCCGCCCAGTGGTCCATTCAAACGGCCATGCCCGAGTCGAATCTTTTGTGTTGCAACCTAGAGTCAAATTCAGACGCAATGCGGTAAGCCGGCCGCTTAGTGTTCCACTCTGCTCACTGCTGAGAGATGTTTTGAAGTGATGCTTTCCTGTTGGTGAAAGACTCTCATTTCACTAGCATTATACGATGTCGTAAGCAAGGGAGGGTCTGCTAGAACCTGCCAGCGCACGAATTGGGCTTTGCGGGCAGTCTCACGGATGCGTATACATCCAGTCTGCAAATGTATCCATCTGAGAGCGAGTCCCAAATGCAGTGGCCCGGCCCCTCGAATCTTTACATGGGTTCCGGCCGTCAGTACACTTTTCTCAGTTGTGTTTCCCTACTCCAAATTATGGTTCTTTTTGTCCGGCACATAAGAGGATGCGTGGACGAACATCATTGAAGCACTTTGTCCGACATTGAAGAGGTTGCGTGAACGCCATTATTGGAGCACTGGGAACGTACTCATGCCAGCAGTCATACTTTGCAGGCCCGCTTTCGTGGTTGCGATCGACGGCCCCTTCAACGCCGTCGTGTTGGCCGTCCGAGGAACCGCAGACATGACGGACATGCTGCTTAACGCTGCGGCGGAGCCAGTCGATTTTAAGGCAGGGTGAGCAGACTGGCAGATTTAGGACCAAAAGGTTTATGTCGGGAGACAAGACTTTACTCTTAGTCGACAATTGGACGCTCCGCTTATTCTTAAAGCTGTCAACTTTTACTATCTGGAAGAAGAAATCTGTAGGACTCGCTGTTATCATGTGCTCCTCAGTTGAATTCGGGAGGGTTCGAATCTGGGACCAAATTTCGGTCGATTCAGGGGGAACGATGAACCAGAAGTAGATTTTGTTATTCTGGATCCCCACTGAGCTGAGTCCTGGATTACGTTGTTTGACACCCCCATCCAGGTCGCAAATGTCGTGCTTTCGATATTCTGCTGGTTTCGTTTAGTAAAAGCTTGGTTCAGACGCCGGGTTATTTTGGATTCGAATGCGGTCAGGTCAAAACCTGCCACGCTTTGCGTCTGTTACTTAAAGGAAGCATCCACGTGTCAGACTGCTCGACGGCGCCATCCTCGGCCCCGTCAAGAGGGTCGCTAATAGAACGCACGAGTCATCTGTTTTGAAAGACGTACTCACCACTCATCCTTGTGCGGCAGCATCGCTTCTTCTTCTACAGGCGGCCTACAGGTCTAGTCGTTGTCAAACAAAGTTCACTTTTTGCCTTATTCAATTCTTTCAAGTGGGCTCAACACATCGGTCGAGATAACCAAAATTGGTAGGCCTGTGTTGCTCGTTTGGCCTACTCGACCTTATAGCCGCACACACTCGAACCACCAGAACAAATTGTTGATTCGAGTAGAATTGCAACCCTTGGTGAGGCGTTTAGAAACATGTACACGGGACTGGTGCACCCGAGCAAAAGTTTTTTCGGAGGAGTTCGCAACGTTGAAACCACATTCGAAAATTGGAACTGTTGCCGGAATCTAGAGACATACGTCCGTACCACGCAAGATTTGGACGAACCTCGTGACCTTAACCCGACACAGGCGCGCGCATGCGGGGGCAATGCACGCGAGCAGAGGCGTGCTGGAGGGTTGGCAACGCTGAGTGCAACTCGGATCGGATTCCCAAAAAAACTCTTAAGCGTTGGTGAGACTTCTAGACATGCACAATTGAACCGCGAAGAAGAAGAAAGTAGTCTTATACTCACAACCTATCTTCAGGCGCGCGCACGCGGGGCTGGTGCACGCGAGCAAAGGCGTGCTGGAGGAGGCGCGCGATTGCGTGGACAAGGCGATGAAGGACCACAAGGGGAAGAAGCTGGTCTGCGTCGGCCACAGGTGGGGCACAATTCTAACAAGCTTTGGAAGCCTTTAAACCTTAGGAATCGGTATTGGGCGCCGTCTGTTCAGGGGGTGGAGAAAATCGGCTGAAAGTACTACTCAAGCCAGTCCAGAAGATGAAAGATGTATGTCCAATACAAATGATTCTTCGCGACCATGCTCGTTCCTCTGGCCAGTTCGGTTTAGTTCAATCGGTGTTGCCGTTAACCTGTGCTCTGTTTGCGCTTGCATAGTGTTCGTGTGAGCAATGTTTCCGATTCAAGGGCCTAAGATCGATCTTGATTAGCTCTGAAGGAGTCTGTCCCCCTTGCATGTCGAGGCCCCCACTAGAGTTCCGTCAGCGCTTACCTGACGCGGTCCTTATCTTCCTTCCGCTGACGTGTTCCGTTCCGTTGTTCAGCCTGGGCGCAGCGACCGTCATCCTGCTCTGGTGCCCCCATCTCACGGGTCTCTGCAATGATGAAAGGCTTCTGGCCCCTTCTTCCACTGGTGTAACTTTTGTTGACGATTCCTCTCAATGTTTGTTCGCAGCCTAGGCGCAGCGACCGCCATTCTGGCGGGCCACGTGTTGCGCGAGGACTACCCCAACGTGGAGTGCTGGGGCTTCTCCACGCCCGCCTGCCTCACGCTCGACGCGGCGCGCAGCTGCGCCGAGTACGCGACCAGCGTGCTCAACAACCACGACGTTGTCCCGCGGTTCATGGTAGGGACTCCCCGCAACTGCTTTTTCTTCTTCCTTGCTTACGTCGTATAGCGGGAGGACCATTTCACTTTTTTCTCGCGCCCTTGTTGAGCCGCTTCATGGCACTGTCTTGAGCAGTTTTTCTTCAGCGCCTTTGTTGCGGACCTGCTTGGGGTCTTAGCATCCTTTTTGCAAGCCTTAAGAGTAAGTTGTGCAAGCCATGCAGTCGGTTTGTGGTTAGCAACCGGCGTGCTTAACGGCCATAAGTCTGCCCTGCGGTTTAAGGTAGGACCCGCTCAAATTACGTGTGCGAGCCCCTTTCTTCAAGCTGCAGGCACTGCTCAACAAATCAGCCTACGGATTTGAAAGGGGACACGCTATCTTGTTCATCGGAAGAAGTCAGTTTGAGCGTACAAATTTGGTCTGCCTTATGAAAGAATGTTCTACGAGCGTGAATGAAACTTAAGAGTGTGACTGTTTCGTTTCCTGCAGATGGCAAACCTAGAGAGGCTGCGCCAGGAGATTTCCGACTTCGACTTCGACCACGCGCGTGAAATCATGAGAAGCAACGAGGATCTGCGACAGATCAACACTGCTGCGGAAGCAATGAAGCGGGTAGAACAAGCGCAGCACAGTGCAGAGGGGCTGCTAGCCAAATTGAAAAGGTGAGGATCGTCCCTCCTTTTTGTGCTATTTTTGGAATGTTCAATGACAGGTAATTACCAAGTTATAGTAGTAGGCCGCCAGTTCAGCTCTCAGTTTCATCTCTGTCCACAAAATGTACAGAAAGCTCCCCGCGTGGATTGACTTTGGTGTATTCATCTTGGTCCGGTCAACCTAAAGCGGTCCCTTCGCAAACAATCCAGCACAACAAACCCCGGTTTGCCCTGCCCGTTTGCCCCGACCGGATTCGCGTTCCAAAAGGTTTGAGCTTCGCGTGTCGTGCCAAATTTTTGACCTTCCAGCGCGGACGCGGTTGATAACACTCCAGTAAAGGTGGGGTCGTCTTAACTTGTTTGCCGCGGTTTCGAGGTAGAGGATCACGCGTTCAGGACAAAACCGCGGCCGCGCAGATTGAGAAGCATGCTTTCTACGACTTTGTCTACTTCGTCGATTGAGCCAGGCTCAAAGCGGCACACTCGTTAAGTATAGAAGGAATGCTTGTGGTACTTGCAGGTTGGATACTAAGGAGTCAGTGGCTAACCCTTGTCTCGCCTGTCTGTTCACATGTTCCGCTTTGCGCCCCTTCTGAGCCGTCACTTACTGTTTGTAGTATCTTACGCTCTGCGCCTTTTCTGAGCTGTCGCTTTGGGTGCAGTATCTTGGGAATTTTTGTCTTGCTCAAGAAGGGGCACGATCACAAAGACAATCGGCCGCGATTGAATAAAGACGAAGAGGGTCTAGCGCTTTACCTTTGTGTCCATTGATTGCGCTCTGTGCCTCTTCTTGAATCGTTGTTTCTTCTTTGCAGTATTCTAGGAAAGCTCGTCCCGTTCAAGAAGCGTCACAACCACAAGGAAGAACGGCAGGAGTCGAACGAGGAGAAAGAGGGCCCCATTGGGTTGTATCCCCCCGGCAAGCTCCTGGTGCTCAGCAGGTGACGTCAGCGCACTCGATTTCTTTTCCTATTTTTCCGTAGAGGATGCGTCTGTGTAAAGCTTGGGCTTTGATGTGTGTCTGTCAGATTGTAAAGGGACGTCAGCTTGTACAGAAACAAGCTGTCCTCCAGCAAAAAGCGAGAGACTACGTCTTGAATATTGAGAAAATGCTGTCAACGAATTCGCGGTGAGCGTCTGCGTGAGCACGTTTCTGGCCAGAGCTTGGTAGACCGTTCTAGATTATACCAATTCCCTAGACGTATCCTTTTGCTAAAAGACACTTCGAAGAATCTCAGTCAAAGGTCGGTACACCGGGCGTCGGTTTTCGGGACAGTGTTCGGCTCGAATAGCTTTATCGATGGCCCACTTCAAACGGATTTTCTGGAGTTGAGAAGCGAAGCGCTCTCGAGTGAAGCGCTCTCGAGTATTCTGTGCGGAAAGTCAATCTGTACGGACAGAATCAAGAGGTGACTCTTGGAAACCAACAAATGCGCTCGGAGACCCGTTCTCCACAGAGTAATCGAAAATCCTCTTTGAAAGTCGAGATAGGCCTTCTGATGCAACGATTCGTACGGACACGGCCTAATGCTAGCTCGCAGACGGGTTTTTGCAGACGAAATCGTCCGGTTTGTCGTCTACATTTCGTGACAAGAAGAACGGGAGGAAAAAGTGAAATCCAAAGTGACACTCTGAAACTCGTGCGTGGATCAAAGGAGACCCGTGAAACCTCGGCACAAGTCGACTTGCCGTTCCTGACGGAACCTTTGCCGTTCTTGTGCAGCGACCCGTACGGTCACGGCCTGATGCCCGAGTCCCGGAAGGGGGTCCCCAGTATGCGGGACTACGGCGTCTTTCCCAGCCACGAGCGCGCGGCGAAAACGAAGTGGACGCTCAACAGTGAGCGGTCGCCAGCTTGTCTCTGCTTGCACCCGTTTTTTGGAGGGTGTCTTTCTGAGGGATCCCCCATCAGGGAACCTTTTGGTTATGGTGAATGCCGTGGCCCTCCAGAGGGATTCTCCATAAGACGGATCATCAATTGTGGCGGACATGTTCTTTTCTCATTGATTCCTTATCAGACAATCTGTCGATTGCGACGAGGAAAGTGGTCCTTCTGATGAAATCCCCCATCAGTTGATCTGCTGGTTGTGACGAAGATACTTCCTCTCTATAAAAGAATCAGTGGTTGTCACTTCTGGCAAGGAAATTGTTCTTTACTGGTCTCCCCCAGCTTGGTTCCGGCGAGGAAAATGGTCCAATCATCGGAAATCCTCGATGACACAATCTGTGTCGGTCGTATCGAGGATACTGTCCCTCTGAGGGCTCCCTCCTCTTAAGTCGACGGGGAATGAGAAACGTCAGTTTGAGGGATCCCCCGTTACCCTGTCGGTTGTGATAAAGCTAGTCGTGCAAAGCAACACGGGGTATCTTGAGTTGTGCTTCAAACTTCGGTGTCAAGGTACTGACCCGCTGGTCAGTGGTACGCTCTGAAAAGAGTAGCAATCGAGAGGGTGTGTATCAGCAGTAGTGCGGACGGCGTAAGAACGCAACGGAGGTTTTTCTACCGAACCTGTTTTAGTAGACCGGATGTGAGGGGACTGTCTTTGCAAAAGTCCCAGCGTCATCCCCCCCATTACTAGTTGTTCAGGAAAACGAAATCACTACCAGGGTGAAGAGTCTGAGATGTTGATCAGGCAGAAGAAGCAAAGTTCCGACGTTGACTAATTTTATCGTTCTTCTCTGCTTGCAGAAGCGGATCAAACGGACTTCGAGCGGTTGTACATTTCGCCGTGGGTTATGTCTGACCACATGATGATAACCCACATGGAAGGCCTGGACAGCCTGCAGCACGAGTGCGAGCCGTTCCTGGACCGCAAAAGTAAGGCCGAGTGACACGTGGCGCACTGCAAAGCCGCGTACGTCACCCTCGCTTCCTTGTGAGTCAACGCACTATAGAGCACTTGTCAGAATCTGAGCAGTTTTGGGTTGAACAACTTTCAGGTGAATAGTGATTGGAGCACGCTTTAGCGGTTGAGTTGTTGTTTAGATCCGGCGTGAGTTGGACAAGGTAGATTGTGTTTGCTTAAGATTATCACACCGCCGCGCTTTGACAGTCATCTAAACCCGCAAGAAACATTTCCAAAGAGCAAGCTAAGACGTGTTGAAGTGATCTGTCACATCGTGTTGAAAGTGCTAGAAATGTACGGTTTCGTGTCCGACAATGTTTGCGTCAAGATTGTCCTTATGTGGATTTCCTCACTGATTGCTTCCTTCTTCTTGCTCGGTTGACCGTCAATCGGTCGCTCGACTGCTCTTGGACTTCGTTTTCCGCGTGTCCTTTCTGTTAGTCTTCCGTTGTGAGAAAGATCTCGGAATTGTCAGGTGATCCGTCGCACCGCCTCTGTCCATCTAGGGGGCGCCGCCCCCAGTGACTTGCTGGTCAACAAATCGGATCTTGGAGCGAGATTATTGATGTAAGAAAAACCAGAGTCCCTCGGCGAAAGCACAACTATAGGGGCTTTGTTTTGAAGTCCACATTTCAGGGGGTTGGTTTCGAAGTCGACAGATCTCAGCGCCGCCCTTGCCAGTTGGCTATCGTGAACCACCATGTGGGCGGTTTTTGAATTCCGCTTCGCCCTTTCGCTCCCCCTCTCAAAGTTGTGTCTGCGTTCGGTGCGCAACTTCACGTTCCCACCAGTCGCCCCGGACCATTGTTTTTGCGAGCATTCCGAAGCCGTGCTATCCGCGACGCTTTCTGAGTTTTTCGGCAATCTCTGAAGACTTTGCTGTTTTGCAACGATTTCTGAATCCGTACCGTTTGCTCAACAGGACCTGCCATGAGCGCGCAGTCTAGCCAGACCGACCCGGAAGCTCGAAAGATCCTCAAAGACGCGTCGATTCACCCGCTAGCTTGGGTTTTCATGGGGGCGTTTGTGTCCGCCTGGCTGCGAATATGAGTTTTGGGCTCTTGTTGCCTTCGTGATCTGGTCACTTCAAGTCGGATTCCGGTATATTGTTCTGTGTTTGGATTGTAAAAGAGGGGTTTACATTTTGTAAATATACTCGGTCGGGCAACCACTTTCGTAATTATTTTGCTTGCCTTACAATCAGACTTTGTTGGGCTCCAGTAATGTTGCTCTGCTTGGCCTTTCATGCAGTAATTCTCGTAGCGCATTCTGCAGGCTTTGCATCATGCATGCCTTGACGCCCAAATGTCATCAATGCGTTCATCAAACTCGTCAAACTAACCTAGCTCGCATGCCCCCATTGCATTTGAAGGCATGTGGCGCCATGCGTGATTCGATGCGAAGCTTGAATGGCATGGCCCGTGTCGGAGCTCATGCGCGGTGCAAATGTACTAAAAAAGGGCACGGATACGGTATCCGTGCGCCTTTTTTGGCAACCAAATCCTGATGTTATCGCATGGAGATACTGATCTGTTTTGTGAACGACCTAGTATGCAGAAAATCGGCCAATCATGCAAACGACCGCTTCAAGGACTGTAGAAGATTAGTGAATCATGTGTATGGCCGCCAGCTCCGGATTCCTAGCAATTGAACATAGATAAACAAACGTGAATGCACTGCTTGACATGGAGCCGATGCATGATCTTTACATGGCCCTAGCTGGCACGTATTTAATAGAAACAATTAACTGCTGAGGCTTAAGTGTTATGAAAGTACGTTGGATGCTAAGAATATACAGGTTTTTTGCGAACTTATGATTATGATGATGAAGCAAAATCCATAGAGATGCATTACGTTTGCGAAAAGTGCTCATGATATACATGATATATGCAGATCGATCGGACATTGGCATGTAAGTCCGAGTTGTTGTGTAGCTCTACAAATGCATGATGCTGGCGCACATGGGCCACTGTGCATTATAACTTCGAAGCTGGCGCATGCATCTCATGCAGGTACACGTACCTCTTTGTGCAGATCGGATCGGATACACCATGCACCGTGATATTTCACGCGCAGGCCGGTCAACAATTAACGGCTTGACCGACATGCACATGTGCAACGTGAAGTAAATAGGCCATGAGCTACCCAGTGCATGCCGCAAACACCCACCGCATGTACGTACATTGTATATATATGGTCGCGTGTTTGCCGCACTCCCCAGATCCTGATTTATCGATGGTCCTGAGTAACGTACGTACATACAGAACATCAATCTGATTTTTTTTCAATAGACCGCCGACGGTGTCAATCATCGAATTTCAGCATGCGTCTTTTTTATGCATGTTGGTCGCGGCACTGATGATATGCGCATGCCACTGAATCCGAGATGTATGGCGGTCGGCTCAGTCGCATAATCTCCTCACATACTGCATTCAAACTACATTGAACCTACGTATGTTCAGTCAGTAATGAACTGAGAGGCCAAGCGTGTACTTCGATGATGAAGCTTGTACTTCGATGATGTTCACGTCGTTGTTTTGAATCCATCCCATGCGCATCACACATTCTCGTTAAGCTTCTAGATGCACCAACGTTTTCCTCCGATCTAAGTCTGCGTTCCCACCAAACGCGCATTCAGACGGATCCTCCCGCTCTTTTGCCAAAGTATGGCTGCCGACAAAACCTCAGGCGGCCTCCAGATCTTGCATGACTTGGCTTCCCTCGTGTACAGAAGCTGCTCCTACCTGCATAAGAGAAAGAGCGAGCGCTTCAGCATGATTACCACGAAAGCAGCGATGGTACTCGCTGAGGGCATGAGGGCAGGAGAAGGCCTGAAAGACGGTTTCGCACTATGCTCATACGTTGGCAAGTCAGCAGCATCGACAACCAGTCGCATTTTGAAGCAGCAAGTACACAAAAAGCAAGCACACAAAGCAATTAGAAAGTGCAGGACAACAACTCGATTACGCCAGGGCAAATGCATGTCGCTCCTGCTGACCGTATGGAACAGAGTCAAACGCGAAGTAAAAACACTGCCAACCAAACGAGGGTACTCACTCTAGTTCAATCCTCTTCATCATCTGAAATCCAGTCCCCGCCGTCACATTCCTCGACTAGATCTTTCTTCAGGACGTCAACAAGGTCTCGTAGCTCAGAGGGAATTGCCTCGGTCTTCCTCTTGCCATCAATTGCGACCCGCACCGAGGGACTGATTGTGTGCCCCAACGGTTTAAGCAGATTTTTCCCTTCCGTCCCCTTCTTTGCTCTTGCCTTCGAGCTGCCTTTTGGCTTTGCGCTGAGCTCGACCCCCTCGGGGAGTGTGGTACAGAGAGGGTATCCGAGAAACACGGAGATCACACCAGTCACCCCTCTGCCCGGCTGAAGCGCCGCCTCCACCTTAGCCCTCAGCGCTTTTCGGTTTGCCTTCCCTCGGTAGGCTTGCGAAGGATCCAGAGAAGCGACGACTGAGAAGCGGTCGCCCAACGTCTTCCGCAGCTTTACTTGCACAAAGACCAAGTACAACAGCCCCGCAACGGAGAGGAAGAACACGAGATCGGGCCCCGCCATGTCCTCGGGGAAGAAGAGAACATTTTGCTTAGGATCCTCGAGGAAGTCTAGCAGCGTATACCCGGGGTTGGCGATGGCCATCCCCATGAGGCAATCAGACCGGTCGCCCAGGAACTTGAATTGCAGAAGCCCGTCTTGTACCTTGGAAACTGCAACGACGTGGGCAGTCCCCTGATAGAAGCAGCTGGGAAGACCCTTCAGATTTGAAAAGAGGGGAGTCTCGCCGAGTGGGCGGTCGGTCTCAAAGAGGGGGGGAAGGAACCTGGCTGCCACAAACTCCCACCACTGGCCCATCATAGAGTGGTTGAAGGAAGAAATGGCCATCTGCTGCCTCGCATACTTCTCCGGCGTCCACTTCATCTCGTGAGTCAGAAAGTTGACGATTGCGGTTAAAGCTATGGGCTCCGAGATCGTTGCCCAGAACCCCTCGACGCTCTTCTTGGCGATGGCAAAACCGCCTGTCACCAGATTCATCTCCTCCACTGACTCAAAGCGCACATGCCTTTTGAGAACCACATGGTAGAAGGCAATCCGCTCGAGCAAACTTGTATGCTGCCCATGCTTGCGGGCGTGGTATATCAGCTGCCCGTAGAGGTATACTTTCTCGTAAGCGGTCGAGTCCATCCTGCTGTCTGCGAGGCCCATGTGGTCCGTATGCTAGAAAATTTCCTCCTTGAACACAGCTTTGAGAGGCCGTCTTCCGTTCTCATGCAGCCAGCGCTGCAGCGGCCCCGCCACGAACCTCCGCCGACCAAGAGCTTCTTTGACTAGAGGCAAGGCATCGATGGTCTCCTCTGAACCCGCATACCGTGTCAAGTAATCCACGGCTTGAGACTCCTCGAACTCTCCAAAGTCAACAAACGTCTCAGGCTTGGGGGCGCCGGATTTGGAGCTAGCTGATGCAATGTAGTCTCGCTGGAGCATAGACAGGCCAGTCCCTGCCAGGATGAGGATGATCTGACCCGTCAAGGGGGCTTCGTTCAGGATGTGAACTAAAGCCGTCAGCAGGGGCCTTCCTTCGCCGAGACCGGAGGGGTTGTTGGAGAAGCAGTTCTCTAGCGCCGCGCTCAGGAGTTGAGCTTCGTCGATGATGATTGGAATGCGGGCGATCTTCAAGCCTCTCCGGCAGGACTTGAGAAGCTCAACCACCCGAGGCAGCAGGTCATCCGGCTCAACGTTCCGCACAGCCAGGTACAGATTTGAAAGGACGTCCTGCGAAAGAAAAAGCTTGTGTCATGAGCAACGCCACATCGGTTTTAGAAAAGACAGCAACGGCAGAATTGCTGGAACGCTCCAAAATGATACTCAGGGGAGCGAAGAGCAGACCTTTTGATGCAAGAGAAAGGCGGCACGTGTACAGGTCTATCAACACCAGCAACGCCTTCGTGCGGCCAAGACCTCCAGAAGGCTAACAAAGCGAAGAGTACAGGACTTACCATGCTGAGTCGGCCGCAAACGGGATCAAACCAATGGCTGCCACGCAAAAGGTGTTGGAAATCAAGCGGAGACTGAGATTGGATGGCATGCGCAGAACCATTCTAATTGGAAACAGTCCCTCACCTCCTGCGCGGAGTACACAACTGCCGTCCGGTAGTACAGCCAAGGTTGCCCTGCCCCACCGGTCTTCACGCAGTGTTCCAGCAGCGTGAGCCGCGCATACAGCAGAGCGTACACGTGTCGCCTGGCCCGGTGGAGGTTTGCAGCCCACTCGTCAGACGAAGGTCGGCAGTCTTCATTAAGCCTAGTCATCATGTCTCGCATATCTCGAATTCCGATCCCAGCGTTCGGGTCAGCTGTCAAGTAGATCGTGCCTGGCTGGAAGCACCCGAATTCCAGGCATGTCCGCGTCTTCCCAGCCCCGGAAACGCCGAACAGCACCGTGATCGGGACAGGGTCAACAGACGGAACATTCTTTCTGCACCAGTCTCTGAGGACGGCCGCCTTGGTCAGCACCTCCCGAGACTTCTCGTCGCTTGGCAGGTCGGCCAGAAGCAGCAGTGGTTGGTCCCTCCTCCCCAACAGACGCAGCCCCGTGATAAAGTCAGACTTGTCGGTTTCTCCTTTGGCAACATAGTGCTCCGGGCCGTCTTGAAAGCAGCGCGCCAGATTTGAGACAGCCAGATCGCGTTGGGCGTTGAGTTGGTTTTCGACTTCCGTCCACAGCTTCAACGTCGTAATCTCTGTTTGGAGGGGGTGCGGGCGACCTGAAGAGCAATCAACGAGGTTTTGAGATTAGGCAATGAGAACCCTGCTAAGCAATGACAACCCTGCTTATGGCTTAAATTGAGGTGGAACAAACTGTTATGTGGTTTTCAAGGCATTATCTGAGCCACGTTGTTGGATGTGGAACGAGGAAGAGTGCCCACGTTATCCATAGATTTCCAACAGTTGTCCCCTTCACAAAACAAGGGGGTCCATCTACACCAGAATGCCTCCTTCTTGTACCTTCCAAGCTTTGCGGACGTCCCCACAATGCTTGCATCAATTTCAACAACTTTTCCATCTTTTTTGAGTTTGCAGACGTTCCTCCGCACATGAACCTGCACTTCAACTCCCACAGGTTTGGGCGCCGGGCCACCATTGTCTTCAACTACTCAAACGAGGAGCTTGGCGAATGGGGCAATAACACAGTGGCAGAACTTACGTTTCCGGCTCCCTTGATCAGCATCCTGCATGTCCAGATCCGTGGAGTGGCCCGCTTCCGCAGCCTGACCGCCCCCAACAGGAGCTGCAATACGAGGACCACCAGGATCAGGGTCTTGCGTGCAGAAGCTTCGAGGCAGCAAACGAAGTCAAGATCAACCGTTGTGACCCTAGCAATTGGCCGAGTTCATAGGGTGACCACTGTCCTCGGCAAGATTGATCAAGAAGCGACTATGTCACCTGGCAAGGAAGCCGACAACACCTTCCAATCAGCAAAGTCATGCTATCTCCTCCGAGCTTTCTCGCGCTATATGGTGAATAACAGTATTACAACGCTCGACTTCCGTCGTTTTCATATTCGAAACATTCTTTAGGTTGCGCCGTAGCTAGCCTACTCATATGGCAGAAGGAGCTGCTTACCTGCAAATCCCTTGAGATATATAGTCCAGCCCAGAGGCCATTTCCCCTCATACGCCTTTCCCAGAGCTTCTATCACTTTAATGCGCACGCCCAAAGACAGCTCTCTCCAGTCTGCCAAGCTGACAGTCTGCGTTGCCAGGTGCTCCAGCAACGTGGGATGGATTGTGTTGCCAGCTTCCTCCCAGCTCTTGCGGACGTGTGCAATCTGTGGCATGGAGGTGTTGACAATCAGCATCCACGATGTTGTACCCAATCTAACAGTAGCATGGACACTGAGAAAAGACACAAGATTGCGTCCTGATGCTCGAGTACATCAATAGCTGGTTCCTGTCTTGCGCTGCAGGATTCCCCTTGTCCAAGCTCACCTCGTCCGGGGTCACCTCGTCTGGGCCAGGTCCCGAACTGAATTCGATGCCACCACTCTTTGGTAGTGTTACTGCACGTGAGGTGAACGCAGCCAAAAGCTGATCTCCTTGATGCACCTCGTTCATCCGAGTTTCCAAGCAAGACATCAGAAGTCTGACCGAAGGAACAATCAAGTGCTCTACAGTTGTTTGCATGTTCGCAAGAAGCCCAAGTCTTTTACAAGAGTTCGCTGGCAGTAAGGGGCTGGCAGTAAGGGGCGAGCAGCCCAGGGCGTGCTCAAAGTTTTCAACAACCAGAGAACTAGAATCGATGGTGCATCAATCTGATCATCCTTATAACCAGAAATATCCTTTGCTTCTGTTTTATATTCACAGCCGCGGTTGCAGTGCCAGTCGCTTGTACGCATCTTAGCCCAATACCCCCACTTTGAGACTCGTTCCAAGCTGCGATTCACTTACTTGCAACCCTCATAAGGAACGTAGTCCAGCCCACGAGCCATTTCCGCTCGTACGCATTCGCCAAGGTTTCCACCGTTGAAAGGTGTTCCCCCGGAGGAAGCCCCCTCCAGGCTGCCAACGTGACATCCTCGCTTGCCAGGAGATCAAGTAGCCTGGGGTTGATTGCCGTACAAGCTTCCTTCCAGCTCTTGCGAATCTGTGCAACCTGTGGCATGGAGATTTTGAAATTAGTACTAACCATGTATAAAACAGGCCGATAATAGCATGGACACTGAGAAAAAACACAAGAGCACTCCCTGATGCTCATGTACATCAGTGGCTGGTTCCTGTCCTGCGCGGCAGGGTTCCCCTTGTCCAAACCCACCTTGTCCGGGGTCCCCTCGTCTGGGCCAAGTCCCGGATTGCATTCGACGCAACCAATCTTCAAAAGCGTCGCTGCACGTAAGGTGCACACATTCAGAAGCTGACTCCCTCAATGCACCTCGTTCGATTTGGCAGTATCTTGAAAGTTCCAAGCTTAGTCAACAGAAATCTCGTAGGAGGACAAGCCCAAGTCCCTAAAATTGTTTTTGCAATGTTCATAGGAAGCCCAAGTGTTTTACAAGTCTTCGCCTTTCAGCTGCTATTGAAGTGCCTTACCTATAAGCGACCTGCTCATTGGCATCGTAGCCCAATGCCCCTCACTTTGGAAGTTGTTCTGAACTGCAGAGGCAAAGATCGAAGCGCAGGTTGATCAGCTACCACAATCCCATGGCGATGAACAAAACAAGAGAATCCACGATGCACCAGAGGCATGACCAAACTCAGTGACCCCCCAGATTTGAACGACAGCAAAATTGATCAGATTGGACCACCAATTAGCACCGCACGCTCACCTGGTGCTGGATCTGCAGCAGATGAGTTCCCTCCCATTTGCTGGAGTTCCTCTTCAAGCCTTGCCACCCGTGCTTTCAACTGACGCAGTACACGTTCATGAGCCCACACTGCAAGATGTGCAGATACATGTGATTAAGCATGACAAAGAAGGTCTACCCGTTGCTAATAACTCAAGAAGCAGCTGCAAACATAAACATGAGGATCGAGTTCACACCAAAGGCAAGTTTCCGGAATGCTCTCACCTGCGCGATCTGGGTCGATACGGAAGTAGCCATTCGATGTTGCATGCACTCGGCAGAAATACTTGATGGCCCCCCCCTCCTTTCCTCCCCGAAGCCCATAATCTGCAGTAGCGCCGCACGCACAACACTCGAGGCTGTGCTGGTCTGCATGATCTGAAGGAAAGGCCAGAAGGACGGTGTTAGGATGTCCAACACCTGCAGGTGGTGCAATAAATAACAGGTACGCATGAGCAAGGCAAACCATTATACCGAAGGAGGGACCTGAGCTGAGATTGAATAGGCCTTGTAACGGAATGGCCCATGTACCACACATCGAGACAATCTCACCAAGAAAACGGAAGGTTCAGGAAACGGTTCAGACATGAAGGTTGTAAGCTACACCATGCCTATGCGAACCTGGAGACCAAGTGGAAGTAACCGCGTGTACCGAGAATAAAGGCGTCCTATCTTAGACAGACATGGACCATCTTGGTACATAAAGAAGCTTTGAAGACCCCTTTCCTGAAACCCGCACTCAACGCAGGCAATGTAACACATGCACATTTCACTGATCAAGTCCCACCCTGTACTGTCTTCCGCAGTATGGCCCCGATGATCTAGCATTGCCTGACCAGACTGATCAAGGTGGAGACGGTGGGACGCTGCCCTCTTACCTAATCCTGTTTCCGGCTGCTTGTTACGATTGCTTTGCCCCCCACAGTCTGCGCTCTGGCCTCTGGACTTGCGGGCCTGCACCCTCCTTTGCACCGGGCTACCCTCCCTGCCCTGCTGCTTCAGCCCCTCTAGGTGGGCAGCAGCTGACGAGGCGACCGCTTGCCTGAAGCCCTCCAGCAGGGACGACTCTGGCACGTCGATCAGCCCCTCCAGGCCGCTCATGGCAGTTTCCAGGGCCCCATTCCAGGCAGACTCCGTCCAGAGGAGGGCCGCTGACCCGCACACCTCCCTCGCCAGTCCGCAGACAATCCCCGCATTTCTCCGGAACACGCGCTGCCCCCTCACGCTCCCCTTCCGGAGCGCGCTCCTTACCAGGGCTCGAATCCTGGTCAGGGACACGCTGTTTGCGCTCGAACCTTCAGGTGCGTGCTGAGCTGGTCCAGGTGCATTCCCCATGATCGTCTTTGGGGCCTGCATGAGAAGAGCGCCGAACCTTGAATGGAGGACAAGGAGAGCGATGCCTGGATGGGAATCTGAATACCTTAAATGATAAACCTAGAATTCAAATTATTCTCTAATGTTTGAGAAAGATCAGACTGTGTTTGATACACGAAGAAGCCTTGCAATAACCAAGTAGGCCCGGCACCGCCGCCAGCTGCACCACCCTCTTGAAGTGCGGCTACGAAGGACAGAGCACTCAGGGACAGCCTTTCGAAAGTGGACAACGTTGGCTTGATTGAATCGGATCTACAGACGCGGTTGAACCTTCCATAAGTCAATCAAGTCACCATTGTGTGTATATCTAAGAGGTGCTCGCGCTGAGTGAGCCAGCATGCTACTCAGACCATGCTGGCCAGCCTCTCAACACGGCTGCTTCAAGATGACAGCAGGCCACAGTGCACACAGTTTGAGCTTGCAAGTGCCTCGAGTCCCAAACACGCCCGCCGCTCACTTGGCTCTGAGGAGGGCCGCAAGAAGCAAGCTGCACGTTGCTGCCGCTGCTGATGCCTAAGATGCACCTGTTAGAATGCTCCATGTTGACGGAGGTTGTGATCTGTCGCCAGCGCTCAGAACCTGTGGATGGAACGTTCACATAAGCACTGTGCTGTGGGAGCAATGGAGCCTATGCTCGATTGCATCGAACCCTGAATCGAAGACTCTCTCCTCTGAAATCAAAAAGGCTCTCGTCCGTACATAAGCAAACCTGGCCATGTTTCTGGATAATTTACTTGACGGCGGTGTACCGAGAAAGGAGAATTTACGGAATAAGAAGAACAGACTTCCTTGCTAGATAAGAAAGCCCAATCGTGCCTGTTGATCTCTTCATTAATTGGCGGCGATCCAAGAATCGGGACTTGACACCTCAAGAATACACTCAGTTTGGTACGCAAAGAAGCACCAAAGTACCTCACACAAAGCAGCTCAAGCAGGACAAGTAATTTTCATGATTTTCAACCTGGCACCTGGCCACTTGATTCATTCCACACCTGATGCAGGGCACTGCTGTCAGTGCTGACTAAGCAATCCAATCTGAGAGTCAAACCCACTTTCAACCTTCAATCCTATCTATGGCTGAAAGGTTTCATTGCTGCATAATCAATCAAAGGGTGCTGCAACGCGACAAATCTTGCAATTAAATTGACCAAACCTCAAGCCAAAGGCGAAGCACAACATCAGCACTGCCTTCAACATAGGAGTTTGTTGACTACCTATCCCACATTGATAAAGGTGGTCTATCTTCAACCAGGCCTACCTTTGATTGCTTCCTTCCATGTGGCACTGAGGGGGCATTGACTCTCTCGCGCTGACAAACTGGGACATATCAGAAGTGTGAAGCGCCATACCACAGCCTCAGGCCTAGAGCTGATGCCGCCCCAAAGAAGGAAGTCGGCTTGAGCAGACATTTCCAAAAACCTGTGCCGACCCCTGCCACTGGCATGGTCTGGAGACTCCGGTCACATTCCGAGTCGCCACGTCATTCCTTCCACGTCCGGCCCGCCCCTGTTCAAGTGGCTAGCAGGCTTGCTGCTTGACCCCGCCCCGGGCCCGGGCCCCGGGGGCCCACGGGCCCACCGGGGCCACTGCCCAGGTAGGTACCATGGGAGGTACCTAAGGCTAGGGCCTAGGCCAGCGTTCGACACGGAGTTTTGATTTTGTCGGCTGGGAGCCGACTTGTTCTCCGGTCAGTCGGCTGGAACTCTGAACCGGTCGGCTTGTGTCAGCCAAACCCCTGAAACATACCTCGATTCTGTCGGCTTTTCGGCCGACGCCCCTCGGTTGAGTCGGCCGGGTGGCAAGTTCGTCGGCTGACGTTTGCCTGGTGTGACGGCTCGTGTCGAACACTGGCCTAGGCTATTATAGATTATCTGGCTTGCATTAAATTGCGTTACCGGTATGTAGCATTCACTTACGAAGGGATCCTCCTGCAACAATGTCAAAAGCGGCTGGTACAGATCTGTGATTGAAGTTGCATTGTAATGAGCCTGCCCTAAGACAGGTCGTTCTCCTTCCTCCTGCTAGGCTGCCAGCTAGAATGGTGCCGAATTGCGCAGTCCGTTCAATGACAAGTCGTCCAAAGCAATCCTCTCTTTTACGAGAGTGAAAAGATGTCGCGCAATGTGGTGGCAGCCATAGCTCTAGTGTCGCTATTTGTGTGCTTGATTACTGCGCCTGGTTTGAACACTCTGGGGTGGAGATGGGACAAGTCTGATATTTCTCCCTATGGTGGTAGCAACCGCCACTCTAGAGCAGTCCGTTTAGTGCTTCCCAAGTTGTTGACAGCTCCACGGAACCGAGAGAACGCATCCATTGTAGTCATTGTGACTACCGCAGCTCATTCCCTAAAACGAAGAGAGAAGCTTAGGAGGCAGTTTGCGGAAAGTTTGAGATTGACTGAGCAAAAAGTGGGCTTGAGAGAGCGGGAGACAGCGATTATCAGGTTTGCTATAGGCAAAGCCAACGAGAAGGAAATGCTGCAAGCTGACAGAGACTGGCAAAGCGTGCGCAACGAGTCCTCATTCTACGGTGACATCTTGTTCTTGGACTGCCCCGACTATGATGGCTTTTACAACCTTTGGCCAAATTCCTCGGCAACGACCACGAAAGTCCTACTTAGTATAGGCTGGGCAGTGCAGAACTACCAATTTGAGTATTTAGTCAGACTTGGAGATGATGCTTACTTTCGGGTTGACCAATTTCTCTTGCTAATGAAGCAGGGTGCACTTCCTTTGTCAAGGGCAGTCTTGGGCTACGCTGTTTCTGGAGCCGTCGATGACGAGGGACTCAGCTATGATTATCCAAGTGGCATGGGCTATGCGGTGACGTATGACTTCTGTGCCTGGATATCAGCATCCAAGGATATGCTCATCGACTCCTGGCCTGAGGACATGATGATGGGCCGATGGATTCTAGCATCCAAGGCGAAGCTCTTCCATATGCCTGCAAGGTTCATGGACTATGATTGGGGCGGATGCTCCAATGACAGTCTGATCATCCACAAGTTGCCAGAAGATGCCTGGAACGCAATTGATACTGCGGGATTACTAAAGTGCAGGAAATAAAGGTGCAAGAGCAGTGGGCATGGCTTCTTAGGTGAGCAACAACAGTGGTCTGATGCTCTTGGTATGGTCAGATCTGTCCCTGAACTAGGAACAACTTGTGGTTCAATTGCAATGGGATGGGCCAACTTGATTTTGAGCAATCCCCGGAGTGGCAGCCAGTATGGAAGGCGTTCTTGCCCTCGTTTGCTTCAACCTGGATAAGTCTTTCGAAGAGCTTTCTTCCATCTCAGTGATCTGACTTCCCCAAGCTCAACCCTTGGGACCACATTACACAGAGGAACAGTCACAACAAGGTCTACTTCCTACTTGCTAGTCCAGGGAGAAACTCTCTAAAGTACCTGCCACCCGCATCTCTGCACACCGCAAAGTTTGCACACCGCAAAGTTGACAGGCAAACTTTTCTGAGTTGGTGGTGCATTTTCATGTAAGTGGGGCTGAGTGGTGCGTTACTTGCGGACCCAGGAATCCAGAGTAAATCTTAATCTGCGGCCATTCTTGCTGCAGGGACTAGGGAGCCTATCGGAAAGCTAGCCGATTGCATCTACGCGAGATTCAGTCCGCGCTGGCAGACACTCGTCAACGTACTTTGTCGCTGCTAAGTGCACCATACAAAGATCTAGGATGTCAACAAATTTTGCCTCAAGTCGTTGTCATCTTACCCCTTCACCATTTGGTAACTTCGATCTGGATGAGTGTAAATTGGTCAGTTCGCGGCAAATGAGGACGGTCAGATAACACCCAGAATCGATAATTAGATGACACCTCCAAAAAATAGGTTGCTTGTAAGAAGCTATCATTGAAGATGCCTATACCTGTGTTTCAATCCAGCCGCGTGCACATACGTCTGGCCGCCCAGCTCCATATATGGTGTCCTAGCGAGTTGTACATAGCCTCTCCAAAATATGCGCGGCAAGCACCGTGCGTTATAATGTACCCGTAAGTTACCATAACCGTCGATTGTGTCAGAATGAGCGATCGATAAGCTAGCCTGCTCAGTCGCATGTATGTTGGGCATCTTGCCACGTGACCTTTAATTTGTGCAGGATTTGAACGTAAGCTTGCGTCCGGCCATATATATATCATGTATGCATCCGAGTCGGATCGCAGCTCGCGTCATGCATGATGCTCGATCGATCATTCCTACTGCATGAGTGAATCCATGATTATAGCTCGAGCACTCATCGCCGATGGTAACTGATTAGCATGTTGAATATTGGCGACTGGGCGGGCCTCGCTGCCTCCAGCCGATTCGTCACATGCAATCGGTCAATCTAGAGGCATTCAATGATACCATCCAATTAACGTTTCAGCTACTTCTAGCCAGTTAGCCTCCAGCCTCTCCTCTCCGCCCGCTGCAGATGTACTTGTCACTGTGTAGTGCAACACATGGTACAAGGACATGCATGATGAAAGCCGGCGTGCTCCTAAGACGGTAAAAGGAAGTAAATCGAAGGCGAGCTCTGCAACATGCCCGTGTGTTTTGTGCCCATCTCTTTCGACATTTTTGGGACCTACATCATAGGTTTGCATCGCCAAATTCCATCGAGACTTGGTTCTCTACGACCAGGCTCAGTATAAGAATGTCTCGTTTCGTTTGCCGAACACAAACGCCCAAAACAAGGCTCGTATAACAGCAACTATCTTAGATAAGCATGTAGTCTACTTCAATTTAATTCTTACTTTCATTGCGATAACCGCTCCTTCCAATACTCCAATTGCTCCGCGACGCGCTCCGCCCCTGTTGACCCATAGCTTATGAACTTGCTGACGCTGTTGGTGACGCCCAGATAACCATACACGTCTTCTTCGAAGATCGGGTCCAAGGCCCGGAACTGCTCCAAGGTCAAGTCTTGCAACTCTATCTTTTCTTTGACTGCCACAGCAACGGCCCGTCCAACCACGTCGTGGCTCGTACGGAAGGGCATGCCCTGCAATTGGGCAAGAGGCATCAGCTACTGAATCGAAGAGGACCAAAACCCCCAGGTAGCAAGCTGGGGACTAAAACCACTGAAAACAAGCTGGAAGCATACGCCCCGAGAGTAGACTAGTTACCTTTGAGGAAGAAAATCGATTTCGGGAAAAGATGATGGCGAGACAAGGAACAACCAAACACAAGAAGAGCCTGGGAAGATTTCAAGAGCAGCATCCACGATAGAAACCCCCAAAAGAGTCTATGGGAAAAAGGAGGTGGATAGATGAGGAGTAGGCCAATGTGATACATTCGCTTCAGCGAGAGACTACAAAGTTGGGACGATTGGGCAGCGGCCTGGCACAAGCAAATCATTCCGCAGACGACGTGGTTCGTGAACCCTCGAAAGACTGGGTTACGACGTGGTTGTGGAGCCTTGAACAACTGGGGTTACGAGGTTGGTTTGAAGGCGACTCTGGCAACAAACTGTGAATCGCTAATACCTTGAGACTCACCTTTTTGACGAGGTAGTCTGCGAGTGTGGTCGCGTCCAAGTGTCCGGCGGGCAGCGATTTGGCGAGGCGGTCCGCGTTGAAGGTGACGTTGTCAGCAAACTCGGCCGTCACTTCCAGGATGCCCTGCACCGTCTCCACGCTGTCGAACAGCGGCTCCTTGTCCTCCTGACGTCACAGCAGACATAAAATGACGTCAGCGAGTCCGAGTTCATCCCCAAAGCCTGATCTGAAGTGTGGCACTCGTGACATGTGCCAGCAATCGTAGGATGCTGGAACGCATTGAACCGTCCGAACTTCGACCGTAAATTGTAGAATCTGTCGTGCAGTAGTGAATCGTAAACGAGCAATTGCCACGGCCCCCGCGCTGATATGTCTCGATTCTGCGATGCGTCAGGCCTACAGTGCCCGGGACTAGTACAGACTAGAAACTTGATTGAGGTCAATAACGCTTCGCACCGGCACCCATTCTTGAACCCCGAACCAACCGCGTCCTGGGCAGTGGCCTAACCCGACGTGGCCGTATCTCAACTTAAAGGGGCTTCGTATTTCCGGTACGTACCTGGAGGTCCCGGTTGTATGCGGAGGGCAGCCCTTTGCAGAGGACGAGCACCGTAGTGAGGGAGCCGATGATGCGCGCGGACTTGCCGCGCACCAGCTCTAAACAAGAGCAAATAAGCAGAAGCGTGAGAAATGGCTAACGAACTGCGAACAATACGGACGGACGCGCAGCAACGAACAAAGGTGAGAAACCTTCTAACGGTATCAGCGAGAACCATTTGCACCTCCAATGGCACGTCCGCAGGAAGGCCTCCACAAGTCAAATTTGTGAGCAACACTGAGCGCGTGTCAAGTTTTTCTCGAATGACCTTCTCAGAAACTCTACGCTGCTCAAAGGACGAACGCTTGACTGACTAGGCAGCCAAGTCAGCCGGAGACGAGAAGCCGACTGGCATGTCAACATCTGAAAAGATGGACTTGTAACCCATTACCCTCGACCAAACAAGGCAACGAGAACCGACGTCAGCGAGAGGGGTAAGAAAGGAAAGAAAGAAAGTTGCAGTGGCGCACCCATGGGATCGGGGTTCTTTTTCTGGGGCATGATGCTGCTGCCGGTTGAGACGGCGTCGCTCGGGGTGATGAAGCCGAACTCCTCGGAAGCGTACAGAACCCACTGTACGATCAAGAATCGGTGTTACCGCAGGAAGCACCAGCGTTTGGACGGCACTCCAGGTTTCGCAAGCGCTATAGATGATGTTTTTAATTCTTTAATTCTTGAGGAACCATCTGTACACATTTGGAACAGTATTTGACTGTTGGTTCGGTCTTCGTGCCTCAGAACCGCATCTGCTAACAGACGGCGAGGAATCAATGACAGTGCCGAGAACAACAAAAAAATGACATTATTCAAATCAGCGCAACGACAGTTTTCAGTATGGTCAACGTGTCTCTTTGTCTCAACCCTTGCTGAGAAGACCTCATGCACCGGCGTATTGCGTCTGTTTGCAGATATCAACTGATTAAGGTCCAATAAGGACCCTGCAGATACGAAGCAGCGCGACGGATAATTGACCTCTGTCCTGACCTCTTCTGCCTTTTGTTTTCACGCATTGTTTTCAGCGGACAATCTGCCTTCTAGGCGAACATTCCCTCATTCTCCGGTTGCAAATCTAATTCTTCCCCTGCGAGAATCTGTAAACGACACAACTTCTTGCTGAGGTCCTCCGCCCATGGCAAAATCAGATCCGAAGATAGCGAGAAACGGTCGTCTCACCTCTTCTGCTAGTCGTGATAGGTGAACTCCGATGATGGCGTTCGCTGAGAGGAGCTCCAGCAGGAAGTCGCGGTCCATGACGCCGTCAACACTGCAAACACGAAACAAGTGGATAGGCTCACCGACCAGATTGTTCTTTGCTCTTGCTGCAGCCTTTTCCGAACAGGCTCTCGAAAGCCAATTCTGACGCGTTTTTGACCGCAACAGATGAATAACACCTGTAGGTACAAGGTTTGTCTTCGACGACTTGAGGAGAGCAGTTCTCAGCCTGGCCTTCTTCAACGTTTGCTTGCGTTCTAAAAGAACGGAATCTGAGAGAGGAGCCTTTTCGAGGAGGCGACCCTATCGCTGCCAATGCGAAAAACCAGGGAAACAACAAAACGAAGTCCGCAGATGCACAGAGAGATCAGTCAACACCGAAGTACAGGATTGTGAGCCACACCGAAATCAAGCCCGCACACACACACCATGGACCAAACACGATGCACTTGAAGTTTCTCAACCAACCCGCGGTCGAAAGACATTCCGCCTCGTAATTTCCTCGTATGTCCTCGTAGCCAGTAGGGGCGTGAAGAGAATGACTCACCTGTTTCTGAGCGGCCCGCTGAAGCCTAGCTCTTTGGCAGTCATGTGGCGGTCGATGGGCAGCCCAGTCCCGGCGAGCGCGCACGACCCGAGCGAGGAGAAGTTGAGGCGGCTGCGGCAGTCGCGCAGGCGGCCCGCATCGCGGTCCAACTGGTGGGGGGAAAAGAGAGCAGACTGTACGTCAGCTAAATGTAATGAGTGTGACGCAGGGGTATCGCGATACAATACTTTTCCTTTGCGTTTTTTTTCGCATGTCGGACGATGATCTCAAGGAAGAAAAGGGCTCATAACAAGGAGGCCAATGTCTATAGAAAGCAGCAATGAGCATGTACACACGCTTTTATACTGAAGGAGGCCACCGAAGATGGGGAACGGGCCAATTGTTCGGAGCAGGCTCCAAAGTAGGCCAGCGAAGATAGAGACCAAGAATAACACAGGCCATTATAAGGTGAGAACAGATATTCCCAAATATGACCTCCCCACGGACATCCTCAACCTTTCCGCACATACCTTCATTCTGGTTGTTTAGAAGAACCGTGAGACATGGGAGGTAACATATGCTCTACGCTTCGCCGTGCGTCAGGAAGACAGGACGAAATATGGAACACGCTTTTCCAATAACGGGAGCGCATGCTAAGAACGAGCGTCGAATTACAAAGCAAACCAGCAACTAAGCGCGCTCACCTGTTCGACATAGGCCAGCAGGAGGTGGGGAACTAGGATCGGCTGCGCGCGCTGCATGTGCGTGTAGCCGGGGACCACCAGGTCCTGGTTCGCAATGGCGAGCCGAACAAGGGCCACCTGGCGCAGAAACAGAGCCAATATATCAGCCCTATCGGAGCATCTGACGCATGGTCGAATGCAGAGCTCAATAATGTTGAAAATTGGTCAGAAAGCGATGCTTCTTAGGATCAAAGTCGCTTCCAAGAGGGAGTAGAGTCCGCTTTATGAGACGTGGCAAAGGGCGTCCGAACTACGCAGAGAAGGGAGAGGGTGCGAATGGATGGATAAAGAAACTGGATTGAAAGAAGGTAAGACACCTTCTGAAAGTTGCACTGCACATAGGCATCATATTTCATGCAATTACTGTCGAAGGGAAGTACCTTACGACAGAAATATTCGACCATTTCCACCCGAAAAATCAAATAGACCAAGGAGAAGAGAAGTTGGGGGCATCTGACGGTCAATAGAACCCCCGCTTTGACAGATAAAGAGTAGCCAATAAAAGATCTCAAATCTGTTCCCAATCTTTGCCCACCTGCAGCGTTTGTATCCTCTCCAACAGCCCATCAATCGCGTCCCGACACCACAAGCGCACGTCCGTGATGACTTGGTCGTTCCTGCTGCGCGCCGTGTGCAGCTTCTTGGCGGGCTCGCCGACTAACTCGATCAACGCGGCTTCCACGTTCATGTGAACGTCTTCCCGGTCCGCCCGCCACGTGAAGTCTCCCCGCTCAATGCGCGCCTCGATCTCGTCCAGGCCTTTGAGGATCGTGTCGCGGTCGGAGTCAGTCATGAGGCCCTGAAGGGATGAAGCGAGGGGGAAAATATGAATCTCAGGTGAAGATTGCAGGTCCACTTCGTCAAATTTACCCATGATCCATGAGAATCCTACTTCAGGGAGATTGAAATCCAAGTTGCCCTTCACGGTCTCCAGAGTTGCCAAGATATTATCAATTCTCTCCAATGGGCCGGCTCGAGGAACTCTGAAGATGGGTCAAAATGTTTGGAAGTTCACAGTCGGACTTCGATCGTGCATGACCAGGGAACACCGCCTCTGCTTCGCCCTCCAACGTCCTGTACTACTTGAAATACCACTCACAATTAGAATGAAGAAAAGACGACAATAAGCATTCCAGATATATCCGAGGCCCATGTAGATTTGTTTAGTGCGTCGCTGACCTGCGCTGCGAGCATCTTGCAGTGGGCCCTGCTCCCCTTGAGGTCCTGGCTGTAGAGCCGCTTGTCGTATGACACGCTCTCGCTGAACTTTGTTACGGCTTCCGTCACCGGCTTCTCGAAGCGGCCGCCCCACAGCTTGGCCTCCTACACAGACAGAAGCAATGTGTTGAAAGAGAGGGTGATGCAAGTGAACAGTTTGTACACAGAAAGGGAGACATTGCGACCGGAGAGAAGTGTCACGAATCACAGTGAACCTGCAGCATTTGGCGCAAGCTGTGCTCATGACCTGCGATGAGTATACTGCGGTCCTTTCTCGGAAAGTGGCGGTAAACTGAGAGTGGGGATACTCCTGGAACTGATGGGTTAGCCCGATGATTATACATTGGTTGGGGGTGGGGAATCTGTAAAATATCTAGGTATGCACGCTCAAATTACTGAATGCAGCGCACATTTGATGACTCATTTGGATCCGGAGGACTTATCACCAAAAGCTGTGAAACACATGCTTGCTTGGAGATGGTCAGAATAAGTGCATCCTGAATTTTTGCAACCAGTAAGTGCCTCCTGAGTTTTGCAATCAGAGCTAATCCTGATGGCCGCCACCATACTTTTCACGAGACAGATGTGACTTTGGCGTTTGTGGGCATACGCGCAACAGAAGATTTTGCCAACATGATCTTGAACACCTTAACAGATGTGAAAATGCCATCAAACTTCGGTGGTGGTCAAGATTGTGGCAATCAGAACGAAATGATCATAATGCCACATGCCCCAAGATGCCCGCTTGGTGAAAATTGGTGTGGCAGCTTTCTTGCTTGCTCTAGTTCAAAGAGATTTTTGTGTGGATCAATCAAGCCAAGGACCATGTAGGAAATGTATCAGACTATTGAAAAACTTACGGCATTGCAAAGAGCTCCGAGAAGTGTACTACTGCAAGAAGAGGCTGAAGCAACGACAATGTAAAGACTCCACTAGTAACCTTATCGAATTTATAGGATGTGGGCATTGGAAGTGGACGGAACACAAACTTACCTGGGCTTTTTCACTTGCTACTGCCATGATTTGTGGCAGTTGTCGCGGCACTGACTGGCTCAAAATAGGAAAACCGCTTCTCAAGATAGCACCATTACCGCCCAAAGTGCGATCCGCGAAGCTGTTGGCTGCGGTTGATGGAAGGAAGGTGGATTGCAAAGCAGAGGAGCTAGCCGCACATTGCCCAGATACCATGATTGTCTGGATCAAGCCAACAGCAGGCCACTTTTGTTGGAATGCTAGCCCGTTTTGCAACGAAGAATTCTGCAGAAGAGCAGATCTTCGCAACAGAGGCTTGACCCTCCACTTACAACAAGCAAAGGCGAGATCGAAGGAGCTCTTGAATCACAAATGTGCAGATTTGAGCTCGCCTCTTGCAATGCGGAGAAGCCAGGTTTGATCGCTGGTAACGAAACATCCAGTCTGGCAGTCTTCCCTTGTTACGCTTGCCCTGCAGGATGGCGCGAGCGTTACAAACAAGCTGTATCAACCCCTGATCGAAAGTCTGCTTGAACCCCTCTGCAGGGGGATCACCCTTGCGGAGCTTTATACCCCTCGCCGGCAATATCAGGTGCTCGCGCACAGTACTTTTGCGGCGAGCACCAAGGCGGCGGTTGACAGACCACTCTGGACAGCTGGACTGGACTTGGATGTTGATTACAATGCTGGTCAATGGCAGACCCTTCACCCTGACGCTCCCAAAGTTTTGGGATTAATACTTTTGTATTCATGGAGCAGGTCGACAAGTTTCGCGGCGCTTCTGACGCTTCGCCGCTGCGCTGAGCTGCAGACAGAAGGCTTTGTCAAAGAACGGCATGCATTGCGCAGAGCAAAACTTAATGCGCGTACATAAGCCAGCTAGTAGAATTCTCCTGCGCGGATTCTGTGGCCAGCTTCTGCAAGGCTTTAGATGGCCAACGAAGCAGGCGAAAAGTATATCTGATCAGACGTTTCTTTGTTTTAACAATATGGAAAGACTTGAGCTCAAAGGCCCCTCAAAGAATCTCTGAACGTACGTAATCAGAATTGTAGAACTGATCACCCTCCATGCTTTGGAGTGGCCTGGTCCGGAGCATTCGGCGGCTCAATCGTCGGACTTCATAGAATCCAATCCAGTGGCTGGCATTCCAAGAACTGGGTGGCAATCCGCAGCTTTGGGCCAATCTCAGTTCCTTACCTGAGTGGATTAGATAGACGGCTCTTTTTCTGCGCAGTCTTACTCATGGTGCCGTCTTGGTAGGGGCTCACTTGAGGGAACAGCTCAGCGCTGACCTGTTCCGAACGAGATCGGATGCCGTGTCCATGTGCGAGCAATGCTGCAAGGAGTGAGACTCCAGAGTTGGTCACGTTTTTCTGATCTTGCTCGCATCGCCCCCACGACGTGAGCGGGGTTTTCCACAATGCGGTCCCCATTGTTGTACCCACCAGTCGTTGGCAATGCACACGAGCAAAGCCTGCCCGCCTGCTTAACTCCGGGGGCTATTCACATGGCGGAGCAGCTAGACGCTTTGGGTGGTGGGAATGCCCGCATCGGCCGGCTGGAGCTGTTTGTGAGGGTGTGCCCAGCTCCTCCGGGGGCGGATCTTTGCATGCACGAACTGAGGGAGGGGAGGGACGAGAAGGAGAACGTTGTGAAACTAAGGTAGGTGTGGGTCTTTTGGCATTCGTTTTCATTCTGGTAGAGAACATGGACGGTTCAGAGCTGCTGCAAACAATCAGCTTCGAGCCCACTTCAAAGGTTTGTGAGGATTATGAGCGGTGGGCGCTAATGCGTGCAGTCAAGAATCCAGCGAGTATTCAATCACCTTCAAAGAGAGCCGCTTTGGATGTTAAAATAATAACATGGCATTGTGCGACGATACTAACCGCCAATCCGGTCTGTGCTGCCCACAAAGGCTTGAAGCAGCAGCTTACGTGGCTCATAATCGCTTAGTAGGTCGCTTTACCAACATTTGCGCTGGTTGGTTGTCCTTTGCCAGAGGACGGAATTTCCTCCTGGCATTACATCACATATGTACTGGGCATTTCATGACGGCATGCGTTTTACAGGGAACCCCGCTACCCAACCTCCACCCCGCGTACTTTTTCTTGCACCCAGGCATTCCCGCCGGGCGCTTCTCAGCTGGTGAGCCATCTAAACTACTCCTGTTGGGTCAATCTCGTGAATGTTGCTGGCGCTGTTAAGCGTGCATCACCTAAGTCAGACTTTCTAAAAGCGGGACCTGTAAGAGCCATCACAAAATTTCAATGATTCAATTGGTGGTAGCTACATTCGGGCCACAAAAGATTCGATACGCCCAGTCAGATTCCTCGTTTGGGGGCAGCTTACTGGGCTGTTGGTCAGTCAGAAAGTGCCTTTGACGTCCTCTGTGCAAGACTGATTCTTAATGGACCTGACAGTATATTGAGGCAAGCGCGATGGGAGCCCAACTGAAGATGCACTTGCTCAAAACATAGTAGTGTAGAAGTCATTACTCCCCGACTGAAGTTGCATTCGCTTGAACGTAGAGACTCAAACGAGCCCAATGTTCCATTTTGTGCATTATCAGACGAAGCCCCATCAGCCCATGTCTTCTGTGCAGGGCTTTTGTGCCCAAGTCGGCGCGCCAATCATTGACTGGCTATGGGACGGCTTCAACGCCCTTCTCTTAGGCTATGGTCAGACAGGGACTGGCAAATCGCATTCCCTGTTCGGGGGGAGCTCTTATGGTCCTGCGTCGGAGCAGGACGGCTTAATGCACCATATCTTATCGACCCTCCTCGAAAGAAGCAAAAAGACTGAGAGCGGGAGTTGCACTGTGGGGCTACAGTGCTGGGAGGTGCGGGGGGAGAAGACGGTGGATCTCTTGAGAGGGGACAAGGCGTCTGCGATAGGTGAGCCAGGGGTCGAGCTTAAGCGGTAAGATCCGGACTCAGCGCAATATATATGTAGAGATTCGGTCAGTTGGTGTAGGTAAATAAATTACAGATTTGTGGCATGATTTGTGTGTTTTGCAGTGCAACACGCTAGGCTTTTCACCATTTCAGAATCGCAGAACATGCCAGCTGCGCAAAAGGTGGCTCTTCTTTGCAGAAATTACGTGTCCATTCAAGCTGCGGACTGTTGCTTGATCAACAGCCGCTTGGAAAAAAATGCTTCTCTGAACTTAGGTTCCTGAGAGTGGCGTCTCGTCCTGAATCTTTCTCTTCGAGAAATCATTCGTTTGTTCATCCTAAAAGGTGTGGTAACTTGTCTTTCCGCTTTGCCGACTCGGCCACAGTAGCCTTTTCTCGTCCCAGTCTTTCATGCTTGATCTTCTCCTTTGGGCAGGCACAACCGATGTTACTGCAGTCCTCATCGAGACTCCGGTTGACGTCACATCTGTGCTCTCGCATTGTCGGCGAGCCAGCGTAAACTGGCAAGATCGAAAGGGGGACGCAGGGGCTCGGCCGCTGCCCAACCGGGCCCATGCTTTCGTCAGGGTGACGTTAACACGTGGACCCGAGAGTCACGTCAGCACTCTAACGGTGAGCTTACAATCAGAGAAGCCGTTTTCTAGAGCGGTTCTGGTTGATTCTCTCAGGCAAACCGACTGACATGGAAAATTGAAACATCAGCCTGGGGGTTCAGAGGAAGCTCAGCGGGCGATCCAACTCGAGCAGGTTCCTGAGACGTGCTTTTTTGTCACTAAGCAGGCAAACGACTTTGGCACAGTTCTTGCTCTGTCACGTTCTTTCAGTAGAATCTTAGGCCTGCTAAGGAAAGCGTTTCGCAAATCAGGCAGGGATGGATTTTCATTGATTCTCATTGCAACAGAATTGCAGACTTGGCAGAGTGAATTGAGTCTGCCCTTTCGTTTGTCAGGTAGTCGACCCTGCCGGCTTCCCGTCCGTGACGTCTCAAGCTCCGCCCACCTCTCAAACGTCCGAGTCCACATTTTCGGACATCGACCGGAAGACTGCGCGCGACAATCAGGTCCGATTGGCACAGTTTCGCTCTGCCGAATGAGCGGCGACGTAAGAGCTGTCTGGTGTCTGATTAACTGTCATTACGTATCCAATCTGGCCAGTCCCCGTAGTGAGGCGGCTCAGCGGATCCCCTTTTGGCAAAGGTTGTCATTGATCGATATCGTTGACTTCTGAGACGGTACATCCGAAAAGGATCTGCTTTTTAGGCGCCAACGCCCATGTATCCGTTTTCATTCTGTTTTCTGTCTCCCATCATCGAATGGCGTAGTCAGAGAAGCTTGGGGCTGCAGATTCCCCGAAAGCTTGCAGAATGCAAAAAGGATTACTTGGCGTGTTTGCGTACAGCGGTCCCTCCCTGCTTTGGCCCTGTTGCTGTAGGAACTTTCTGCGGACTTCAAAACTGTCAAAGATCGACTCCGTAAAGCTTCAGTCCATTGTCGTGTCTCAAAAGTCTGCCTGAAGTCGCCGCACGCATCCCCGAAAAATCCAAGCCTGAAGAAAACCAAAATCTGCTTATTTGAACACGCAGCGGTCACTGACCGCCCTGGCCCGGTTGCTGTCGGAGGTCAGTCAGCACTGCGAGGACGCCGCCCGGGGGAAGCCGCAGCCGAGCCGACTGCTCACCGGCCCCAGAACGACGTAAGAGCGCGGCTCTCCTCGATTGCAAACCATCTGGATCTTGCGCTTTTTATACATTGGTTACCTGTGGTTGTAAAGTGTCTCTAAGGACAGTTGTACTGGAAGTTGATCACCGTCGGTGACTTACAGGTCCGCCCTTCTCAATGTGGAGAAACAGGCTGTGAGCTGAGGTTATGTTCCACCCATGCTTTCGTAAGCAGCCCGCCCGTCCTGCACGAGGGTCAGCTCGCCGTCATGATTAGTGGTAGTATACTGTGGGACTCAATGGTACCGTCTGCTTCGTGTTGAAGCCTGCTGCCGGCGGAACTGCCGACCTTTGCATTTTTGAGGGTCGGGTTTAGGGCTTTCTCTGACATTGGAGATGCTCTTCACCCGCTCTTGAGCCCGATGATAGAGGCTCGTTCAGGCATTCACCTACCGGTCCCGAATGCTCTGATGATTCAACGTGAGGCTCCCCGTCAAACCAAAAGATTGGGAAGTCGATAACTTGAGCGTGACAGACTGACCTCAGATCAACCGCCAATCTCACCCACTTGCAGGGCTAAGGGCGGGTTTACCTTGCCACGTGAATGTGATTGAGAGCCAACAAACCCACTTGCTTGCGGAAGACGCGGACCCTAATCGCTTCAGCTCCTCGTGAATATTTTAAACGATTCAAATGCTCCTGAGATAAATTTTCTCCCCCCACAGTCTGACCAACCAGCTGGTGCCGTCCCTGACCGCCAACTGCAAGACGTTCCTTTTGGCGACCATTTCGCCTTCCGCCGACTCCTACCTAGACTCGGTCAACACGCTGCGGGTCGCCACCAGGGCACGTGCCATCGTGACGCCCTGCCTGCGAGCACAGGTGGGCTGCCGCCCAGTTAAACACGTTTGCGGCCGCGCTTGACGAGTGGGTGGAGCATTGTTTGTGGGTCGTGAAGTAAAGCGCACTCTCTGGGAGGAGGACATACCCGCACATCCGATTCAACTGGAGGCTCTGTTCGGCATGATATTGAGACTGTGTGACTTCGGTCGGCACGTATTACCTTCATGGATGATGTTGGGTGACGGCATAAGACTGTTACCAACATGTCCAGATTTCAGTGGCACGAACCATGAGCAGATCGAAGGCAAAGAAACGGAAGGTACTCTCAGATTCTCGCGTTCCCTCCTGGAATATTGTATGCTTCAAGTCTTGTGCCTTGGAGCCAGATTACCTGTCAAATTCACTCTTGCGCTTAAACGTTCTTTGCTTGGAGGACGAAAACTGCTCATCTCGGAGTTTTCGTATCGTCTAACAGGGCTCGCCGATGGCGGTGTTAGGGCTGCAGTCCGTCCAGAGGGTCCTCTCGCGCGCCACGTCGCGCGCGTGCACGCACGCGCACCCTTTCAGTCCGCTGTCCGCGTACGGATCGGACTACTCTCCTTGCAGCAGCCAGGGAAACCGGTCCCCGTCAGAGTTTGTTACGCCGCGGGTCGGTAAGATGACGTCACGGATGAGGTCAAAGCTCTCTCCGGCACGGGACGCTTCGGCAGGGGTTTCTTTGACGTGGGCGGAATCAGAGAACGAGAGAAGTTGGGCGGAGAAAGATTGGGACCGCAAGAGCGTTCCGGCGGCGGAAGAACGTCCGGGGAGCGTTCGAAGAGACGGCTCGATTATAAGCGTTCGGAAGGAGGGGGCGGAGCAAGGGCTCACAGAAGAGCACGATGAAAGTAATTCGGACCAGCTGACGAGTCGGTCCGAGCAGATGGCCAGTCCGAAACAAGTCGAGGACTGGGAGATTATTGCAAAGATGGCGAGACTGGATTCTTTGTTGTCGCCGGACGCAGGAAAAGTACGAAATTACGAGAAGCATTCGCCAAGCGGAAACGTCAGTCCGGGAAGAGTGACCGGTGAGAAGGAAAGGCGGGCCGTAGGCGCGTTTTCCCGAGAGCTCGAGAGCCCACAGGAGAGCACTTTCGCCGGAACGCCGCCCCCGGGAAGGTTTTCGCGGGAGCCGTCGCGGTCGCCGCGCGTCGGAAAGAGCGCGGCCGCGCGTGCGCGTCCGCGCAGAGCGTCTGCGGTTGAGGCGATGGAGAGTCTGAACAAGGAGTTTGAAGACGTCTTTAGCAGGATTGACAAGGAAAGCCCCAGGAAAGGAGGCCCTGTTTCGGGAGCGGGTGAGGCTCTTACGGGTGGGTTCGACGGTCAAAACGGGGGAGAATGTGAGAGACAGGGCCCAGAACATGTGGGGGGAACGGTGCGCACGGATAGGGAAGCGGCGGAGCGCGATCCCTTTTCGGTGTACCGGAACGGGGACGGAAAGAATGATCGGGGTAGCGTTTCGAAAAGCAGTGTTTATGAAGACGGCGAAGCCTACGTGGGGCGGACGCTTCAGTTGCATAGGATCAATAGCAGCATAGAAAAGGCCCCAGAAAGAGATGAAGGAAGAACCGCAAGCGCTGGGGCTACTCCAAAAAGGAACCAGCTGCTGAAGGAAGAGTTGCAATTCGAGACGGGAAGAAGGTTGGCCGCTTCTTTGACACCAGGAACACGGGAAAGCTCTCGGGTAGGCTCTCCCAGCCGAGTAGTGTCAAGCAGCGGGTTTGAAAGGCCCAAACATGGCAAAAAACACCGATTGGAAAGGTCGTACGGCGAAATTGGAGGGCCCGGAGATAGCCCCCAGCCAGGCGGCGACTCTCCGGGGGGAACAAAAAGCAGTGGAAAGAAGGGGAGGGGCGCGTTGCAGAAGAGCAAGTTGAGCGCCGGTCAAACGGTGCGATCGAGCATAGACAAGTTGGACAGAAGGCGGATCGAGGATCTGACTAGTAGCGTGATTGCCTCAGTTGCGGAACGGAAGAGGCGGGAAGAGATTGAGCGGGAGACGACCAGGGAAGCTTCGTTGGAAGTCGATTTGGAAAAAGTGGGGTATAACAGTCGAATGGAGAGGGTGGAAATCAACAGCCAAAAAGAGAAGGTGGCCTATGATAGCCCACACGTTCAAGCAGCGGGGAAAGCCTTGAACGAGCAGGGTTCGCCGAAATCCAATACGGTCTCTCCGGAGAGAATGGATGGACGTACAGAAGCTCTCAAGAGAGTCGGAAATCCGGAACAAGGAACAGGTGTAACAAGCCCCGAGGTTGCCTCCTCCTCTAGAGGCCAACTAGACATTCCGAGAGCTGGTGGAAAAAAGCAGAGCCCGGGAAAAGCGGGGGAGAGTTGTGGGGAGGCGGGAGACTATGACGCCCTATTAGAGCTTCTACAGAGGGAGAGGCAGAAGCGGGCAGAGACGGAGGGGCGGGAGGCGGAACTAGAGAGGGAACTTCTGGAGAACAGCACCAGCTACAGTCTCAAGGTGAGAGAAATTGGAAGCAGTAACTCCCTGGTTTACCTTGGTTCCCCATGCTTTTTTTGCTGCCTTGGTGTTCATTACTGCAGATTTGGTTTGCCAGCCATGCGAGTATTCTGTGGGTCCGGAGCTGAATCAAACTACCCGGCCCGGTGTCTCCGTAGACTGCAATGCTTGCGAAGGATTATGTAAAGTAGAAAAACCTGCTGAAAAACGAAAGACCGGGGGATCCGAGTTCTGCTTTCTTGACAGATCTTCTCTGTATCTTTCAAGAATCTTGAAGGTTTTCTTTCACCGGCTTCTTCTTGCAGCTTAGTTTTAGTGAATAAAGAGAAGAGAAACTTTCAACAAGGAGAAGGTGGCGCTTGTGGAACTTGCCGACATTTGGTCTTGTCGCCGTAAACATCTAAGATACGGCCGCTTTCATCTCGAATGGAAGTCGTTTCTGCATCCAGCTTCCAAGAGTGACACTTGTCCTTCCCTCATCTTGCCAGCTGGACGATCTACGCTTGGAGCTTCACAAGGCGCGCGCGCGGTGCCGCCTCCTGGAGCGCGCGTCATCCCACGCGGCCGTGTTCGAGCAGTACGACCAGGAACTGCGCGAGCTCAGGCACCAAGTGCGCGAGCTCAGAAAAGAGGTCAGAGACGCGAGCGCGCGCTACGAATCTGACCTAGCGCACACAGCGACGCTCGGAACAAACTGCGCTTCGGGGGCCGTGCGGGGTGACCTTTTGATGACGTCAGCGAGCGGGTCATCAGCGGAGGGAAACGGAGCCTCCAGCGGCGACAGCTCGGCGAGAGATGCGCCCTTCGAGGTCGCCCGCGACAGTCAGCTGATGAGCGCTTCGCAGCAGGCGAGATCGACGGTCAGTACGAGTTGCGGGGGCGAGAGCCGGGTTCTAGAGTTGATGCAGCGCGAAGTGAAACACCTGCGGCAAGAAACGGCGAGATTGGAGGGCGAGCTCGCGGCCGCGCGGCGCGACAGCCGCCACGTGGCGATCCAGAAGCGGGCCGCGGAGGACGCAATCTGTAGAAGCGAAGCGTTGGCCAGGTGGGCATTGCTGAGCGTTTGATCTACTTCACAGTGCGAAGCCGATAAGGACACAGGTTGCAAGAAAGTCCGTCCTCCAACACGCCTGATCCAAGAGAGTGTCCGTCTGGTCAGTTCAGATTTCCTTTCTTCGAAGGGTCCCTTCTTTAAACTTCGTAGTTAAACCCTTCCCTTCCGTTCGAAATTCAACGCTCAAAGATGATCTTTCAATCGGACGAACAAGGAGGATAACGTTCTAGGGTGTGCCTTGGGAAGAGACCGACGGCTTCGCGCAGCTCGGAGATGTCCACTCCATCACAGACGAGGTCGACGTCATATTGCAGAGCCGAACCTTTGTGCACATCACAACTTCGTCACCTGAATCACCCATAAAACAACGGCACCGGTTTCTCCGCAGGAGAACGAAGAGCCTAGAGGAGGAAGTCGTGTCGTTACAACTGCGCGAGCGCGCGGCGATCGGCGGCATGCAGCAAGCGCAGCGCGCGGCGGAGCTGTGCACGGCGGCGGAAGCCCGCGCGCACCAGGAGTGCGCGGAACTGGGCGAGCTGCTGCGCGCGCTGCGCGAGGATATGTACACTCTGAAGCGCGCGCGGCGGCACGAGATGGCGGTCGACCGGGTGACGGGGAAGAACGGACGAGCGGGGTCGCCGGCAAAACGGAAGCCACGTAAGCTTGTAAACTTTTACAGAGTCACTCGGAGAAGCTTCAAATAAACATGTGGCAACTCGTGAGGAAATTAGGTACATATGAAATGCTTCGAAGGAGCTCTGATTGAGCCAAGAGCAAAGCGGATCTGGATATTGGCTGATCTGGCTTTTGAGTGCACTTTATCATGATTATCATGATTGAAATTTTGGAGTTCATTGTTCGAGCCTCGATTGAAGGGTGGCATAGGTTTCTAACGCAGCCGCGAAACAGTCTGATCAAGGTACAGAGAAATGGACAAAGCGCCAGAACAGCCTGACCGAGGCAGGTCCGAAACTGGACTAGCTCCAAAGCTCGCTGCAAGGTACGTTTGATCTGTATTGCTGATGCGACTGTTTCAAGCTTTGAAATCAGATTGTCTCAATCTTGGCCTCCGTCGTGCAGGCGTTCGGCTGCCGTTCGAGACGTTAGCCCGGTTGCAGCGGTCACTAGATCCGCACGCCAAGCGCGCGCACGAGATGGTCAACGAGTTAAGCCGGGAACTAGGTCTAGTCCAAAAAGAGATTGCAGAGGCAGGAATAACGAACGACAGCGCGCCCAAATGACAATACGTCTATTTTGAAAAGCGGAAATACGTGAAATGGTTCTATATTGCAAGCCCCCTATCATGCGGTACAGCGAAAGGAAATTCCGTGGTTGGCGACATCATGGCTCTCAAGTCGGCATGCTTGCATCACTTCAACTCAAAGTGCACAACTTGTGTGAACTTGGGCTCCCAGAGGATCTGGAGAGGTGTGACATAGTCCTATACCAGTAGCTGTACAGAGCGTAAAAGATCTAAAGCAAGCCTTGTTAAGGTGTCTAAAATTCTCTGTTGTATATCATGCAACAAATTACGTGCACCGATTATGAAAACCTCTGATCATGAGGTTGTGGCAAAGTAATTGATATATGTTGGGGCGGCAGATGATGTTTGCAGCCCGCCGTATCCAGATATATGGTAGAAGACCGGTAGAATTTTTCGGATGATACGTGAGCCTAGCCTAGTAGCCTCGATGCGGATCTGGATTTTGTGACTCGAACCACTTTGGATATCCAAGTCAGAAGGGCCGCAAAACATACCATGTGGTGCCCTAGCAGATCGTTCATGACGAGACTCAGGCTCGCACGCTTCTACAAACATACCTCTTTAAGAGTTGTTATAAGAGTACAAGAAGGCTTCAACGAGGCCAAGTACACGCACG